ACTACAGATGGAGTACTCAACATTCTGCTTGCCGCTCATTTGTAAATACAAAATAAACTAATTTAGTTTGTTTATTTCGTTATTAGTTATGTTAAAAGATGTTTTACTACATTACTGTTCATCAAGTGTTATTGTGAGCGGAATGAGTTACTTGTAACATAAAGAATTAAAGTTTTTTATTGTGTACTTTAATTTAATTTAGCGAGGTTACCATTAAATGTCATAAAACCATACACTTCTACAATGAACCCCTGATTTTTTGGTATTCCAAACAAATTAAGATAACCTTTTAAATTTATCCTACATTTGTAATTTCTAATTCCCCCTTTTTAGTTAATTTATTTAAAATATTTTGTTAGGGTGGAATATGATTTTATGATTCCTTTACAATGTCTTCTAATTGAGCTAATCTTTTTCTCTTCCCAAAAACAATTGGCCTCAAAACTAGTGTAACTCGTATAATGTTAAAACCTTAACCTTAGCGAACTACAAGAGATAGGCTACATAAATAAATGAAATACAGTCAAAATCGACGATAAATATACACTTATGAAACTTAGAATAATTTCTGTATTTCTAGGTACATGATGTGATTTTTCCCAGCCTTAAGTTACATAATAAACTAAAAACGACACCTTTTCCTACCAAAGCTCTGCATATTTGACTCCGCTTCTTTTAATTAAATATTAATTTCTCATTTGTCATAGTTTCCTGATTTCTTATTGGTCATTGATCAGACTATTTTTCCTGTATGTATAACTGGTAATTTATACCATAAACTAATTTTACTAACTTAAATTCAACTTAAAAGTGGTAATTAATTGCAAAAAGATATTAAACGTACTAGCAAAAATATTGCCTTAATTACTTTTCCGTGAAAAAAGCACAACTTTAATAAACTATTTTATTAAAAAAGTTATGATTACTGAGAATATCATGTTAATTAAAATATAAGGTTAGAATCATTCTTTGAAATAATTGCATAGTGTAAAAACAATAATCAAACGAAGGTAACTAATTAAAAAGAACATTACAAACAATCCAAAACTACAATTAAAACTGAATCTCTTTCTTTGATCATTTTAAATTACAGTATTTCATTTTGACCTTAAGACAAATTTTAAAATGTATTCTATGTATTACTACTAAAATATTAAAGTTAATATCTTAGATATATTGCTCTCCTATATTTACTGCAGTTTTAAAGAGTTTACAATCTTTCGTGCGGCTTTTGTGAAACCGTTACCTGATTAATATTGAGTGTTTATTTATGGAATCAAATGTCCAACGCTACAAAGTCTTAAAGTGATTTTTAAATTATAAAATACTAACAAATGCTTAACAGATAAATAAGTGGGGTACCCATTCCAGCTTGTATGTTTCAATTCAATTGTATGTATGATTCAATTAGTAATAGTTTAGTTTAACCGTTTAACTAAAGGGGAATCTTCAGTTTAAATCTTGATCGTGACAAATGAAAAATTATTTTCCAAATTTTAGTCAAAAGTTTTATTGAATACATGGCTAATTGGACCAACTATTTAATTTCTAACAAATGTGCAATTGGGCCAGTTTTGCCTAGATTAGTATTAAAGTATTTTTCAACCAAAAGGCGTTGACCAGAATTTGGTTATTTGATATTTAAGTTGGTTTTACATATTTCCTGTTTTTTAGAGCACTAAATGACTGATGGATAAGACCCATTTTGGTTATTAAACCGTTGTTAAATAGACTAAACCGTCAGCTAAATTTGGATTATTTAGGAAATATTTACTTTTGTAATTGTTTTCACATCTTTGTTTGTTTGAGGTAAATATTTATGCAACGTGTTAAAAGTGAATGTTAAAATGTAACCTCAACCTCTCATTTTACATTATATATTTTATGTTATCATAATTTCCATGGCAAAGCACTTTTTAATCGTAACAAACAAAACTCGTTTTTTGTTTAAGTAACTAGCTTTATTCTTGTTGAAGTTGTTAAAGAGAAGGATTGAGGATTGACATTTGTGTTTAAGAATTGTAAGAATACCTCAATTTCAACACAAAGTAATGAAAGGTGCAGAATTCAAGCTACTTTAATCTAAGAAAATATTGCATTTGATCTGAACAAGCTATGCAGTTGACAATGTATATTTCAATTGACAGTTTGATTAAATTTGGAATTGGTTTGCCCTTAGGTTACAAACGTTGGTTCAAAGAACTTTGCCTCGTCTTAAATTATTTTATCGTCTGGTTTGTAATTTTCTTGTACAAAGCCAATAAACCATATCTATCAAATAAATGAAATTGTTGGGGGAGCGCGCTGGTCTAGTGGTTAAAGTAGAGGACTTTGGTACCTGGTTCAAATCTCTCCAAATCACCAATGGATTTTATCTAAGTGGTAATGCCGTAACCCCTAGGTCTAGCCTGAAGTAATGTGAAAATCAATACCGGGTTCGTGTCTAGCGTCCTAGGACAAAAAAATTAATGAAATTGTCGGACATTTTACTTAACAGTTTTAGAATTTAGTCTATCGGTATGGTAAAAGTAATTCATTGACTTTAGATACTTAAGTAGGGATCTCATCAGTATACAACTTTAACTAGCGTTTTGTCTCATGGGAGTTATAGTTAGTTGAACTCTTAATCAAGTGTTGATTTTTTCTATAACTTACTTGGAATTCTGGTACCTTACTTTTATCCAATTATATTCCTATAACTTCCTATCCTATTACCATCCTAACCATTTTGATTAATGTTTTCGTCAATGTTGCGCGTTTGTGTGTGAAATGCGTTTTCTTGAATGGTTGGAAATAAAAATCTAGATAATTAAAACTCACTGCTTGGTGAACAAAATATTTTATAGAGTAAAAAACTAACATGAAAAACAATGAAATATACCAAGTGGTTATTAATATATGTTAAACGAAATTATCACGTTGCGGAAATACATTGTTGATTATAAACATTTTGATGTTCAATATTGATTAGTAAGAAATTATAAAAATACGGAAATATAAGGTTTAAGTATTGCGAGTAATTCCACAATTCAATGTTTAGAAAGAAATTAATGCAAACGCCCGACGTTGATGAGCACTTGAAATGAAAAGCTAAGTGAAAAGAAATCAATGCCTGAAAGAAAGAATTTAATTGTGAAAAGAGGTAAAAAATAATTAGCCTTTGTAGCAGAGAAATTCGGAATGTTTTCTAAACTCAATATGTAACTATTGTTTCGTTGAGATCTACAAAGTTCAATTTTTAAAACTAATTAAGTAAATATCTTTGATCACGTAAATAACAAACGTGCAAACTTAAATAAACGCTTGGTCTTTTCCTTGTTTAATATTTCATTAGTTGATTGTTTAGTATAACGAAATGGTTTTCCTGAATGAATACGTTATAAACTCTTTAAACTAGTGTAATTTCATAAACGCAATAATGACAAACTACAATAGTGAAAACAGCTATAGTGACAGAGATATTTTTTTAAACATCACTATGTCCAATATCTCAATAACAGCCTTAGGTCGTTGTTCCTATGAATTATAAACAAACGTCATCTAACTGCTGCTTCACTTTTTGCAATCATTGTAGAACATCTCTAACCGTGGATTTTTCAGTGACATCCTACTCTAGGTTCGAGCCTGGAATGGTTTTCCACATTACTTCAGCCAATGTTTATTGGGGGTACCAAAACACCACAGATAATATCGATTAGCGTTTGGCAAGATTTGAACCCGAGACCTCGAGGACCGAAATCCCGTGCTATACCACTAGTCTAAGGGCTAGTGCTCCCCTTCGACACTATCTTGCCAATAATATTAATACACATTTAAACTAGTTTGTACCTTCATGTGTTTTGAGAATCATGTTAGAGAAAATTTTGCAAATGATATTTGCACAGTAACCTACGTGATTAAAACATTAGTTAGCAAACTTTGCGTGTAGTCTATAAATGCTTGCATATGTGTGTGTCAGAGTAAATTACCATTATTACACATGGATGTTTAAATATTGCGGTTGAACAAAGCAAAATGCAATTATGGTCTTCGTTTATAATGAAACAGCATCTATTATACAGAAAACTTCATTTAATAGCCACGATCTATTTATTGAATTTGAATTAACACCTAATTACTTGATACACGCTATTCAAATGGGAGTTATTGAACCAAATAATTATTCGTGTGCTAAATATTTCAACAGTTTAATTTCATATGCAATCCATATCATCCCTTAACTGATCTTTGCATTGAACCCTACGCACTTTGGTATTCGTATTTCAGCATCACATAAATCCAATCTAAACCTAATCTATGCCATAGAGATTCTATTAAAGTATAACGAAAACACATGTTTTTCATTAACACTTTTATTGTCTAGATTTAACACTGTTTTATGGCCAAAACCGATTAAACGATTAGTTGTTTTTGTTGGTCAACAATAAAATAAATTTACATTTACAAAATATACAGACAATTTCAACGATTATTGATTGGTGTTTCATCCAATCTCGAAGCTTAACGACTGGTCTTTTACCTAAGCACGCCTTTTTTATTACATTATACATTTTTTAACACAAAACTAAGTTCTACGTTTAGCTTAGAATTGGGTTCAAGGCAAGTAAAAATGAAACTTTGCTACATTTAGATTTAAATGTTAACAATATCCATGTACCTTGTATTTAAATAAAAATAATTAAAATTAAAATACAGCGTAGGTATCCTTTAAATAAAATTGAACAAAAATTAAAAATACGCAACTTTGGACAATTATTCTGAACGTATATCTTGTGATTTAAAAACACAAAATTGATCACAAAACATCGCTCAATGACAAAAAAAAACTCTTCTCTACAGTACTCTTCACTATTTTATATGAAACATCTTACATTTAATTAATACTTTAACAAAATCACAGTAATTGTAACTCGCAAAAAAATAACATAACCTACAAAATTTACTTTCAACCACTTTAAAACATCGGAAACTTCGGTATGACGTAAAAACAGCTGACTTACCATGGTCGGCTGCTCGTGGCGGACTTCTGCGATGCATCTAAACCAGTGTTGAGGTTTAAATTGGGGATGAAGTGGTGGGGATGCTTCCCCTCCAAGAGGCGTGGTTTTACCCACCCTCTGACGTAATCATTGTTGTTTCTCCCCCAGCTGTTCTGACGTCATTTCATTGTTGATCCCCAACGCTGCATATTTGAATAACCAGATTTGCTGGCAGTTTCAGTTTATTCTTGCAGCTGTTTTCCATTTTCCCGCCGTGTCTTTTGATTAAGCGATGCGTCCGATGCTGATACCGCCTTTGCGTTCCCGGTTTGCAGATCATGCAGATTTCTGCATTTGAATATGTTATAGCTTTATCTTGTTATAGATGTAATGTTATACTTTGATTTCTGGTTTGATGATTAGTGTCAGAATGGCTTGATTTGTATTGTATCAAATTTGTGAAATTTATTATACCAAAACTTTTTAAGGAGAAAACTCTTAATATGTTATAATTTCCTAAATTTGAACAGAAATGTATATAAAGTTAATAAGCACCACAAACTTTTGAGTAAACCATATTATCGCACACCTATGAACCCCATACTCAAATTAGGTTTCGATGAGAAACTTACCCAAAAAATATCAATTTTTTATAAACCCTCTCCTAAGTGTAAACCTTAAGAGTTGTACTCAATCATATTTTAAAATGTTGAAGATGGGTTGGCGGTTACATATGTTTTTATCTATACTTTTAATTTATTGTGACTTGTGAGTCTAATCATTTCCTCGTTTAGGTCTAAAGCATTGTCAAAATTCAATTAAAGGACCACTGATTTCAACACACCTTCTTTAAGCGTTTGTTAGGTAGGGTTTATGATTAAATAATGTAATAAATGTGCAGGGAAAAGTTAGGAAGGTTAGAGTGATCTAGTAAATAGTTAAGTACAGTAGAGCATCCAAAATCTGAAGGTCAAAAATCCGAACCGCTCCTGAGGGTTTTAAAATATTTAACACTAATACCTAAACCCTACCTAGGCTGACGTTAACCAAAACCACCGGTCTTTGAGACCCCATTTGAAATGGACCCCGCTTAGACACAAACCGAAACCTTCGGCCTGTGAGACCCCCTTTAAAATTGGGCTTCTGAGACAGGCATGTTATGAACAGACAAGGTCACGTTACGCAAAATGAACAAACAATATATTAGAACAAAAAACAATATAGGTAAGGGAGGAAAAGGGGGGAAGGTATTGGGGGAATGGAATCTTCCAAGTAAATAGTGTTGCCAACATGCGTTTTTGAAAATTCCTGTGGGCCTGTCAGACCGGGATTTCGGTATTAGTGTTAATCAGCATTGAGACGACAGATGTTTTACAATTTCGCGGGCAAAACAATTGCGTTGTCAGTAATGTACCGAAAATACCTAAGTACAAAAACCATTGTTTTTATTTTATTTTCTGTATCCTAGAACTGTATTTTTAATACTATAGGACTAATTATATGTCTATAAGGCATTTCTAGGTTATGTTTGAAAATCCACACACATCGGTAATCTGAACTACCTACGGTCCCAATTGGTTTGGACTTTTGACGCTTTACTGTAGATGAATAAATAATTAGTCACTTGAAAAACTTAGCATTGGAAAAGTCAATGAATGAAATAAAATATAAATTATTGTAATTGAAATAAACCAAAGAATTATGTTGTATGAAACCCAATTGACCCCTCTTGAACTCGAAATCTATCATTGCACAAAAATATTACTTAAATATTCAGTCACAACATAATCAGGGTGTTTGACGTTTTATTGTCAGTTAAAATGAAAATATTTTTAATAGGACTTTTAAATGGGAAAAATTTTAATGTGATTGTATAAGGTTGAAAAGAACTTCATACTATAAAACAATTTATTTATAATTATTACACAACTAAATAATAAGTACAGTATATAAAATATTTATATTATAGAATTTATATATAAAATTTGGACATAAATACTGATGCATCACATTTTAAGGCAGCTGGTTTAAAACTAAGTTCTGCGGAAATACACTTCAAAATGTAATTTGTATTAAATACAGATTCAGATTCAACTATTCTTTTATTATAAAATAAATGAACACCAGTACCTCATACAAAAACTGCACAACATTCTTAGACAAAATTTTGAAATTCTTTTTTTTTATTGTTTTCACTTAGCTACCCATGTAACCAATAAAATACAAAATAAACTTTAAAAATATTTAAACATTAACAACTAACTATTGATGAAATCATACATTTTATAGGTTCTATTGTAAACTAAAAAAAAAACCTAAAACCTAATTTTTAAAAAGAATATCACATAGGAACACAATTTAGACATTCTTCTTTGTATTTATTCTATGTATACTTTGTGCAGGGTGGTTTTTTTTAACACAACCTAAAATACAGTAAAATTAATTCAGAGATTCATTATTTAGGGGCAAAAAACTCATAATTTGGTAGCCCTACTTCCTTTAATTCATTACCGATCATATGATAACGATTCTAGTAGTGTTGTATAAAATGTGTATACCGTTCAGTGTTTAAGGGAATTTTTTGTGAATAAGGTTCGTCATGTGTTTTTCCTCTTTTTTATCTACGCCAGTGGCATCTCACAAGAGGTCAACGTGAGAATAAAGTTTTTCCTTAATTGCAACCCATGTTTAAGAGTAATAACGCACATGAAAAAAAAGTATTAAATCGTCAAGGATCTTTAGAATCAATGGTAGTTGATTTATTACCTACTAAAATCTGACCTGGAAACTTGATCGCAAATATTTCTGGGCATAAACCGAATGATTTACGCTGAATGTATTTTTTAACAATAGATACTCTGAGCTTGTGAAAATAACATGTTAAGTCTTCACAATAAATTTTCAATTACAGTTAACCATAGACAACTATTCTGAAATGCACATCAGCTGAGCAACAAAGAAGAAAGTAAAGCTGGGCTGCCAACAAAAAATGGCAAAATAAGCTTTGAAATCTAGTTTTGTCGCTAAACAATGAATCTCTTTACTTGTAATTCGGGTTGAATAAAAAAATCCCCTTATATAATTAACTACAAACAACATGTTACGTAGAACAGTGTTTACCCTTAGGTAATTAAAAAATATATGTACATAGGAATAAGGGCTGGTAAATGTATAATAGACATAAACTATAATGTGGTGTATCAAAACTGTAGTAAGATATGAAAGTTACTAGTTTTTTCCTAGGACACTAGCTCTAGCCTGGGAATGTTTTTCAAGTCAGGGGTCAGACCAAATTCAGGGGTGCTCCCCACGATATGAAACAGTAATGCTATCTACAGGGTGTCACAAAAAAGTGTGATGGGCTATATAGGACCTAATTCTACATGCAAAAATAAGTCAAAAATGAAGAATAAATTTTTTTGGATTTCGGCTTAGTTTAGCCGTAATCCGCCATTTTGTTTTTTGGGGAAAATATTTATTATTTCAAAATCCCTTTGAGATATTTTTACGAAACTTGGCAAAATTGTTTACACTATAGTAAGTGACATTTATAAAAAAAACTACCTATTATTTTAACTTTCCACTTAATACGTTACATAAACTATTACATTACATTTAATACATTTTAATATTAATAATTTCAGTCTAAATTACTAAAATAAACACAGCTTCTTTATTTATGAACCGATTTTATTCATTTTTGTTTTGTTGGATTTGTCATAATAAATACTAAAACTTTTGTTTTTAACAAAATTTTGATTTAGGTACCGGTTTTCATGAAATTTGGCATTAAAAATTTCAAACGGCCGCCATTTTGAAATTTGGAAAGTTAAAATAATATTTTTTTTTTATAAATGTTACTTACTATAGTGTAAACAATTTTGCCAAGTTTCGTAAAAATATCTCAAAGGGATTTTGAAATAATAAATATTTTCCCCAAAAAACAAAATGGCGGATTACGGCTAAACTAAGCCGAAATCCAAAAAAAATTATTCTTCATTTTTGACTTATTTTTGCATGTAGAATTAGGTCCTGTATAGCCCATCACACTTTTTTGTGACACCCTGTATGGTTGCAAAAAAATAAATTAAACTTCAACTTTTTTTTGTTACATGAACACAAAAATGATTTTTAACTCATCTTCCACCCTCAAAACTCCAAATTCTAATCCCAGTGTGTTAGCATATACTTACCAAATTTCAATTATATTTTTGGACTTATCTGTTTATATAGTAATTTCGCCAACAGTATACTACTACTTCCAAATTCATCCATAAAACATTCATACCTACAATCATTCATTAACATAAAATTTGTCATGTACATTATCATACATAATTACTTAACAAGTATTTTATTTCCTATTTTAAAAGAGCATTTGCTTTAAAAACATGTGAATTTGAAAACATGTTTACCTTCTAGGTTTAACATAAAATAAAACTATTACTGACCATAGTTTTAAAACTTAACATTGATAACCTAAAAGGAAGACATCAAGAAGTAAGGTACAGAGGGAACATTCAATAATAGTACACTTAAGTGGTGTCTAGCACTAGTCGCTGGTGTCTAAGGCAAAGTCCAACACCACCCCCCTCCCCTCATGTGCTACAACGCTCACGATGGAGGACCCTGTGTCCTTTGCGATAGGTTTTTTGCACAGTGTTCACCGCTCAGGCTCTTCTTTGGTCGTCACAAGTAAATTTCTGGCACAACTTACTAGAGCTAAAAGCGCACGGTCGTTCCATAAGCTAGTTTCCTCTGCACCTTACTTTTCTGTGTTAGGAAAGAGAGCAAGGTATATAGTGTTTTTGGCCTTATACCTAAATCAAACAAGCCCAGCATCCTTAGCCATTCCATGGAAAATTGTTGATGAAGAACTCAAGAGATTTTGTGGTGAATCAAACTCCTTTATTGTACCTTTGTCTAGTACAATGACTCTAAAACATAAATGCATAAAAGTTTTAAATACAGTAAAACCTAAAACATCACCTTTCATTCTTAAGACTATAAATTATTAAAGTATCTTCTCATTCAAGTCATTAAAGTTCTTTTCATTCCAGTCAAATTAACAGATAGGTACAGTCAGAAGCCACCTCAATTTCTTAATATTATGCCCGTCCCTACCGCACAGAAGTCTGAGATGCTCACTACTAGGCTAGCAACAGACCTAAATGATTTTAATATCACAATCTCTAATGTTTTTGTAGTTCTAACCACTTAGGTTCTGCTGATTTGAATAAACATAACCGACACATATAACCAGTCTATCTAATGCTAGCAAACGAAAAAAAAAATTGTGGGGTTTTTTGGTAAATGGTGTTTTGTAGGAGAAGAATATGTTGTTCCAACTTCTTCAACGACCTTATTTATAATTTTTAACCAAGTACTAATTTGTCGAGAACTACGTCAACTTTGCATACAACTGTCTACTTACCTATCAGAGTCCATGATAGTATTGAGTCTATGAGCTATAGTCAACACCGTGCAGTCCTTGAACTCTCTGCGGATTGTTTGTTGTATTATGTCGTCAGTTTCCAGATCAATGGCTGCCGTTGCTTCATCTAAGATCAACACTTTGGTCTTGCGTAACAGAGCTCGGGCTAGGCAGATCAGCTGTCTCTGGCCAACACTGCGCAGACAAGAAACAGACCAAGTTTGAATTTTTTTAAATAACTGTTTGAAGTATTTTATAACACAATAAGATATAATAATTGTTACCAAGAAGAATAAATATTTGTACTGAATTTGGATCATACCTCAAATTATCACCTCCTTCAGAGATAGTATGGTTGAGTCCTGCTGCCAGTCCACGAGCAAATACACTGAGATGAGCGTGTTCCAAAGCTCTCCATATGTCACTGTCACTGTACTTCTCAAACGGATCAAGGTTCATCCTCAAGGAGCCAGAGAACAGCACAGGATCCTGGGAAATAAAAATAATTAATTATATATAGCACACTTTACTTTTTGAGTATTTTTAAGGTTAGAATGAGAAGGGAACTACCCTGTCCTTGAGTTGAAGAAAAGTCGTTTTTAGGCCTCAACAATTAACTTTCTTTTCAACTCAAGCTTTATAAATTTGAAAATGTTGTCAGTGACAGTGTAATATTTTGTCTTTTTTGGGCCAGACAGAACTCTTTCCCAATCAAGGTAAGGAGATTATACTCACAAACAATCCAAATAACTTCAAGATAAGCTATCTTACCTGGGGAATAATGGTGAGTTTTGATCTCAGGTCTCCCAGACCGATTTTGGAGATGTTGAGGCCATCGATGAAGATTTGACCTCCAGCTGCTTCCAAAATGCGGAATAAACATAGGGTGAGGGAAGACTTTCCAGCCCCCGTGCGGCCCACGATACCAATCTGCAAGGAAATTCAAAATCTTAAACATCATGAAATATAGTAGTTTAAAACTTGCATGCAAAAAATTATTATTTTTCCTTGGCTCTAATAATTTGTAGCCTAGGGCTTAATATCTGGAAAGCCTACTAAAAGCTATTTTGTTATTTAGATGAAGTAAAAGTAGGTTTATTTTAAACTTAAATTCATTCCTAAAAAAATATATGTTGGAGAATGGAAGCACAAAAAATACATATGAGATTTTGAACGGTCGGTAAAAAAAATTGCTGTTATTTTAAAATAATCTTTTGTGTTTGCAAGCGTGTTTTTATAACATGCGTTATGTGTTGCCAGTACTTTCTTGGCCCTGATTTCTGCAATGGCAGTGGCTGGCTGGCTAGTTTTTTACCTTCGATCAGTGGTCGGTGTGTGTGCCAGATTCCTTTCACTCCAGTATTTCACTATTGGAATTTCGCTATGGTAAAAAAATCAAGTCTAAAATCGGCGTGTGAGCAACTAGCCTTAAGGGCCAAAGTAATTTTGCTGTCATTCATAGTCTCTATACCTTTTCTCCACCATTGACAACAAACGAGACTCCCCTCAGCACAAGGTCCAGGCCGTCTCGGTATCTCACTTGGTAGTCCTGGAACTGCACTGTGCCATGACTGGGCCACTGGGCGTCAGGACGAGGCTCCACAACCCACGCAGCTTCCTGGGGAAAAGTCAAGCGTTACAGTAGAGTTAGCTACAATACACTAGCTTTAACAGTGATTGACAAGTTCTGACAAATAAATCCTAGAGGGTAAATGCTGATCAAGTGCCCTACAAATGTTAAACAATAGGTGCAACATTAGGTAAGGTCAGTGGTGCAGTGGTAAATTTTCCAGTGTGGGAATAATAATCTTTTTTGTGAAAAAATATGGATCGCTTACCAATGTAGGTTCATTGGAAAAAGCTGAGTTCATTGGGAACAGCATTTACGCCCTCTACACCACTGAGCAAGGTGTAAGAATTAAAAAATGTTTCTTGTGTTTGTGTGTCAACTGTGTTATAGATAAAGGGCTTTGCATGTATGGATTGTGTACTATTTAGTGTGAAGGACCTAGTTAAAATTTTGTCCAAAATTTCTCACTTGTGAAATGGCATCTTCAGAGACTTAACTACCTTTCTCAGCCAAAACAGCTGTGAACCACGATTGAAACACAACTTCTAGTTCTAATCTTACAGTTTTTAGTGTGCTTCGATGATCTTCAGCTTCACCGCTTGCCCCAGACATTATGGGTTATTTGGAACCAAGAACCTCAAGAGTCTACAAATTTTACAGGCTACTAATTATCAAAAGAAATTTATAGTTCATACATTTTCTACATCAGCTTTGACTTAAAGTTTTACTTACAGTCGGGACTTCAGAATATTCCTTGATTCTCTCGACTGACACAATGTTTGTTTCTACTTCTGATGACATCCTCACAGCAAGATTCAGCATCCCTGTGATCTGTAATTGACAGTAAAAATATATTTCCAATATTAAAAGTGTTCACCTTGTAAATTTTTGATAGAAATAAAATCATTTATTCATTTTATAAGTCTTTTACATTTGGTATGAAAGACTTGTAAAGCTGTTTTATTGTTTATTTGTTTGTAAAACCTAATGTTACTTTCGCCTATTGTTTGTGTTGTTCGATAGAGTGCAGAGGAATAAGGAACCACCTGGGCTCCTGATTCTCAATGAGAAGATTACCTGTTTCAAAATTATTTTTAACCTCTGCTGTCTAGTTTAAATATGATATTTACTCTCTATAAAAAGTAGTTATAAAGCATGAATTCTATTGGCTTGTCACATTTTCATTGCTGTATCTTTGCCATTTTTTTACAAATCTCCAAGATGAATACATCCAGTTGAATTGAAACTCCATGACATGCTGATAACTTCTCAAATTTATATTTTTAAGCAAAAAAATCACACCTGCAATGCATAACTGATGGACAAGCCGACCAGACCAGCGTCCAGTTTGTCACGACCAAGGACAGCAAACAACGCAGCAAAGAAGATCAGAATATTACCAACTGTTTCCAGTCTAATTCCAAGCCATCTGAAAATAAACAAATTATTATTATATTGTGTAACCACATGTACTTGTGGATTTTTTAATTTGTTTCCTCCTCTAAGTAACGATATCCATATCTTTAAGTGACAAGTGTCGCCAAAATCTTACAAATCATTTCCTGAGGCTGAGGTATATATTTTTTGTATGATTGTTAAAGCATATTTGAAAATTAATTAGAACTTCATTTTTACTGAAAACTAAACAAAAAAAGGAAGAAGTAAAGATACTTGAGCTAGCCCAATACATATTCATGATCCGTCTATTGGATAGATAACTTCTTAGCAAGTTATATTTTACCACACAAACATGTATGATTTTGCAAACAGTTTAGGGAAATGCAAGAGTAGAAATAATTAATCAAGAGTTTTTTTCCCCAAAAGACAACTACTCTATATTTTGTCTCTAGTTATCTAAGTCACACACTTTTCACCTCTTCGTTACATTCAACCTCTGCTAAACAGCGTTCAATGGTTTTTATCCATCTGAGATATCAATATGTGAAGCTCACAAAATGTAGGCGGGTTGAGGAGAAGTTTGCCCACTAATTTTCTTGCTTTTATATGTTGCAGCTGATGATTGACGTTTTTTCAAACCTCATCTGTTGAGCTTTTGTTTTATAAGTAGGATCAAGTAAAGGGTATTTCTTCCTCTAAAACCGCCTTAATTTTGTGATCGAAATACCATTCCCATACTGGCGATGGTTGACCAGATGTCTGGATTGATCTTGTCAGATAAAATATAGTTCAACACTGACCTGTTGGACACAAGACTCGGATAAAGACACACTTGGTTGGCGTCCACTCGATCTTCCGATGTTTTTATGAACCGATCTACCACCTTGTACGCTCTAATGGATGTTGCACCTAGTTAACAAAATATACAATGTTACTTTAGTTAGTACAAAAACGAAAATTAGCACTGTCAATGAAAAGCTATCTGTTATGCTCCCTTTGGGTAAAAACCTGGCTACCTACCCCGCCATTTAGGGGATGTCTATGTCAGTTTCCAAAATGAATTATTAATTTAACAATGATAGGAAATAACAATTTTACAGTTTGATAGAGATAAGATTATGTTGCCTACCTGAGACAGTTTCGCTGAAGTGAGAATAAACTGGAGATCTAGACACCGACTCTATCCTCTTCAACTGACGAGATGTAGTAATGTATACTTTCTGTTAGGAAAAGGCAAAACTAATAAATTTTAGGGTTACAAAAGGAAAACCTTACTGCTACTAACTGCTCGTTAAGTACAGTAAAAACATAATTAACACAAAAGCAACAGGTTAAAATTTATGATTTTAAACTAAAAGCAATATTGTAAAAAGGTTGTTAAAATAATAAGTTTTAATAATTAATTTGGTAACTTAACGAATAGCTGAGTGGATATAGTCTAGGATATAGTGGATATATCTATCAAATGGGCTGATCTTGAGAAAAAGTTCAAATATGTTTAATGGTTGGAAACTGGAACAAGAGTTATCCTTGCATTGGGCTTTTAATAAATGGCCGTGGCTAAGGAACCGGCTGATCTTAGTCAGTGTGGTAAAGTAACAGACCAATTAGGTTAAAGGATTTAGAGGAATAAGTAAAATGTATTGCTTCAAACGCCAACTTATCAGCTGGTAACGATCAATTCAATTGTTTATCTGCAGACTTTTGCCGGAAACTCACAAATGTTGTCCTTAACGAAACTGAACTAAACAATTTTGATTTGTTAACCAACAGTTGCAGGAAGGTTTATTGAAAGATTTTGAAAATGACTAAAGACTATCTTGACACGATCATTGTGTAAACTACTACAAGCTGCTATACCCGTGCTTTGCAACGGGAAAAAATGTGACCTAGAGAGCTATTAAAGTGGTGCTTATGTGCATTTTAAAATACAGCAACTCTATGATTTAGTTTGAAAATATAAACTGATTTAAAAGCGTAAACCTACTAACTTTCAAACCTCTACTTTTGATGTTAATAGATCCCTAAGAATATGACAACATACCTTAGTGTAGCAATAGCATCAATTGCTTCATATTGATGCTTCATGAATGGCATGTTTTACTATAATTCTTCAATTTTAGTCAAAGCCTCTTCACATGTAGCTTACTATATAATTAAAAAATGAAACTTTGAGCAATACTTTACAAAACGTATACAACCTCACTTCAAAATTAAACATAAACCCTCCTCAATCTACATAATCGTCACAAACATCTTTTTTGAGTAAATAAACAAACACCAGTTTATTGTACTGACCAGCTGTTTCATTAAATTAAATCATTTAAACATTGGAAGCATGCCAGGCGTAGCCCTTTGGAAATCAGCCTGTGGGGCAGAGCCCTTAGGAAATTCGTCTATATCAATACTTTTCGGCTAATCTACACACTCTAAGCTTCATTTTGATGTGCCATATGCCTATATTTTTATTTGGTAAATGACCTTAACCGTTTACATAAAATTTGATTGTATCACTTTAATAATATAATAGATATTACAGCTTCAGTTGTTTTAGATTTCCACTCATATTTAGTGTGTAAAGTATTCTAAAACACACCTGTACACCATAGTAGAGAAGTCCTACGGGTAAAATGACAGTGGCAAAGAGAGGTGTGGAGTAAGTGATGACTACGATCGTCCCAATAACCTGCAAGGAATAATCTTCATTAGAAATGGTCTACAACAATAACAAACAAATCCAGAGTTAAAGCGTAGTTCTATACCTGACTCTCAAGCTACGGCTAGAGATGGGAAATGTACTTGGCAATAACAGTGTTTCTTAACTTTTTTCTTCCTCTTCAAGGACGATTATCGATTAAGCTGAGTAGCGATTGATAGGAAGACACAGCCAGCTGTGTTTTACTCGCTCGTTCAGGCGACCTTTAACTCAGTTTGCTCCGAAGATGGATAACTGTTAGGCATCCGACACGTTGGCCTCTAGTCTAACTTTTCCAACAACGGTCATCACATGAATACCTGGATTCGACAATCGGCTTTGACCGAAAATCTATCATCTAAATTAACTGCTCTCTTATTCATGAATACAAAATATTGCTTATATTTAATTTGTAGTGCACGAACACCAATATTACCAAAATATATCGAATGTATAATAATATTTGCTGTAATATTTTACTACGGCAAAATCAACTGAATACTTGAAATAAAGTTTGAAAATACAGCCAAAATCCTATTTATTTATTATTTATTTATTTATTTAATACATGTCATTACATCATTTTTTGACAGGACATAAAGTCATATACAGGATATACTAAAACTAAGAAATAACAAAAATGTCTTACTAAATTATTAATCTAACTTAACGTCCCTATTTAAATAACATTCTATAGAAAAAAATTTTTTTGTTTTTAACCAGGTCTTCAGGGTGGACCTGAACTGTGTTTTACTATCAATATTTTCTTTATTTCAATTTTTTATGCGGAGTGGTAACTTATTGTAAACTTGTGGGCCTATATATTGGGGAGATAAATGAAATTTCTCTAATCTATGGGTTTCAGGCTTAATATAACTCTTAAATCTAGTGTGGTGGGAATTAATGGGTTGGTTCATGAATGAGGAGAGATTGTCTTTAACCCAATTTGAAATTTCTAAAATATAGTGATCATAAAATGTTAAAACCGAAAATGTTTGAAAAAGACTTTTACAAGGAGTTCTACGAGGAACTCGCCCAATAATTCTAATTGCTTTTTGTTGAAGTTTGAATATTTTGTTGGAGTGGCATGAGTTTCCCCAAACCAGAATACCATATGTCATTATTGAAGAAAAATAAGCATGATAAACTATAAGCTGAGTCTTCAAGTCAACAGCTTGTCTGATTGCACGAAGAGAGAAAATACAGCGGTTTAATCGTTTAATCAAATTAACAACTTGTGATTTCCAGTTAAGATTTTCATTGACAGTTATACCTAAAAAATTCACATTTTGCTGCAGTGGCATTTTAGATTTTGATGTTGTAATTTTACCTGTTTTATATTGATTATTATTAGACCTAAATTCTATAAGCTGAGTTTTATCATCATTCATAACCAACCCATTCACCTGGAACCAGTCTCTGAGCGCTTGCACCTCCCTGTCGAGTGTGTGTCGCAGGGAGTCGATACTGGGTGCCGTACATAGCACCATTGTATCGTCTGCATACTGAAAGAGTTCCATATTGGAGACTTGAGGTAGGTCATTAACATAGATTATGAACATACTAGGGCCCAGTATCGACCCCTGAGGCACACCACATGGTACTTTCCCCCAAGTTGAATAAACAGTTTCATTATTTTTTGTTAATTTAGTTCTCTGAAACCGATTAGAAAGATAAGAAGAAAATAAATTAATTTCTTTGCCTTTAATACCAATTTTTTTAAATTTACCAATGAGGATGTCGTGATCAACGCAATCAAACGCCCGGGACAGGTCACAGAGAACACCAGCTGCTCTCTGATATCCATCCAGAGCCCGTGTGATGCAGTTAACCATTCTTGCCATTGATGTTTGACAACTGTGCCCTTTTCGGAAACCAAATTGAGTATTGTTTAAGATGTTGTTACTTTCTAAAAAAGATCGTAATTGAATATCAATAGCTTTTTCAAATATTTTGGAAAAACATGGAAGTAATGCGATAGGACGATAATTGTCTAGGTTGTTTTTGTCGTTTTTCTTAAATAATGGTCTAATTTCAGAATATTTTAATTTATCAGGAAAAATTCCCTGCTCCAGAGACTGGTTTATGAGCTTGCACAAAGGTTCTTGGATAAAGTCTATTACATGTTTAATAACAAATAACGGAATTTCATCCCACCCTGAAGCCTTGGATGGTTTCAAAGAAAACACTATCTTTCTTATATCAGATATGCTTAATTTATTAAATGTAAACATATTATTTTGCTCACTGACCATGAAACTCATTGCCTTTTTTCCATCTGGATTAGATTGAACCTTATTTTTTACATTCAGAAAATTCTCATTAAAACTATTAGCCAATTCTTTTTTTATTTTGTAACTATTCTGTTGGGATGTATTCTCAATTTGATATGGAATTTCATTGTCCTTTTTATTTACGCCCATCTCCTTGTTTAGTACAGCCCAAGTGGCTTTAGTTATATTCGATGATTTTTTAATATAATTTTCATTTGACAGTTTTTTAGAAAGGGTAGTGACTTTTTTGAAAAATTTTTTATATGTCTTAAAATAGTTGATAAAGTCTTGGTTTTTGTTCCACTTTGATTCTTCGTGCAACAAACGTTTATTCCCTGCCGAAATTTTTATTCCATTTGTAACCCAATTTTTGTGTTCACTTTTTTTATTTGTGGATTTAAATAGTTTTAAAGGGAATGCATTATTGAAATTCAACAAAACATTTGAAAGAAAACTATTGTAGTTAATGTTAACGTCAAGAGAGGGGTCAAATTGCCATAATGATGATTGTAAATTGTTCCTGAAATTTTCCATGTTATCACATGAAAAAAATCTTCTGAAAATGGATTTAGACTTAGTTAAATTTTTTGTGTTGATTTCACCCAGGCATAATAATAATAGAGCTTCATGGTCCGAGTCACCTGCATTTATTACAATTTTATGAGCCTGGCTGGTTAAAGATCTATTATTTGAGAAAACATTGTCAATACATGATTTAGACAATGGAGTAATTCTTGTGGGATCCACAAAATGATGTTTTAAACCATGCTGTTCACAAATGTACTGTAATTGCTTTCCTCTGTTACCGCCATTCAAAAAGTCCATATTATGATCCATACAGATAACAATATTTTTTAACTGTAATTCGTGTGAAATCTTATCTAACAAAGAGTCAAATTTGCTCAAAAAACATTTATCAATATCATGATTTGGAATCCTGTATATTGAAATAAAAAGGGTTTTCCACTGAGATATCTCAATAAAACTAGCTTCAAAAGAGTTTTCCTCATTTTCAAACTTTAGATCATCTCTTAGTTTAAAATCAAGTTCATTAGATACTAAAATAGCAGATCCTCCTCTTTTTTTTAATTTTCCTACAAAAATAGTCCCCAACCTTGAATTTTCCTAATCTATTGACAGAAGAGAGTATATTGTTATCAGACAGCCAATGCTCATTTAGAGATATTATTTTGACATTTTTTTTCTAAGTTTTCAAGAAATAAATTTAAATCATAATAGTTATTCATGAAGCCTTGAATATTCCAATGCAAAATCCAAGGTTGTTTATTAATATTATTTGAACTACTGATTTGTAAAACATATTTTTGTTGCAAGACTTTCATTGGTACAGAGGAATTTATATTAGAACATTTTATGGAATTATTAAAACAATTATCTTTTCTTAGATCCCTATATGTACATGCAGAAATATTTTCTTTGTCATAAAGATCTAGTTTAAAGCTGGAACTTTGGAGCACAGGTCACTGACACTATATTGCCCATATTTTCCACTTTCACTGGACACTTGGTTCGCTGGCTCCTTGAGGTCATCATTGGTGTTGCCTCCATGTGTTAAAGGTGGGCAGGTCCGAGGTTGGTAAGGGTAGAGGTCATCCGTGGTACTGGTATTGTCTCCAGATGTAGATTGCACAGTTACAGGAGAACAGGTCTCAGGCTGGTTAGCACTAAAGGCGTCAGGGGAAGGTTCAGCTTGTAAATATTTACTTAGGATGTTATGTTTCAAACTGGCATTAAACTCCTCGTAAGAAAGTCCATTCCACAGCACTCTGGAGGCCCAGCATTGTTTGTAAGATATTATTTCTACCTGGGCTCCAGTGAGCCTGTGAAATTTCACAATATTGGCTGCAAAATGTTCCACTGGTATTTCATCCCGCACACACCCCATGGCTGAGCAGATTAATTTATAAAATCTCTTTTTTTTAAAGTCTTCAGTTAAATCTGCGAAAGCTGAATCATAATCTTGATGTTTAGGTTTGGCATTAAACTTGCCTTTGGTAACAAGACCATAGACTCCGGCTCCACCTGGGACTTGTTGAAAGGCAAGATAGTCAGTTAAGCAGTCAGAAGCAAGTGGTTTGCCAAAAAGTCTCTTAAAAGTTACTGCCACACCAGCCGACATCTGTCTGTGTGCTCCAAAATCGCCTGATATGGTGTGCGCGAAAGCATTATTTTTGATTAGTTTTTCTTCCGAAATTTTATCTTCCATATTCATCTCCAAAACCTTGATTGGAATCTGATGCTTATGGTATTGTTGATTTATTTTTTTATTGTTCCACCAAATAAGAGTTTTTAAAAATATCCGAACTAGTTGAGTCTTGCCTTTAATGTTCAGGTGTAAACCATGCAGGGTATAATGTTGTCGCTTCAGTTGATTTAGGTTAATAATTGTAATGTTGTTTAACCGAGCTGCAACCTCCACGATGTAGTTATTAACCATTTGAATTTGATTATTTTCCGTACTATCCTGAGACTTGTCGTGTCGAATGGGTATGGTACATAAGAAAATCGGTCTGTCATTTGAAATCGATTTCAGTTCACTTTCTAGGTTCTTATAGATGTTTGTAAAGTTCCCCTTCAAACTGTCATTAGACCCTCCGAGAATTAGCAAAGGACCGTTTGCTTTGTCTATTGTAACTGAATCAATTACTTGCATTAACGTGGTGTTAGGCCTTACATAGCCGAAAGCTGAAACAGCACCATCACTTAGTTCAGTAATTATCGGAGCTAAGTCCTTCCCTTGGCTGTCCGCACAGAAAGTAATTTTAGTTTCATGGATCTTATTTACTCTAGTATTCTTGTATCTTCTTTGTTTTTTATTATTTCTTTGCGCTCTGTTAATTGTCTCCGAAATATCTTGACCATTCTTTTGACAGCTACTATCATTAAGAATTTCAAACCTGTTACACAAAGCCAAGGTGTGTTGTTCGGCTGATGTGGATTGCTTTATTGTCTTATTAAATTTGTTGTTAGGTCTTCCTTTAACAGTATTCCAGCTACCGTTACGGTTCGATTGAAACTTGCCAGGATTATCACTTTTCATGGAAATACTTTCAGGAGGTTTTAAAATTACTTTCTCTTCCTGCGGGATGCTTTCCCCATTTCTTCTCAACATTAACGAGATAATGGTTTCATCAGAGATTTTTCCCATATTAAAAAGCACATATGAGAGAAGGGAACGTTTTCTAATCATGTCATATTGAGTCAGTTTAGCCTGTAGGATAAAGTCAATATTTAAAAATCCAGTTGTAATAATATCGTGTACCAAAGATTCTACTGTCCAGCACATAAAAACCCCACAGTCACTGGTGTTAGACTGTTGTGGTCCGCCAAGTGCAACAAAATTAAGTGGCATTGTTCCATTAAGGTAGGTGGATAGTTTGTTTGCAACCAGAAGGGCGCTAGCTTCATTATACGGTGACATAGAGTCAAAGTACAAAAATTTGTTTTCAGGTTTATTGAACACTAATGTACTCCAGTGAGAACCACTATCTGATTGTGTTAGGTTTACTGAATCATTAACGGGCAAAATAACAATCTCTTTTTCCTTAACATTGAGTGAGTCTAGCATGAAATAAAAATCATTGGTATTCTTCATAATATGCACAACCAAGGGATTTAATATTAAGCTTGATTTTTTATCTAGAAAATTATCATTCAACAACTGAAAACAAGGTTGTATTGATAGATCAGTAAGCCATTTTCCATTCAAAAGCTCATCAGAAACTAGCAACATTTTTGCAGCTTCAATGTCAGTTTGAGTTTCAGATGTTGAATAGGGTTGGATATTTTGTATTTCAGTTTGAGTACCTATAGATTCATTTGAGCTCAGTGAAATGGAAGAGTCCGTCGAAACTTGACTACTTAGTGACTCATTAATACTTGAAATCGAGGAAATATTACTTTTGTCTTTTTTGTAAGAGAAATTAAAATCCTCTATTTTGAATGAAAAGTTTTTTTCCTCAATATATTTTTGAAGTTCTTTTCTTGATCGAAATATTTTACCTCCCGGTGATTTAACATAAATATCAACCTTGCCCTTACTCAGGCCAGTTTTCCTCGGTTTCTCCTCCCTTGTCCATCCACGAGGCAGGGCTGAGATTTGTATGGAATCCTTTTTAATGGAATCCATTTAGAATCATCAAATATAAAATAAATAAATAAATATATAAATAGGTTATTATATTAGGAACAGTTACAGATAAATTTATTTATCGTGATTCCAACAATTCATTGTTGATAAACAATTGTTCCACCTTGTTAATGCGATCAATGAGATGTGGCAACAAAACAATATAGCCTTATCAGTTACAGTTCAAAGATCAGTCCCTTGCAAACAAACTTTGTTGTGATGAAATTAAACGGCCGTCTTGCCTACCTAGTCAAAGGTCAACTCACAAACTTTCCTTGTCCAGCCTTATCAGTGGTCCCATCTTATCTCTTCTCTGCATAATCCTGAATTATATTAAAATATTATTCGGAAAAACCCTGATATTTAATAACTGGTTATTTAAATAGAAAAACTGGTTCTGCACTTTTATGAAGAGTTAAAAACTGAATATTTACATATGAAAAACTGAATAGAGAAAGTATAATTAACTGTAAAAATTTCAAAAAAATGAGGAGCACAAGTTTAACAGGTTTCACTACATCAGGGGCTTCCCCCACTCTCCTCATATCATAGATATTAACCGTAAACACTTACGTTTCCAAACCCAGTAAGTGCAGTACTGAAGGTGAACGGAAGAGTGTTGTCGATGACGTCGACGTCTTTGCCGAACCTGTTGACCAGACGACCAGTAGGCGTAGTGTCGAAGAAGCTCATTGGACAATGTAAGATGTTGCCCAGCATAGAGCTGTGGAGGTAACGGGATGCCAAAACTGTGCCAAACGCCAAAGCATAGGCTCCAGCTATCACTGCTGCCACTGTTTAAAAAAAATTTTATTTCAGCAAAGTTATTTTATTGTTGTTTTATTAGTGATACGATGTCAAGTTATAGATGAACACTCATTCCTACTACAACAAATCCACTTACTTTGACTGAAGCCTAGAGCCGTGTAGACTTCCAGATAGAAGTTGCGTTTATCCTTGTCCTGCACACCGTCCACGGCCGCGGAGGTATCTGACGACCAATCAGACAGCCAGATGTTAGATGCAATACCCAACGCTTGTGATACCAGCTGGAAACCTAGTGTCGCTACAGACAGGAGTAAGCCTGCCGACTTGAGGTAGTGCATGTAGACACCCAGCTTTACCTGTCAAATAATCAAATAATAAATTGTAGTTTGTATACCGTACGGTTACCTATTTATTAAAGGTGTTAGTGTTTGTTGTTGGAAAAAATCGTTGTTGTTAAATATTCATCAATGATATATTACTTTGTAGGCTTATATTTTCTGCAACATAACCAGAAATCAGAAATCAGAAATCCTTTATTGTCATTAAGCAAAACAATCTTGCAATAGACATAGTCACATATTATGGTAAAATAGGGTTACACAGTAACCCAGTCAGACTAGATTAATAAGCTAATATCACAGACAATAACAGGTAAAAATTTAAAAGTTTAAAAGTAAAAAGAAGGCTGTAGGCTGGGTGGAGAATATACTAGATAAACTATTAAACATCAAAACTTAACAACTTTTACATCAAAAAACTCTTTAATCACATAAAAAGGATGTTCAACAAGCCAGTTGTATAGCCTATCTTTAAAAACCAACTCAGGCAACGCTCTTGACTCAGAGTGCAATACATTGAATAACTTTAAGCTCATGATTGAATGGTTACTGGCACATTTACTTAGTCTATGGGACGGAATTTCAAGTAGAGAGTTAGATCTAGTGTAATGAGAATGGAAATCTTTTCTAACAGCCAAGTCTCCTAATTTTAATTTAACATCAAGTAAACACACATATATGTACAGGTTAATGACAGTCAATATCCTAGTTTTTATAAACAAAGGTCTACAATGGGCTTTGAGAGCTGATTTGGTTACTATTCTAAGTGCCTTTTTCTGAAGTAACAAAACATCACTTATATTACTACCGTTACCCCAGAGAATCAGACCATAGCTTAACACTGACTGAAAAAATGCAAAATAGGCTACTCGGATATATTTCTCAGAAACAACAGTTTTTAACCTATTCACTAAATAAATAACTCTTGACAGTTTTGAACATACTAAATCAATGTGAGCTGACCAAGAAAGGCTGCTGTCAATCAACACACCCAGGACTTTTATGGGCCTAACCTCTTTACAAATTACACCTGAGCCCAAATCTTTGTTTTTAGTATGGCAAACTAGGTGTTGTGTCTTGTCTACATTAAGAAGGAGTTTATTGGCACTAAACCAATCCCCAGCTTGTTTCATTGTATGTTCTACAGATAACTTTAACCTATTGAGATCAGGGTGAACAGTTAGGAACGTTGTATCATCTGCAAACATTGTGGTTTGAGAACCCTCAATACTAAGTGGCAAATCATTGACAGAAATCAAAAAGAGTAGGGGACCAAGTACCGAGCCTTGGGGAACCCCAGTTTTCACTTCAACGCACCTGGAATGCACACCCTTTGCATCAACAAACTGTGAACGACCACTTAAATAAGACTTAAAAAATTGGAGAGGACAACCACGGATGCCATAGTGCTCCAATTTACACAGCAAGAGACCATGATCGACACAATCAAAAGCCTTGCTCAAATCACACGCAGTCACCTGAGCAAGACTCCTTCCCTCAAAAGCTTCCAAAATCCCAGAAACAAAGCAATCAATGGCATCCGTAGTTGACCTTCCACTCAGAAAACCAAACTGACATGCAGAAAAAAGCTTAAATCTATCAAAGTGTGTACATACCTGGTGCTTTACAATTCGTTCAATTAATTTACCTAAAATAGGCACTAATGACACTGGTCGATAATTCTTGACATTACTTTTGCAACCCTTTTTGTGAATAGGAACAACTCGTGCTATTTTCAGCACTTCTGGGAAAACTCCTTCCCTTAAAATCGCATTGATACACAACACCAAAGGAAGCAATATTGCACTCAGAATATACCGGATTATGTAACCCGAGAGGCCGAACACATCTTTACTTTTTGAAGCTTTCATGGCCCGCACTTCACTTATAACCTCCTCACTGGACACATATTTCCATTCAAGGTGAGCTTCACAACGACCGGACCTACGAAGCAGTTCCTCTGAAGACACATCAGGCTGATCGATGGTACTTCTGGCTTCCTCTACTGAGCTGATGAAGAAGTTGTTAAACTCCTCAGGGGAGATCCCCACCTCGACATCCGGAACATTGTTGGTTGTGCTCTTCTTGATGATGTTCCAAGCTGTTCGGCTTTTGTTGGAAGCGGACTCGATGGATCTGTCGTTTGCATCTAGTTTTGCCTGGTTGACTGCCGATTTGTAGATCTTCCGACTGCAATTGTATGCCTTAAGTGCCACCTCGCTAGGAGAAGCTTGAAGTATTGTACGATAGGCCATAGTCCTTTCTTTCATTTTTTTCAAATCCTGTGTGTACCAAGATTTTCCTGCACCACTCGAAGTTTTGTTCTTCTTTCTTACGATTTTCTCCGGGCAACTTATGTAAAAAACATCCAGAAGAGTGTAGAAAAAAACATTAAATAAGTCCTCAGCAGGTAAATTACCAAAGTTTAACAGAGGCAGCCAGTCAATTTGTAGTAAATTGGATTTAAATTCTTGTAAACGCTTCAAAGAGACGTCTCTATTGACAACTGTAGGTATTTCTGGTCGAGTAGAAGATTGGACCAACTCCACTGTAAGCTCCAGCCCATCATGGTCAGACATATCAGGGTAGACCACTTTAGAAGAATATAACTCTTCCGAGATGTTGGTAAAGATGTTGTCGAGACAGGCGTTGAACCTAGTTGGCGCTCTGTTAATGTAATGACAGTTAAATTGTTCCAGAGTGTAGACAAGCTGCTTCACGCTTTGTAGTTTATTATTTACATCAAATTTGGCATTGAAGTCACCACCAATTATTATATTACACTTGAAACGATCTAAGAATATTAATAACAGTTCCAAATTAGTGAGAAAGATGTTGCTGTCTCCAGAAGGTGAATGGTAAACCGATACTATAGCCAAATTAAAAGCCTTGATAAATACACCAGAACATTCAAAATTCTTTTCAACACAGAGCCAATCCAGTTTTAAATTCTCAAAACTTATCAGGCTGGATACAAAGATACCAGTACCACCCCTAATGAAATTCTTCCGACAAAAAAACGCTGCACTTCTGAAGCCGTCTAGGTTAAGGAACTCCACTTCTTCTTCAACGAGCCAATGTTCATTTAAGCAGATAATACTATACTCGTTTTCAGTACTTTCTATTTCTAACATATTTAGCTTGCCTTGTAATCCTTGAACATAGTGATGTAAAATACCCGGGTATTTAAAACTCGGGGTAAATACCCAAAATCCATAAATACCCGGGTATTTTGGGTATTTATGAAATCGATTGAAATTCATTTATATCTACCCCTAAATATGTTATTGTTATTATTACATGATAAATTAGCATAGTCTATACAGTAACTTTAAGCTTTGCTAGTACCTTTTATTTAATGATTCAGCACTTTTTTTTAAATATTACATTTAAAGTTTCTAAATAAGCATTTAGTTTCGTGTCTTAAATCGAGTAACATCAGTTAAATTTTGAAAAACTTGCCAAAAGATGGTATATTAAAAAAGGCTGTAACTATTTCAATTGTTATCATTTTATAAATTTATAACCAATTAAATAACATAAACAAAATTATTTTAATTTATAAATATCCAGGAATTGTTGGGTACCTATTTATGATGCAATAAAAACAGTTGAACTTGCCATAAATAGTTTTATTAACAATACATTATTGCGTAGGCCTATAACATTTTAGAATACTACAAATTCCTAAGGCCTGAATGACATAGGCAGAATACTAAAAGTAATTATAATTAAACATTTCTGTGTTACCGCTTGGTTGGAAACAATAATATATTTGGATAAACCTACTAAAAAAATGTGTCTCCTGTTTTTTGGCCTAACTTAATATAATTTTGAAAGATTTATTGTGCTACAGATTCAAATGTTTTGTATCACAAGTTTATGAAATTACTGATTGAATTTTAATTATTTTCTTCTTAAAAGTTGTTAACACATAGGCCACTACTAGGTTAAATTTTCCTGTCTTTCTAAAGGCCGGTCCACACGCAAGGATTTCGCGAACGTTTTATCTGCGCAGGTAAAACGTTGCAGTCAAGTCGTTGCAAAGAAATGCGTCCACACAGTACAGGTTTCAGCACCAACTTTTAGTGCAGTTTTGTGATAACTTTCAGTGTATGTGCATGTAATATCATGGAAGATGTGTTTCTGTTGGCAATTTCTGCAGCCAGTGTTACAAGTAAGCAAAGAAATAAGTCTGAGATACGACGGCGCTCGTATGGTCAAGACGTTGGTTACTAAAATGACAACAAACTTCATAATAGTTTCTCTGTTCACGCTTGAATCTACTGCTTTGTATTTTTCAAAAGTATGTAAGTCTTTTTTCTTATCACAGTCACTGTATTCCTTACTCTTGACCCTCCATAAATTAAGGACACTTCTGGACAGTTCGACGAATTCAGCAATAAAATCACGGGAACATTGGCGAAGATCTGCGGTCGTAATTAAAAAACACACTTATACGTCTGACAGCACGTGAAGACAACACTGCATACTGGGGTTTTGAGCGTGAAGACGGAGTTGAAACGGATGACAGTGTCCACACGCAACGACTTGTCTGAAAACGTTGTTAAAACTATGCTCTCAGCAATAGTTTTATCGCTCCGTCTTCCGTCTCCGCGCAGTTCTCAAAAATGCACAGTTTTGCGGTACACACGCAACGATTTACTTGCGCAGGTAAAACGTACGGTAAATCCTTGCGTGTAGACCGGCCTTAAATAATAATTATTACTTTACAAATTATTTTTCTTTGCTTTCAATAAAATAAATTCATCTCTCTATCATAGAAATTAAAAAATCATAAGTAGTCAGGACCAGTGCAACCATGCGACCAAGGGGTATTTATGCCGATTATGCTTTATGCTGAGACCTGGGTATTTATGGCGATAATACCCATAAGTAAAATGCTAGTAGTGACCAAATGAAATGTCGTTTAACACATTTTATTATCATTTTACTATCCTTACAGGGTAATAATTGCAAAAAAACATCTCAATCTTTTCTAACTTTAATACAAATTATAAATACCCAGTTTTTGGGTATTTACCCAGGCCTGGGGTAAATACCCGGGTAAATACCCAATTTATATTTACCTACCCACTGGGTATTTACCCGGCCCACATCACTACTTGAACATTTAAGAATAAACATTTAAGTACACAGGATCCTTTACGCTGTAGGCCTACGACATTTGACTTACAATGTAGTGATGTTGAGGTAGATAGGCCTAGGCCTAGTTCCATATGGACTTTAGGAGGTGTTAGTTCTTTTTGCGTTGCGGTCTCGCATTCCATAAAAACTCTTCCTATCATTGTGGAACGGTCTAGGTTTAGGTCTAGGTGATGTGTACTCACACACAAGTACACCTTCAGGCCACAGTTCCGGCTTTATAATGTTGTCTACGTCTTCCGGGTTGACTCCTACCTTATAGGACTTGTAGCCAGGGAATTTAGTCCTAACTTCTTCACAAATCACGTTACTAGTATTAACGCCCACCTGTTCTAAATGTTCCTTAATGTCCTCGGGTTTGCATTGTAGTGACAATCGAGATACAAACACCCACTCCTTCTTCTGAGCCGAAATCAAATTGGAATTCTCCACACTAGGCTTAGAACCCACAACAGTTTTCTTACTATGGTTAACAGATAACCTCTTCTCTTTTTCGCTAAGTTTATCTAACTTGCCACGGGGGTTAGGCTTAGGCCTACCCAGAGCCTTGGTATCTTGATTGGTAGTCTTATTTTGGGCTGCTATTTGTGCATATGTTTCGATATCATTGGAACCATCAGATATTTTTTCAACACTAGAAACATTTAATACTTCGATATTAACATTTTCATTGTTCATTACATTTGAATCGGATGTGCAACGATCACTTTCGTCTGTAGTGGTAGGCCTATTCCCAATAATGTTTGCGGTTGGAATTGATTTGCTAGAGTTTTCAACTTGTTTCAGCCGCTCATCTATTTTAACGTAATTAGTTTGAATCAAGTCTAATTTATCCCAGATCAATTTTAAGCTGGTATTGTCATTGGTATTGCCACTCAAATGTTCATTTTTCAAACGGTCTATGAAACGTTTAACCTCACTTTCACATGCAGAGCAGAACCACATAGCTTTACCCTTCAATTCTTCAAATTTTTTGCATTCTTCTTTAGTTATTTTGCTACATTTGAGGTGAAACCACTTTTCACATATACCTCCGCAAAAAATACCTCCCGTTTTATTAGTAACTTTATAATTACATTCACCACAGTGCTCGTCGTCTTTACTTCCACCCGCCATTTTTGAACACACAGGACGCCATAATAATTTATTTATTTATATATCATACCAAAATACAAACATATCCCTGTAAGTAAACAACATGTATCTATGAAAAGCTCATTGTTCATAGGGTTTGGGGAAAAAAACAAAAAAAAAAACGTAAAACAAATTGATAGAATAACTTGCTTACACTGCCTGTTTCCGTCTTTTCTGCTTGTATGAGTTTGTCTATTTGAGAAGTCAAAGTTTGAATATTTTCTTCACTTGCTGTAGAGGCTTTTCTATGGCTGAAACAATTGTATCAATGTTAAATTGCTTCGTTTTTGTGACTTGTAAAATATTTCTATACCAGTGTTTACTAGATGACCTAGAATAGTATAAGTATCATTAAGCAGCATATGAATAATAGGGTGCACTGTTAGAGTGGTGGTTTCTGTCGTGTTTTGGATATCAGCGCCAAAAGGGCAGGTTCTTAATGGTATAATATCAAAATCAAATTGATGGATTTTGATTATTTCATTATTTGTGTTTAAAATCCCTAGCTAAAATGAGTGCTTCTGATTTAGATACCATCAAGGAAAAGTCATAGAATAACAGTTATTCTATACAAACTGCCAAGTAAATGTTTTTTTTTGAAAAAACATACAAAAGAATTTTTAAGTAACGTTTTACTGTAGGGACGGACAGGATTTAATTTTTAATTCAGGACTGGACTGGATTTTTATTTCATTCCTGATTTTTTGGGCGGGAAGGGACAGGATGGCTTAGCCATTTGAATATTACAGTAGGCCTATGTGTAAAACTTGTTTACAAAATAATTGAACACAAGGCTCATGTTACCTCAACACTATTTCATTTAACGGCTAGCAGCTACTTACTATGCAAAAATAGTCCATAAACTCACCTAAAATTTGACGAAGAAGTAGATCTCACAGAACCAGATTTACTCAGTTGCCTTTGAATCTGAACTTTCAAAGTGGGATTTTCCTCAATTAGTTCTTCCAATTCTGAAACCGACAAAGGTTAGATCTCGAGTCCTCAATATAAAGCAAAAACCCTTACATTAATGGCATTTTGCATTGCAAAATTATTTTTGAAAAATTATTAAAAACTATTAAATTCTTGACTTTTTGTTCTCAACAATTAGTCCTGGTATAGGTTTTGTAGCATTTTCTGGTTCAGTATTATTGAACCCCAGAGTTCTCGATTGCATGCCTTTTGATAAATAGGCTACACGACTCAATAATTTTAATAATTATTATTTATTTATTTTTACAAAGTTTTTATGTGAACATACTGTTAAATTTAAATATGTATGTAAAACTTAAATATGTAGGTGCCCCCGAACTTTCTACTGACTATTCCTGGACCAAATACAAACTAAAATCATATTAAAAAAACTAAAATATCATATTACAAATTTCCAAAACTCAAAACGACATATTTGAGTAATATCTTATGGTCTTTTTAACTCTAAACAACATTGTACGGTACAACACCCAATCCTGTTTCAAAAGTTTTTGCAACTTATGTGATTTTCCACATAACAAGTCAAGTTAGTCTCACCACACCTAATTTAAAGGTTGTTGGTGTTGCCAAGCTGGGAGAAAGTATTGTCAGTTTGCTGAAATCATTATTATAAAGTTTTTTTTTATAGTTAAGGATGTTTTTATCATCCTTGTTAATGATATAAAAACACTCAATAAGGCAAGAGATTTACAATGTGCGCGCTAACCTCCTTCGACCTCAAGTTCGTCCTTTGACTCGGTGATGTGTTGAACTAAGAAGTCTGAGAATTCTCCCTTGTTGTTCAGCAACTCTTTGAATGTTCCTGTTTCAATTATCTCTCCATTTTTCATCACTACAATGACGTCTACTTGAGGTAGGAAAGTTACTCCGTGTGTCACCATGACTCGAGTCTAGAAGAAAAAGAAAAAGACTGTAAAATTTAAAAAATACTCCTGTTCGACAATACAAATTTAAGTCTATGAATTTTTATTACTTTACAATTTATGACAACCATACTTAGTCAAGACCTGACTCTTATTAAGTTTGTTTCCTTCTCATAACCTAGAACTTAAAGAAAGTGTAGTTCAAGTTAAGCCTAGAAAAAATGTTCGGTAAAAAAATAAGAAATGGTTAGAATAGACTGCTCTATAAATTAGAAAAAGTTTTAATGTTCAATTTTTGAATCTCATGATTTATAAAAATTATGAAGCTGGATTTGGAATTTTGTTGAAGGATGTCTAGCATAAGAATATACATGACTTTTATAATAGACAAAAGGATTAAATATGGACTGACAAAGGAAGGTTCTACGATGCTCACTGTTTGTTGCCGTCGTCAATTCACTGTCTGCTACCAGCACTACCACCCTTGCAAACGAAATGACCAAGTTTTTAAAACACAAAAAATAACATAACAAACTCCTACTCCCCAGATTCCGGGGAATTCTTCAGAAGCTGACAACCCTGGCTCCAACTACCAACTTGTCATTTCGCAAGCGCTTGACTCTACAGCGGTGTGCACCGAAACTACACGGCACTCCTAACAAACACAGCACTGCTTTCAGTCTATATTTAATTCTTTTGTCAATGCTTTTATGCAACTCATCATTTGAAAGATTCCCTACCAGCCGTCACACTCCTCTGTGTATATAGTCTCCTGAGACCTGGTAGTTAATGTGGTGAAATGAAAACCTTAAAGTTTAAGTCTAAGATCTATATTCATGTTTTAATTTTAACTCCAGACAAATCCAACCCAGTTCGTTATACTTTACGTCCTCACCTTTCTGCTGAGCACTCCCTTAGGTCCGATGACGTTCTCAAAGATGTGTTTCCCCACATGTGAGTCTACAGCACTGAGTGGATCATCTAGTAGATAAGTGTCAGCATCATTGTATACTGCCCTGGCTAGACTGACTCTCTGCTTCTGGCCACCACTCAGGTTTATGCCCTGGAATACAATACAAATAATTATTATGATTTGATTTTTTAAAAACAAGTTGTTAACTAGGGATGTGTCCAACTGTCGATTCTCAATAACACCGATTCTTGAACATTGGCATCAGTGTCGAAGAATCTATTGTCAAGACTCTATTCCGATACCGATACCCGAGACATCTGTAAAGATTGCACAATAGAAAAATTCATGATTTCACGATCCGGATAACGACGATAGCGCTTCCATGACTGCAGGAGACAATGATGATGTCTAAGCGATCGTAGGAGATGATTTGAATATTCTCGCAATCGCAGAAGACAATTATAATGTCTACACTAGAAGATGTTCATGATTTTGTCACGATCGTGGAAGATGGTGATGATAATCCAGTGACAACATGTATTGTGATATTCGGTGTTTTGCTGCGATAGCAAAAGGTGGTGATAATGATTCTGTGACCACAGGAGATATTCAATATTGTACTGTGATCACAAAGGGCAATGATAATGTCAACAAGACCGCAGGAGATGTTCATGATTTTATTGCAATCGTAAAAGACGATGATGATGTTTCTATCACCAATGGAAATATTTAGAAGGTATTGCAGCCCGCGGGAGACAAAGATGATGTTTCTGTTACTGCGCGGTATGTTTAGGATTTGGCCACGATTGCAACAGACAATGATAAAGTTTCATAGTTACAGCGTCACATATGTCAGGGTTTTGCTGTGAAAGCAAAAGAAAAACTATGTTGATATTCCTGTGACCGTGGGAGAAATTTAATATTGCTATTTAGTAGATGATGGACCCCTTAGAGCAGAGAAATTTCAAGAAGCTGATAAATCAGGGATAACAATGAAACTCATGACCAACTGCATTGAAGTCTGGATTAAACGATTCATATGCAAAAGAACGGGGATTTTAGCCAACAAAAGATGCGTTAATTTAAATTTAAGTTGACATTTCTACAAATGTGTTTGAACTTACCTTTTCACCAATTTCCGTTTTGTCTCCTCCAGGAAGCATGTCCAGGTCTTGCTTTAGTGAACAAGATTCAATGGTTTTGTAGTATCTCTTGGCATCGTAGGCACTGCCAAACAAAATGTTGTCCCGCACTGTTGCATTCTGTATCCAAGCTTGCTGCGGCACGTAGGCAATAGAACCCTACAGGAGAAAGTAATTATTAATATTTCAATCTGTTTTGCCAACAAGCTAGACTCTCCATGAAGTTTGTGAACTTACATAACGCAAACATTCTGGGCTAAATGTTAAGTTGGTAAAGATAGAGAAAATAGTACAGATGCCAGTCACCCCCTGGGTAACAACATTCCAGAACTCTACAATATTCCAAAAAGTTTTACAAGACTCCACAATAATTCGCTTCTCCCACCCCAATATAACCTATGACCACGTGCACGCCTCTCTTAATTGAATGGTACTTTGCTCCAAAGATGGATATCCCTTAGGCATCCTGAACGTTGGCCTTTAGTTAAGCGTATTACAAAAAATCTGTTTACAGAGATGAACAAAATCTATTACGAGAGATTGGGTCATCAACCAAAGAATTTGATATAACAATTTACAGTGACAGAGGAAGCCTATCATCTAGATTACGTAACAAATGAAGACTCTCCGGTTCTTTTAAAACGTTATACTATTTTTGGTCTTTAGAATACACCCCTGTGATTTCTTGTTGTAGATGTAATATTATCATGTCTACTTAACATGTTTCCAATCATTGTTTCTTGTTGAAATAAGTCTTGAATCTTAATAAGTTAGTTTACATTTCAAATTCTACCAACTACTATTTCATATGACAACAAAATTGTTGTGCACATGATCTGAAGACAATTTAAAAAGTAAATTTTCCTCCTTGTACCTTTCATCTTGACAAAACTAGCTTTAGATCACCTCACAAAAGCCTTTTACCTTGGTATTAACGTATCCAGATATCTTGTCCATTTCTCCGAGGAAAGCGCTGATGAGAGAGCTCTTGCCGGCCCCCACGGCTCCGACCACGGCCACCAACGACCCTGGGTTGACCTTCAGCGTGATGTTGCGCAGAACAGCTGCATCTGCCTTCTCAGTGCCCCAGGAGAACGATCCGCCATCGATGATCAATGGTTCCTCTGGAAATAGATGGAAACGTAAAAGTTTAGTTTTTTTTATTTTGCATTACAAAGCTGTATTTGATCATGGGACTTTCAAAAAATGGCCCTGGTTACAGGGTAGTACAAATGCCTACAGGTTTTTTTTTTTTTTTTTTCGGGAGAGGAGGGAAAATGCTTTTCCGCACACAGGTAGCCAGCCTGTAGTGTGAGACTCCTGAAAATTGTCAGACTACTCACTAAAAAACCCCCTTTTACTCTGTTGGACACAGACCTGGAATTGTTTGTCACATTACTTCAAGTCAGGCCAACATGTGACCTAAGCCCTCAGGGCTCGCACCGTTTCTGGCATTTCGATTCTTATTCTTAATGACCTACAACCGCATCCCGGTCAAGGTCGATCTTCTTGGCGCGGAGAATACCCTGGATATAATGTGACACACAGGTCCAATTGTCCTCACCCTCCGTCATAATCGGTATGACCGTGTCCACCGACAGCAGTCCTATTAATTGTTGAGCCTCCAGGCGGGGCCTTTCCCAGCGCTGGCAGTGGAAAAATGTCTACAGGTTTATGCCTATAGGGGTTACAAAATGCCTATGGTATTGAAATACACAAGTTCAAATCCAAAAAATAACACATTGGATTAAAAAGCTCTCATGTGTGGATTTAAAATTGCATAGTTTAGTACTAAATCTCTATATATAAATTAAACATTCCCTAATTATTTTCTGATTTCCAATCACTCTTGTGATTCTACATGTAAGCTCACACACACTAGTATCTTAGCTAGAACAGATTGAAACTTACTTTTACTTTCATCATGTGACACTGAATTAAAGTCCAACTCCTCAGCATTCAAAAACCTGTTGATTCTCTTTACTGACACAATGCTCTGCAACAAACAAAACAAGTAAACATAAGAATTAAGTAAAGGGTAATCAAACTTAAAAATTGTATAAACTGTGAATATAACACCTTATTTGATCATGATGTAAAAACTTAAAATTAAAGTCAAATGAATTTTATGCGATAATTCAAAGTAAGAATAATAATTGTGTGGCGTAAAAAATTTTCAAGTTGAAAAGTTTGTATAGGTTTTAAAATAAAAAGAGTTTAAATACATTATGTATATAACATAAACAATATTGTTTTTAATAGCATGACAATATTAAAGAAAATATATAATATTATAAATATAAATCAAAATCTTTGAAAAACAAACCTGGACTAACAACTGGATCATCATGGGGAAGAAAGAAATGGCAGCTCTCATAACGTTGAAAAGTGCCGTGGCAACAAAAGCTATTTCTACTGTGAGAACGTTGTGTTCATCAACTAAAACGTAGACTCCAAATGTTGCAAGTGAAACCTGAAAATAGTATTGATTCAGTAAGAATTCACAAAAAACAATGTTATTATAGTTAATTTTGTTTCCTACTTAAAAATGTTGCACATATCTAGCCTGGGGATAAAGGATTTTGTGGGAACAGAAATATTTAGCTTGTCAAATGCCTAAGCCACCAATAGCATTTAAATCAAAATAAAATTTGATAAAGAACGATTCAGTAGTCTCACTCAATCATTATGCCCTTCATTTTCTTACATTCAGCCTATTGGAAAAGCTGCAACTAAGATTTATTTTAAAGAGTCCAGGCTTATAAGTAGACCATGAAATTGCATTGCAGCCGAAACAGCTTATTGTGCACTGCAACTAAGATCATTCTTACCAGAAATGATGAGCAGCCCCATACAAACGATGTGGAAGCGTTGAGTAAAGCTGCTCTTCTCATTAGCTTCAGCTCTTTCTCTCGGATTTTTGATATATAATCCTTGAAACTCGGTTCCCATGCATACAGCTTCAAAACCTACAAGTAAAGATTAAATACAGTAGCATTGACTTGGGATACTGGAAGTGTACTTGTTATCCTATTACAAGATCTAAAACCTGTTTAGATGAGTTTCACGTCCCATACGAGTGTTGTGTGGACCAAACGACCAAAAGGTTGTTCTCTTATTTGAGTGTAAAGTATATTCTACTGTAAGGGATTTACTCTTTAGAAATGATTTGAGAGATTTAAAGTTTGATCAAATAAACACTATCTAACTGAAAATATCCAAAGTTCACATACACGTACAGAAACGTCAGAAACAAACCTTAAAATTAAAAGTTAAAATTATCTTTGATCAAACCACAAATATTAAACAATAAACTAAACATATAATGGAGTATTTTTCTTTTAGAAATTACAGTAGTACAGAGTTTTGAGTTTCTTGTACCAATTTAAACAGTTCCTATCCAGGTAAGCCTAATCCTGTGTTTCCCTATAGGCCTACAAGATTTTTATACCAAAACCAGGATTTTTAGGTCCTTTGAGCCAAAACAGGATGAGGTATAAAACGGGATTTTTGGCTCTGACGTCCTGTTTTTCTTTTTTAAACTGTTCTTTAGATAAAAACTACATGACAACAAAAATGACTCTGAAAAGAACGAGGAATTGCATTCGGGATAAAACAGATTATATTCAATTCAAATGGAAAAAGTGGGGGTTTCTTGACTGGGTAATTAGGATTTTTGTTTTTGTCTTGTGGACTCACTGCTGCTATCCTCACCAAACTCCTGAAAAACTAGGTCACTAGGTCCTTGTGCTAGTTATTACATCCTTAACCTTATGGGAGTATGAATTCATAAAAAAGGGTTGTAGCCAATGCTGCCTGTGGACGTTTCTAAGTGGAAATTGTTATTTTAACATTTATGATTTTTATTCAAAAAGATAACGAGTAAAAGGTTCTGGCTTTACCTTGATTCCGGACAAGACCTCGTTCATAAGTTTGACTCTTTCATCTTTGTACTTCATTTGTTTCATCTGGAGAAACTTGACTTTGTTCGCAATGAAAGAGTTCACTGGTATGATGATTATCATAACTGCAAGCCCTGCTAGAGTTGACGGACCTGGAATTGATCATAGAATTGTAATTAAAAGATAGCTGTTGTAAAAGACAGATATTGTAAGAAAATTCTTATGTTATGCTTAATTGAAAATGGCTCCTTTCAATGCATGCGTTTCAGGGCTAAGGAAGTCCTTTTTACTGATTGCTTACAATCAAAGTTCACAACCAAGTAAAATCAGCTGAGTTTTACTCCCTATGGAGTAAAAAAGGCTTTTGCTCCCTAGGGACACATTTTTGTGGGTCTAGCCTCTAGACCTACTTTAGACCCACAAACCCATAGTTTACAAACAGATTTTTTTCATGCAAGACAAAATATACTATTAAATTTGTTTTAGTGGATGAAATATGTAAAATCTAATCTATAAACTTTCCAAACCATAGAGTAACATCTGAATAAATACAGCTGATCCATACAGACTGATCTTTAGTCATTTACCCAGTATTTGCCATAGGAAGTACAGAGCGACCGCGATGGTGATAGGAGACGTCCACAGCATGTGGGCAAACGGGGCAAAGTCCGCACATCGCTGAGCGTCCACCGCCATCAGGTTGACCACCTCCCCTACAGTAGAGGTCTTGCGAGCTGAATTGGAAATACGGAGAGCCTAAAACAATCACAGATAAGCGTGTAGCTATAGTTCTTGGAACTTATTTTTAGAGGTTGTGATTGGTAGGGATCGTTTTATGTGTACAGATAAAAGGTGATTCCTAATTGGCAGAGGGTATTTCAGTGTTTCTTAAAATTACGTCCTTTTTTTGGCACTGGTAAAGAAACAGTGATAACATTTGAGTTTCTAACTTAACTTGTATCCTTTTGACTAACTTTACTCTTACTGGTTTTTTCCATATTTACAGTTTAAGAAGTGCTACCTAGAACATTTTCAAGCAAAGTACATATTTTTGTGAAATGATTACCAAATTGATTCAGTATTGCTATTAACAAACTAGCAAGGCCATTTGGTAAACTAGCAGATATCTAGAAAGTCGGAAAAAATTTCATCTCACAAGCTGTCTCATTTGGCCAGCAATAATTGAAAGAAACTAAATCAGGTGGAAAAAATTTGGTTTTTTTTCTGTTTTGATAGCAAAGAAGGTATGAGTGAACAATGTGATTATGAATATATTTGGGTTCCTCATGTATCTGAAACTCCCTGGTTTGATTCCAATTAAGATTGTTACCCGACCCAGATGCCATTCGTCATTTAGTTATCAATTATTAATGCTATTTTACAAAAGTTTGACGTTAGTAACATCAGAGGTTGCACTGTACCCTTACAAATTTAAAAAATGCCAATATCATAGGAAAACACACAAAAAAAGCAAGTATGAATCTATAACACATATGTACTATAACAACGATAAAAGAAATACCTTTCTATAAACAGCAGACATTAGGGCTGTCCTCCAGTTCAGTCCAACGATGTACATCGTCATAAGGCTTTGATGGAAACATATCGTCTGCAGTTGAGCGGAAACAAGCATCCCAACTGCGTAGAGGATACCTCTCCACATGTACTCCTTGCCAGCTACGAACTTTATCATCACACTGTAAACAGGTTACAGATTTACTTTTATACATAACTATTCAAGCAGATTCAGCATATTGTATTATGGTATTGACGTGTACGGTCTTTAGCAGAAAGCCGTACAGCGGTTTGAACATAATAAAGTTAATTCTGGCGCTACCGTTACCTTGTCGGATGTTGGATGTCTCGAAGGTGGATGATGTCCGTCACGTCCAAGGTAGTGAATGTTTAGTCCAGGGGATGGAAGCGGTGTAGAAAACAGCATTGTACACCAATGGTGCGGTTCCAACAACAAGGGAAATGACTAGCACTGGTGAGGTTGAAATGACTGGTATATTGAGAAAACTAAGACTGACATAAAATGAAGTTAATTGTGAAACAATGAGATTGAAAGAGAGTCCATGTAATATGATGTAAGTAAAAGGACGTCTGCCCGTGACGCTGTCGGCAATGCTAGTGAGGAGCGTCTCCAGTAGTCAGAGTGGGGACGATTCGCCGTAGATAACGTTGGGTAAGGTTAGGGTAGCACCAATCTAAGGATTTTAAATAAGTACCGAACATTCCCCCCACCCAAAAAAGCAATTTTTTGAGAACATATTAAAAAACATTAAAGAAACTGTAAATCTTTAAATCAACTTGATCAACTTGCCCTTTGGCAAGACTGATATGGTTAGTTCAAAAAGTTTCAGTTTTGTAACTGCCATTTTCAACTTTTTACAGAAGAAATCCCTTAAATGGGCAAAACATCATTTTTTGTGTTGTGAATTTTTTTTCTGTGCTCTCAACTACCTAGACTCTTTTCTTTGGTAAGTTAGTTGTGTGTATAACCCGAAATCCTATAAAGAAACAATTGTTGAAAATAAATTAGTCTTTACTTACTTCAGCAGTTGAGGATTGACAAAAGCCAACATGTCGCCAGATAACTTGACGACTCCTGCAGTTATAATTGGTAACCACAATACTCTAATTGTCGGGCCCAGGATTGAAATGGGTTTTCTGGATCTGTTCCTTTGACTTGTAAGTGTTCCATAGGAAGATGATTTTCCATTTGTTGCTGTAAATGCCCTGAAAAAAATTAATTTTAAGCTTGGGAGATTTAGTTTTTTTGTGTACCTGGCTACCAAACTTTTGTCTTAATTATTTTATTTTACCCGATACAGTGCCTGGTATGGGAAATGCAAAAAATAAACGAAAAATGAGTGGCAGTTTCAGGTTTCGATGTTTTTCAAATGCATCACAAAAAAGCGGTAAACTCTATTTAGGACAACTGTGATCTACATTATTTTAACCTGTTTCTAGTTAAGTGAGTTTCCTTATGATTTTTTTTAACCTATACAAGCCGTTGGCTCAGACGGTAACATTGTTAGCATTCTCATTATCCTACATAAAAATTGCATTTCCTTTCATATCGAGAGTATTCTAGCACAAAACATAATGATCTAAGAGATTCATAAATTCAATACATGATTCAAATAAATTTAATATTTCATCAAAATGTACTTACTCTGGAACTCCCGGTATTGTTGGTGACCTAAACCAATACTTTTCAAATCTGGGAATAATTTGGCCAGCTGTGTCTTGAAACCTCAGGTCCCAAAGATCTGCTACTGTAAGCGGACTTTTGAAACCCTTCCATATCAAACGGTCGAACCATGCGAACAATACTCTTGAAGCGTAAGATGCGTGAACCTCTGGACATAGTTTCTGAAAAAGTTAAAAATAAAGTATTTATAAAATGGTTTAGTAATTTGAAGTTTGTTATTTAAATCCTAATTTTAAAAATAGTTCAACTAGTTAAACATACTGAACCCACCTTACTTTGGGGGTAGAAGGTTTCCCTTGGTGGTGGGTCAGGAAATAAATTTAAAATCAGCATCACAACCACAATTGGATAGTAGATCATGTAAAGTATGAACTTGAAGTTTGACTCCTCATCTATCTGAAACAAAGAAGTAAATGAACATTCAACCAAAAAAGAGTGTTTTGTAATTGTAAGGGCTATTTTGATATTTTTTGACTTCGTAGAGTGATAAAAGTTTTTCTTTATGTTATAGGATTTCCATTACTGAGCATAGTTGTATTTTTGGAGCAAAAGAAAGAACAGACTTAGTCACCCAGTACGGTAGCTGCCAAAAAGCATTCAAAGTGATTCATTTGGCGATGCAGAATACTATCCTCAGGAAAACCATCCCCCCCAGGTGAAACGTGACGTCACGAAATCTGCCAACTAACCAATATTGGAGCCGGATCCACGACTGGAACAGCAAACTGTGATGCTATGTATATATAAAATTTTATTTGATACATCCCCCCCCCCCCCCGTCCACTGATGTCAACATGACCTAGAGACCTGTTTGAGGGGGGTAGTTGTTCTGGGGCTATTCTTCTGAAACCACACATGCGACCAACTTTGTCCTCCCATACATTACTGCAGTCAGTACCATGGTATGCCTATACTAAAACCAGACTGCAAAGGATCATCTTCACAACTACCTCAAACAAAGAACCAACCGACAAACTAAAAACTCATGGTGTGGTTTCAATATAGTCCATTCTTTACAGAAAATGAATTTTTTACAAAATGATATTGGTAGACAAAAGTACTCTACAGTACAAGCATTGTAGGCTACTGGTAACAACACTAATTTCCAACACATTGTATTATTCTCTATGAATATGCTATTTACCTCTTTACTTCTCAGCCTCAACTCGGTTCTGAACTGAACGGCTCCTCCGATAGTGAGCAAAAGGAAGAAGAAGAACAACACCCCAGAAGTGTGTCGGCCTCTGACTCGGTTCCACAGTAGTATCACAGTTGTTAACAGCTGTTAAACATTGAATAAAGAAAGCAAATTTAATAGTATTTACTATTTGTAGCTACGATAGTTAAGGATAACGATGAGATAATGTGAAAACATTTTCAAATATAAAATTTTACTTTTAGAAAGACTTTTTGATAGCAAATTGTTATGAGTGAATACTGCTCAGTATGTAAATGACATTTTTAACTATTTTTAGTAATATGCATGCATGGTATACTTACAAATGATGCAGTTTGTATGGCAGGTGTCCATACATCCACAGGATAAATATTTTCCTCCTTGGAATTAAAAATTGACCATACTAAGCTGACAGCGCTAACTCCAATGAGAGCTAAGTTCCCAACCTGTTACAAAAACACACAAATTTGTTAATATACTAAATCCGTGGCGGTTCTAGGATCTTGTCGAGGGAGGGCTACGGGGGGGGGGGGGGATCATGGTACAAGTACTTTTAAAGCCATTTGGCAACTTTCTAAAGCAAATTTTATCATCTAGAACTGTATGCAAAAACCTCAAAACGTTTTTAGGACAAAATGTATGTTAAAATTTATTTTCCCAGGGTCCGATGGCGAGGGATTTAGCGCCTGTAGCCCCCTTTGGAACCGCCACTGCTACAAATGTTAAAAATAGATAGATAAAAATAGTGCATGTTATTTTTTAACTTCTGTTTTCAGCAATTCCTAGATGTTGATACAAATCAAGCATAACTAACTAAATATACCTACAATGGTATACACAGAAAGTAATTATGTATGTATGTTTACATCAAAGAAAGGTATAAAATATAATATAGGCCCTAATCAAAATTGAGGGAGCTTGTTATTAGATTAATATAAGTTGAACATTTTTCCTTATCACTATTTTTGTGATAGCCATGGTCTGTAACAAATTCACCCACCAGTTTCAGTAGGTTGATGGCTCTCCAAGGGATGTCCCTGCATTTGCTCCGTTGGATGAGGCAGATCTCCAACGGAGTGGCGAGCCACAGCACCAAGCATGGAGTCCATGTCAGAACAGTCTTCTCAAAACACAAAGACAGGTCTGGGTCCTCAGTATCCCACGAGACCGCTGGGTCCTGAAATGTCAAGGCTTATGTTAGATGTTGTATGATTCAAATCAGTATATCAAGCTTGTCCATTATATCTTGGCTTTAGTATGGTACTCCTAAAAATATAAATAAAACCAATATAATGAGTATTCTAATTAAATCTGGGGATATAGTATGTGTCAGATTGCTGATACAGGTTATTGTATTTTCAAACTCATTTGGAAAGGCTACTCTTGTTCCAAATATCCACATCCAAAGTAGAATGTAAGTAGATTGTGCTATTTAGGAAACACTAAATATTCAAAAATGGCTTTAAGCCCTTTAAATATTCAATTCTTTATTTCTAAGGCTGTTAACATTTACATAGTTTTCAAAACGAATATTTTGTGAGATTTTTACCAAGGTAGGATTTGCTATCTAACTCAATCTCTCAAAGGTTTGGACTGAACAAATATTTACCAAAAATTAAACAGTCTTGTGAGGAATATTTTTCTTTTTCATAAAATATGTCACTATTTGTACATAATGGAAAGAAATTATCTTGAATCTTGACAAGTGAGAACATTAACATTGAAGAAGTTAGAGAAAAACAGACAATAACATTTACACACTAGGGAAATTCAAGTCGTAGTTGTTATGATAAGAACAAATCACGCAAGTCACTCTAAGTGATAAGTGATAAGACGACCTCACACAATCAAAATTGGGCTTAGAGAATTTACAACCCAAGAATCAGGCTAATGGTTTTGTTCTTGTACTTTGTTCTGGCTGATATACACTATTGAACTAAAAACCGAAAGAAAATATTTTAATCCAGAGTTGTATAACGTTCTGGGATAATTTTGAAACAATGGTTTCAACGGGTAACTAAGTTTATAGGCCGGGGCCACACGTGGCGGATCGTCCGCGCGGCTTATGATCGTACGATCATAAGCCGCGCGACGATGTCCCGGCCACACGGAGCGGATGAACCGCTTCCGGTTGAGGTTTCCCAGCCTACGTACTGAGATTCTAACATGGTTTAATTCACTCGTTCTCGTTGTAGTCATGGAAGAAACACGTATGTTAGTTTGTGCATTAAAAGCGTGTGGTGAGCTAGAGCCTAAGGCAAACAGAAATAAATGAGTCCATAACCGATAAACCATTTGTGTTCCAAACCTTTTACGAGCACATGCGAAACCATAGTTCGGAGTCTTTTTTTGTTGCTATTGCATGTAGATAGCATCTAGCATCGTTTGACGAGCTACTTCAATTGCTTTGACCGCATATAACTGAGGAAGATATACTCATGAGAAATGTACAACATGAGGATTCCCACATTTTCTTTAACAAGTTCTATTGATTTGTCTGTATCGAACATTTTACACCTATAACCCGAAACGCACAAGCACAAACTAAAAAAAAACAAAAAAAAAAACAACAACTACAAATGCTTGAAAATGAGCTCCAACCGCGCGGACAATCCGTATCGTGTGGCCACTCTCATAAGACTACGTGTGTCATCCCCTCCAACGCGGCTTATGATCGCGCGGACAATCCGCGACATGGCGCGGACAATCCGCCCAGGCGGCTTAGGATCGCCCCGTGTGGCCACTCTCATTTGATTCAATGTGTTGTCGGACCACGCGGATCATCCGCGGTCCGTCCGCGCGGATGATCCGCGTCTTGTTGTCCCGGCCTAAGGCCTACATTCTATTGTTATTTTTTATCGGACAGGCACCATGATAACTGGACTACTAGGACACGATAAAAGGACATTGACCCCAAAAATAACGTCCACAGATCTTAACGATATATTCCTAGTTTACGAATTGAAATTAAAAAATCAATGCCATGGTTTGATATTGTACACTCTTATTGAGTCACCTTTATTATTGGTCAACGATGCGGGATGTGTTTTAATGTAGGCCTACTGTTTATTTATTGTTATTTTCACAACTTTATGATTCGATATGTTTATTCATCGATGTATTGAGGCCTTAGTGAAAACATGGTATTTCGGTTACTAATCTTAACAGGTTTACGAATAACACGTATATATTTCAATCCCTGCATTTGAATAAAACAGATAATCTTAACACAAGAAGATAACTCCGACGTCTAAACTAAGGGTTGTTTTTGCTCGTAGGCGGGGCGTGCCGTCGACGTGTCGGTAAGGGATAAGGTTATTGTTTGATGGGGCAAAAGATGTGTCGAAGGGAATTAATTTACAGCGTGTTTAACGCTAAACCTCTGGCGAAGCCAAGTCGAGCTTGTAGTAAACAATTGACAATGCATCCCTTCTTCTTCTTCCCACCGCAAATCAAACGACCCCTTGTAAACAGCAACTGAATTTGATGAGACGAAAACAATAATTGATTAAAAGCCTTATTGTACATTTTTTAAGGATAAAGGTCACAGAAATGACTTGTCAATGTGTATTAAAAACGTTTGTAATCGCATGACTACCATTCACGATTTCCTCAGTTACCTTTTGGTAAATCAGTTAAATTAAAAATAAACTGTATCAACAATCTGACAGATACTTTCTCCCATTAGCTTGTCAAAACCCCTTGTAGGCGTAGGTTTTTTTGTAAGCGGTGGGAGTTGAGTTATAACTATGTTGGGTAAAATTGCAATAACTTTTGAATTGTAATTTTTACAGCATAGGTGGTTGTACCATTTTTTAGTTTAAAGGATAATAATATACTACATTTTAATCAAAATCATTCGAGCCGTTCTTGATGTCATTGATCCATTCAACTTCAAACAAAATTGTACTCCCACCTTACCCATAATAACGGTACTTTCACACTAAGGTTTCCGCCATCTTGTTGTTGAAAACAGTACGATTTTACGCAGTTTCACATTCTGTACTAGTAGTAACAGACAACTATTCTCTGTGGTAGTAGACATTTGGGTAACGTTTAAAAACACCCCGAGAACTTACTACAGAGGTAGCATTTATCGGAAAAGGTTGCTGAAGCTACAACTGCACATCTGTGCTGATAGGATTCCTAGAAAATAGCACAAAGCATGTGCTGCATCTTCATCTTCCTTATCAGCAAGCTGTAGGCAGCTGAGGACTTTTACGCGCGTGTAGTGTTCACACAATAATGGAATCGCCCAAACAATTAGTTGTTCAAAAATGTTCAAGAGTCAACGATGAACTATTTCACATTAGAATAATTGTTATGTGGATTGAAAACTTTGACTAGCCATTCATAAATAATAATGAATAAGTTAACTATTTACGTTTACTTATTATACGTTAACTATTGTTAGTTTAAAGATCAGAATATCACTATGGATCTGAATTTTAAATACATCTCCCCTAAGTGCATATTCAACTAAAAAAACGGATGTTGCCTAAAAAGGATATGACTGTGCACAAAAGTTTATGAAGTGCCGTAGTTTTATTTTTAGACGTAAAAGAGATTGACACATGACTTATGCGTTTTTGTATTTGTTATTTTGGTTGAATAAACGAGTTATTCAGTAAATGAATGCTCAATGCTCGTCATATTATCAAAACTCGTACATTAAATCATTGAAAGTGACGGGACATTTTGGAATGGTTAAATAAAATTATTTTCCCATGATTCTACAAGGACACTTATCGTCCAATTGTGAAATCAGGAGCCCGTCTGGTTGTGTGTTCACGACCAATTACGTTTGAGAGTGTATAATTTTTGTCTAATTTCCTGGTAAATTTATCAGTGTGTACCTTAATAGTTGGCAACAATTAGATGAGAAGCACACGTTTTTGAACTATGAGAGTGATTAGTTGAAACGATGACTATATAGTTTAAATATCCAATAGTTGAAACGGAAATTATTAATTATTTCATCATCTTTGGTTGAATTGTTTTTTATTTATAGGTATTTCTGTAATTTTTTATCTTTTCAAATTTGTTTTTTATTTGAACGAATGCGTTTGTAAATTAGCATTTGCCGTAAGGAATTTAAAAAAATCGGGACATTCTTCGTTGGTCGAATGGGGCCAACACAAGTAGACAACTGACAAATTACGACCAAACACAACAATGACTCATTCCGACAAGTAATTGCCTCAATTGTTTCGAGTCTTCGCACATACACAAAACTCTCTTCTCTTCTTGTGGAGTATATATTCGAGAAAACGATCTACACAGGAGATATTTTGTAACACAGTGTTTAAAGTCCCTAAAATCTAGTACTTATAAATTATCCAAACTTAAAAGAGAAAAGCTATCATGCGCGAGTTTAGTACCCACGGTTCGGCAACCAAAACTATTTTCTAGCGTGACCATGCAGTTTTTGTGAACTCTTCTCAATAAGGAGAACAAACTTAGTAACGTGACTACGCATATATATTTGTTTAACCTTTTATCCCCCTGTATTGTTTTCAATGTTGCCTAAATGAGATTTTAAAGATGGGTGGATATTTGTACACAGCCACAGAATGTAGGGAGACAACGGTTTAGTGTAAATTATAATTTTGCATACTTTAAGTTCAATGATTCGTTTTTAAAATAACTATTGAACGGCTATAGGATGTCTTACTGATTTCCCAGCAACGCAATTATCTAGGCCTACGCTTAAAAACTGGAATAATATCAGAAAATATTTCAGATCATCACAGAAGGGTGGGAAGTCTACTTGCAGTATCTATTGCTATTTTAGTCTACCACTTTTATAAAACTTAACAATTTCTCTAAGCTAGATGGATCTACACAAACACACCTAATCACGCATTGCAACTGATGGCACACATTTTAAGTTTATTTCCAAGAAGTCTAAAACTTGATATTATTCTGAAACGTGTGTCCTACCTCTGAGGTTTATGCCTAATCCGCCCTTAGGATAATTAATGGCTACATACTAAATTTTAAGGTGACACGTTTTTGCTAGTTTAATTCGTCAATTCGTTGTAACCTTTCCTAGTCAATGGTTGTTTGTAACACAGTTGTAACAGCTGTTAGCGTGTAGCGAGATAATCACAGATGGCGAGGGCGAGGTAACCGTAATCAGTAATGACCTTGACGATTACTGTAATCAAAGGAGTTCGCATGAGCCCGCTCATCTTCAAGGTCAAAACATCCAACTGGATACAAAAAACCGCAGACAGACGTGCCAGAGAGTTCAAACAATTTGAGCAAAGTTTCAATTGGGAATTGTTGCTAAAATGCTCGAAATGTAGTCTACTAGAATTTAACATAGCCTTAAAAATCATTAAAAAGGAGATAAATTGATTCACAGCAATCAACGGCAAAAATAGCAAAAATGGTCATATATAATAAAATTATGTTAAATTGTTTAGTAAAATTTCTCACTCATAGCAATTGGAGAGTGATTGTTTTAAATCTTGGTAATCAAGTACCTAATGAGTTATATTGGGTAATATTTTTGTTCAAACAAATTTGACCATTGACTAAAGCTAGTTTTGTATTGCAAAAATGGTATTATCGGCATAACTTAGTTTATCATGCAGTGTTTTATAGTCCAAATAATTATTGGTAGCTTATCATTAAGTTGAAGACGTAATTATTATGAATTACCCTAAGACAATACTTTGAAATTTGACAACATATTCGACACAGTTTTTCAAATAACAAAGCAATTTATTTGCAAAATTCAATCTAAAAATAGTTCCAAGATTTTTTTAAATACGATTTAACTCGTAAATTGTCTCAAAATTGTGTTAAAAGTGAAAAATAATTGCAATATGCGTTACAATTTGTAAATAAAACTATAATTAAAATATAGGCAGTTATTAATACATTATTAGTTATAGATTAAGATGTAAGTTGTATTTGCTATTTCGCAATGAAGGTGATAACGGACAGTGTTACATATTATTACGTTAACCTTATCAACATTTCATAACCTAAAGCCGGTTCAAAAATTCACCCTACTTACCAAAAATGTTGAGCTGCAAAATGCATCATCTTTGGAAATATTCATTGGAAGACAATCATGTAATCACAACAAAAGGAACAATATATCACTGAGACACCAATAGGTTGATCGCGAAAATGTTAATGTAAACAAACAAACACCAGTAACTTAACAGTTTCACCAAAGACACCAGCACCAGCACAAGCTTCCTCGACAACACGAACAAACGGAGTGAAGCGAAGCGAAGAAAAGAAAGTAACCTACAAGAAAAGAACAAAACAAGTAGAAGGACTGCGGGCTGCGGGACGCGGGATTAGGATAGGAACAGCTGTTCCGTTCTATTCCTACATTCCTCTGCTGCCGATCAGGTTGGCCAGCTAATCCGAATTCGCGGGGAAAATAAATTTCCCTACCACTAAAAACGACCCTATCACAACTCAACTAAATAGTGTAAAAGTGTGTCCATGCCGAGATATCTCAGGAAAGGTTATATTTATTGAGATCTTGGGATTATTTAAGATTGTTTTGTCAGAAAAATGTCAAAACAATGTATATTCCTGTTAAAAACTCTTCAAAGGGCAGAAACTAAACACTGCAATCTGACCCGACAATGGTAACATTATAATTTCTTATTTCAAAGGTTTTAGTCACTGGTCTTAGTAAGCTAAACTGTAACATGTTAATTTGTTATTCACATGATTTGCATTATTAATTTGTCAAAGATACAGGAGTTCTCACTTTAACAGTTATCATAGGGCTTAATGCTAATGGATTAAGGAATTTGCAAAAAGAAAAAAATATTCTGTAAATTTGACTATTACATTTTGGTGAAAAATTAGTTGGGTATACAAAAAATAAAATAAAATAAAGCCAATTACAATATGCCTGCTGTAAAATAATTTTTAGTCCTTTGAGGGGATTTTAATGGGATGGATTGGTCAATATTGTATAGGTAAAAGGAATTTGTGCATGTTTATTTAACTTAAATTTCATAATTGTGTTTACATTTCCCCCTATTGTCAGTTACTAATGACTATGTGCAAGTTAAACATTGATTTTAACACATTGTGACAGTCTATTTAAACCTGCATTTAATCAATGAGTGGCTTCCGATTCTGAATTACCCTTTTATGGGGAAACTTTCCCTGGTTCCTGCTACCTTGAGGCTTATCAGAACTGTGAGCTAATCAGTTTCCCAGATAAGTGGCACTTATCCTTCCCTGCTTTCCAACCATGGATTGCACAATCACAACACTAACACTTACCACACATGTTATCTTCATTATTGTTTCTGCAAGTCATTTTGGACAATAATTTTAAAATTGTGCAACATAGAACATCTTCATAGATTTAGTTAAAACTTTCAGATCTTGTTGCCTCTACTTAAATGTACACAAATTGTTATGCTTTGTCTTGTAAAATGAGTATTCAACTGAGAAACCCAGTGTAAATATTTGTAAAAATAAGGAAAATGCCTGATCATCAGAAGGCATAAAACAATCCATCTGATTGTTTGGAGAGACTCGACCAAAACTGGATTTGAATCCTCGATCTGTGTTGCTTCTTCTCTGATCACCGATCAGAAATTCTAAACTAAAGGGTAAAAGCTTAATTGAAGGCCAATCCCTAGGTATGGCATGAAGTAACGTGAAAAACAATTCTGTATTAAGAGCCTAGCGTCCTAAAAAAAAATCAAATTGATTAGTCCATAATATTCTTCTAACGTGTACCTCCTCCACCTTGCTTGATTCATCCCATACTCAGGCTTTTGACCCCCATTTGTACAGGCTATTGCAAAGAAAAGAGAAGAGCTAGACCACTAACATTTTACAAAATAAACAAAATTATATTTGTATGCAAAGGAGTGAGTCGGTCACCTTGTAACTAAAATTATCCCCCAACACTTTATATACATTTACGCAAAGCAATGTAACCACAAAAACGCCCAGCTATTTAATTTGTTTACCAGATTTTGTGTTGTTTTTAACAAACAATTATTTAACACTGGTAAAATCTCAAACAAATAATTCCTATTTGGCAAGTCATTGTTTCAACAAATGAATCAACTTGTTTGAAAGGCTTGGAAGATTTATCTTGTAGTCGTTGGCTTTGTTTCATTATCTTGAGATTAACATGTTTGCTCTTTGCCACGGTTTACACACAACGTAAAGTTTACGTTGGTATAATGTTATATATGTTACAGTATGTTTACATCGTAAACAGGTTGTAGTGCTATAAAAGTTACCTTCATTGAGTTAACATGTCTTTTTGATCTCGGTTGGGAATTAATGTACATTTTTTCAATTGCAATTCGATTTCATTTCTAATTTAAATATCATTTAAAATGTGATACAATTTTAATGGCATGATACAAATGTACAGGATACAAAATATAATAGCCATAACATTTGAATAAATTTTTATTCAACAGTCAACATATATAAAATGTCAGTGAGCAAGAATATGAAATCAAGGCAGCATTTCCTTGGGTTTCTGGTCTTCTTGTCCACTTAAAACTTTAATGTAATCAGTACTGGTCATTCATATATTTTGGCTCACTTTTACCTCTGCTGGATACGTGATTCCATCCTCAGGCCAAATGGGTTAGCACTTAGCAGCAGGGTTGCCACTCGTCCCGATTCTGCCGGGACAGTCCTGATTTTGGATCCTTATGCCCGTATTAAAGCCTATGTTAATCCGGGAGGGAGGGGGCAATGTCCCGATTTTTCCCTGAACTAAGGTGGCAACCCTGCTTAGCAGTAACTAAAAATTCCATACAAGCTACCTTCGTAAAAACCAAAGTTATTTATAGTTTGAATCTTACACTATATGTATAAAATAACACAAAATTATTGTCTTAACCAACGAGAAAACAACACAGGAAACTGGAGGGAAGTGATTAAGTTATTCAAATCATAATAAAACAAAACATTATTTAATAACAAATATTAACAAAACAACACTTATCAACCTTTGATAATTACGTTCTTGACAAAATCTAAATTATAATTTTAGACAATTTGATTCATTAGTTTGTTTAAGTACAGTATTGGTTCACAAATGCAGTAATATAATAATTAAGTAACACTGTAAGCGATGGGCTGGTTTTGCTGATAATAATAACAGTCTACACCTATGATATGTAGTAAAATAATACATGTATGTGATGTATTCAAGAAAATCAAGTACAACAAAATAAAAAAAAATTATTGCCAGTTTGGCATTACAGTTATAACCTAAAATAGCAAGGAACGATTTTGTATAAAAGCTTTTTTATTCAAAGTATAAATATATATATTTTTACAAATTAACAAAAACTGTAGTTTGAATATGTGTAAAACCTTGACATATTATCGTTACATTATTAGCAACAATAAGAATGCTATAGAATACTTAATTTATTCTGCTAACTATAACCCTATTGGAAAAATGTGTCTTTCAAATGTGATAACTTATTTGTATATGTATATAAAAATATATAGTATGCTATATATGAAAAAATCTAAATCAAAAAATCAAAAGATCACAGATTGATGTAGAGCTATTTAAACATTAATTTTCCTACATTACCGGTATCAATATAGCCTAAGTCTAGGTTTTGTCCAAATTCATTTTGGCACGTAAAATTCACCATATCACAGTAAGTTTGAAAGCTTAACACTGTACAGTTATTTTTAAAGCTATAAGTGATGTTACAGATTTATATTGGAACATAAAAAATATTGATCAATAATGTACAATGAAAAATATCTGGTTTTAAGTTTTCTACAACTGATCTAACTAATATTTTCAGGAAATAAAAACATACTTTCTCTACAAAACTTAAAAAGTGAGGAACTTACCCTGTAAAGTTTTTGTTCAAAGTTACACTTCGTATAGATAATATTGTAAAGCATTTTACACTAAACCAGCATCTTTGGCCATTCCATAAAAGGTGGTAGAATCTGACCTTAAGAGGTTGGTCGGGGAATCAAACTCCTTGATCATGCCTTTATCAAGGACTAAAACTCTGAAACAGAAACAAAATTATCATAATGTTAATGTTGGGAAATAAACTCAGTCATTTGTCATTAAACTTTGGATAATCAAGAATTTATTCAGAGGGATGAAAATTAATTAATTAATTAATAATGTAATTAATTAGTTATGTAACTCCCTGTACAGTAGGACAGTGAACATAGCCTAAAAAAGCCAAAAAGTATTGGGTTCATAAAAAGTTATTACAATGAATTATAAGTTCAAAGTTAATGACTTTCTTAAAATTACAGTCAGTGAAAAATGATAATTAAAATTGGATAGCAAAGAGACATAGCCATTAAAGGCAAACCTAGGACTTTAATTCTAGTTAGCGCTGTTTCATCTGTGTTTTGGAGTCAAGATAACCTACCTGGTAACGCTAGTAAAGGGTAATCAATTAGAAATTTTCAAAATCTCTGATAATGAATAAAAACCTACCTATCAGAGTCCATGATAGTATTGAGTCTATGGGCTATAGTCAACACCGTGCAGTCCTTGAACTCTCTGCGGATTGTTTGTTGTATTATGTCGTCAGTTTCCAGATCAATGGCTGCCGTTGCTTCATCTAAGATCAACACTTTGGTCTTGCGTAACAGAGCTCGGGCTAAGCAGATCAGCTGTCTCTGACCAACACTGTAAGAAGAAGTTTAAGACTAGAGCCTAGACACATTTTATCCAACATATTCTCCAAAGACATAACTTATGACCAAAGCCGTGACTATTTACGTAAATTTACGTTTTAGAATCCAATGAGCCTAAGGATTGATAAACAATGTTGGTTTTGGTTTACTGATTGCTATGTAATGTAACTATGTAATGTAACTATGTATTTTGGTGCTGATTGCTACTATGCAATAATTTTTCAACACTCGAGAGAGATAACAACGGCGTTTTCATAATCACTGTGGATGTTAGAAGATTTGCTGCAACTGCGGGAGACGATGATGTTAGCTTGCTGTGTTAGTGAATACAATGGTGATGTCTTTGCAAACACGCAAAATGTTCAAAAATTTCCTGTGATGGCAATAGTTACATTACAAATTATAATACAGAAAAGCCCGGATTGTATAATAATGCTTGTTCTATCAGAACTGCTACAATTTTTTTTCTAGAAATTCAGAAGTCAATTACCTGACATTGTCTCCTCCCTCAGTGATGGTATGGTTGAGTCCTGCTGCCAGTCCTCGGGCAAAGTCATTGAGATGAGCGTGTTCCAAAGCTCTCCATATGTCACTGTCACTGTACTTCTCAAACGGATCAAGGTTCATCCTCAAGGAGCCAGAGAACAGCACAGGATCCTGGGAAGAAGGAAAAAAATTAATAATGTACTTCACCTTCAAGATGGGGTTTCTATACAAAATGAATAAATCTGTTGAGAAACTGGTGAGACTTCAATACGTAAAATGTTTTTATGTTTAAAAAAACCTTTTTATTGCTTTCTTTAAAATACTACCTTGGTAGGACTATTTTGTTTTTCATTGTCTACACTTTTTTTTTAAACACAATCCTGGGGCTATAAAAATGAATTATAATTACACTTTTTAATTAAAGTTGTCCCAACCTCTGTGACTTTTTTGTACAAATGTCAAATATATATTTAAAATCTGTCACTCCACCACTTAAGTCTCCACTTCCACTTAAGTCCACTAAATTACTGACCAAAGCTACTGTTCCCCAATCCATAGTCCATCCTTGCCTTGCTCAAAAAGATGTATTTATCTTTACAACAGATTAAGAAGCGTAACATTTTTTTATGGTACTACAGTCAACATCCAGTGAGACCTCTTATCACGCCCATGAGATAATTTTTCCATTGATTTATTGTAATGCTGCTTTATTACTTATTACAATTATTTATTTGATTTGATTTTGTAATCAAATTTGTATACATCCAACTTATAAACTTGATCTGGTTCTAAACAAACCGAACCTGTGGAATGATGGTGAGCTTGGAGCGGAGATCTCCCAGTCCCATTTCTGCGATGTTGATGCCATCAATGGCTATATGACCTCCGGCTGCTTCCAGGATACGGAAGAGACAGAGAGTGAGAGAAGACTTGCCTGCGCCTGTGCGGCCCACAATCCCCACCTGTAATAAAAACAATTAGTTCAGACTAAAACCTTACTTGTCGGCAATAAATATTGAGAGAATTACATAATTGGAAACTCAGAGAATTATTTAAAGATCATGTTATTGCCGCTGTGGTAGGGAGTAGAAGGATGAAATGAGTATGACATATCTTACTCGTAAGAAAAGAGGAACAACTCTTTACCAAAGAAAGTACTGGAGAACCCAGAAGGTAGAAGACCCCTTGTTAGACCAAAATACCCCTGCCGCAGCAAACCTGCCATCTAAGCGAATTTCCATTTGGCTGAATTGATTTTCAATCGACCTATTTAAATAACATTAGGTTTAACGAGTACCTAGGTTTACTGCTACAAGGAAACTAATAAAGTGGGTATTTTAAGTAAAATAATTATTGCTTAGTAGAAAATGAATACATTTGCCAAGTTTGATCAAAAGATATCCATAAACAAGCAAACTACAACATTTTACAATATTCTCCATAAAAATAACATGGGAATTTTAAATTTAAAATTTTTTTTAGTTTTCTCCGTAACCAATAACCGTACAAAAACACTTTGATATACTGAATTGTTTGTTTTTTTAAGCTCTTTAAGAAGGTTTAGAGAAAAATTGGGAAATTTTGTGTTTTGAGGGTCAAAAGTGAGAAAAACCAATTTTTACCCCATAAAACCCTGTTCCCATGGTCCGATCATGCTGGATCGCGAACTCATTCAAGTTTATCCTGCCTTACACCTTCAAACCAAATTTCATCAAAATCGGATAAAAATTACTCAAGTTATCGTGTTCACGGACACATATATATATAAATCTATATATATATATCTATATATATATATATATACATATATAAAAATTTGAACGAATGGTGTTTTTGGCCTCTGGGGACATCAAAATGAAAAAGTAAATCGGTCCTGGGCCTAAGTCTTACCATGAGACCTACGGTAATAGCTACTTCCCTATAGGGAAATTCGCTAACAAAATTGAGACGGTGGGACCAAGTAGAAAAGGACTTAAGAAAGCTGGGAAGAGGGAAGGAGGAGGACTTAAGACAGCTGGGAAGAGGGAAGGAGGAGGACTTAAGAAAGCTGGGAAGAGGGAAAGAAGAGGACTAAAGAAAGCTGGGAAGGAGGAAGGAGGACACAGGATGAAGAGATGTATAAAATGGGGATTGCCCCCCCCCCCAAATACTATCTAGGGTACCAGTGGCCACAACAATAAATAAGTAGGTAAAGTACCTTTTCTCCCCCGTTGACAGAGAGAGTGATTCCTCGTAACACCAACTCCAGTCCCTCCCTGTAGCGAACCTGGTAGTTCTGGAAGTTGATGGCACCATTGATTGGCCACTCTGTTGGCGGGCGGAACTGCAGTTGCCATGCAGCCTCCTAGTGACAAATATACAATATTCAATGTGCTTTATTAGTAAAAGAAAAAAACATCAACTTGTGTAAGCTTAGGCAGGAAAGTTTTGATGTTAGCTGGTCTGCGAAAAAACTCAAGCATAAGTAAGATAAGTTGTCAAGTAAACTTTTAAATATTCTAATTAATTTATTGTGCATAAAATACGACTAAATTCTTTTCGATGTTTAAGATTGTAGCCTACTTAAATCTCAACACAATCCAAGTTCAAATATGTATTTTTCTCTTCTTTTGAAAATTGTATAAATTCTATGGTAAATCAAATACTAAGGCTAAGTATATAGGTAAATGGGATAAAAGTAGAATATTAATGATTAGAAGCAGAACTCCCACAGAAAAGTAATATAAATATAAATCATAAAGTAAACATTCCATGATTCACTTAAGTAGTGTCTAGCACTAGTAGCTAGTGTCTAGGGCAAAGTCCAACACCACATCTTTAACGATCATGTACTGCAATGCTCACAGTGGAAGAAGACTCTTTGCCCTGTGTGATACAAATGTCCACACAGTGCTTGCCGCTTGAGCTCCTTGCTCATCACAATCATCCTACACTCATTCATACTTGGCTTAAAATACATACCTTTGTATGGTTGCCATTTCAGATTAAAGTATAAAAGTAAACTATATTCCAGCACAACATACTAGAGCTGAAAGCGCAGGGTCATCTATGGCATTACATATTAACCTTTTGAAACTTCTGACGCAACTATAATTTATAATTATAGTCTATAAAAGAATTGTTACTTGGCTACTTATCCACAGACCACTTAAGCATCTCAACTTACCTGTGGAATTTGAGAGTATTCACTGATTCTCTCCACTGATACGATATTTGTCTCTACTTCTGACGCCTGACGTACTGCATAGTTAAGAACACCAGTGATCTAAAAAAAATTGTATTACATTGTGATGTAATTATTTTCTTTTAAGAAACTTAATGAATAGTACACAAAAACATGCATAATTTAATCGTGTACTCACTCAAATTAGTAACCTACAAAAAATACTAAGGATGGACGAGATTGGATTTTTAGTTTGAGACGAGATTTTTTTTCTCATAAAATTTTGAGACGAGATCGAGACGGGATTTCCCTTGTCATACAGAACGGGAAATGCACATTCAACATTTTAACCTGATCTTATAACATTGTTAGATGACTGTTACAAAAACAATAATAATAAGCAAGAATATTTAAAATCTTTTATCAAAAAACATCAGCATAAAAAATGTATATTAATTATGCCTAACTTATTAAAAATGTTTACGATTAGGATACATGGTGATAGCAGTCAGGATAGAGTGAAATTTATCCTAAAATAAAATCAATATCAATTTGAATTTGTATAAAATAGCTGTTTTGGCTTTGTTTACAGTAGTAAAACATGCCTCACACTGCTTACACTTAACAAAACTCCTCAAATGATAAAATAATTCAAGTAATATTTACATGTAAATAATTAATCAAATAAAAACGCCTTCGCAAAGGAAACGCAACCACAACGCACTCCTGTATTGCGGGTATTGCATTGACTTTCTGCAGGCGTTTTTTTGTATTCTTGTCTCGAAAAATCTTAGGATCAAAAAGAAATCTTGTCTCGTATAACAATATTTAAAATTTCCCAAAATTTTGAGACTTGACCATCCCTCAAATTACCAAAAAAATTATGTAAAAATCCATAATCAAAACATACCTGAAGAGCATAACTGATGGAGAGACCGACGATACCAGCGTTCAAAGTGTCTCGGCCGATTACAGCGAACAAAGCTGCGAAGAATATCATGAGGTTGCCTACAGTCTCCAGCCGAACACCGAGCCATCTAAGAAACACAATTATATACCAAACATCATGTAAAAGTTACTTACTACAGCAAAAATGGGTATTACAAAAATGTAATGGTAAAATTCCAATGGGGGAACAAATCATGTTTTCAGCCATTTTTTTACTAAGATAAAAGAAACTAAAACTTTTAAAAAGTTAGTTTACTTAGTTTCTTTTAACCATAATATGTCGATGAGTCCAGCTAACATCCGTAACCTAAAGCCTCGAGGCTTGACAACAAAGAAACATATTCATTCAATAATTTTTAACAAGTTTGCGATGTTCTTTTTTTGGGTTACCGGTACCTAAGCTGTTGCGGCTGGTTTGTGTTTCGTCATTGATAATCTACTGTACTCTACAACATTACCTGTCAAATAAAAACACACCTGTTCGACACCATGCTGGGATACAAACACATCTGGTTCAAGTCCACTCTGTCTTCTGACGTTCGGATGAACCGGTTTTCCACACCATAGGCTCGAACTGATGAAGCACCTGCGATCAGATATGGGTTAGTCCAAGGCATTTACATGGACAAAAGTATTAACACACTTTTTAAGATTTTGTCTATCCATTGGTATACCCAGTGGTAATTACTTTTTTTTTTAAAGAAACGATCCAAATGATGGTTTTGTTAATTCAACATTGACCTGTTGTTAGAAAGCATTATTAATTGACAATTTGATACCACATTCACAAAAACGGCATCTGGGTCTGGTAGCAATCTCACTTGGAATCGTACCAGCAACCTTTAGATTTGAAGGCGAGCCCAATATCCATTCGTCTATCCAGACAATTTGTAAGACAGATAACCATGAGATTTTAAGATGTGTGGCAATGAAATAAAATGTTAAAGTATCATTACACAGAAAAAAACATGTTACATTTTTTTGTCAATTTACATGTGTACTCAGTTGAAAAAGGTGAGTTTTTTCCCTTTTACATTTTTACCTTGTGTTTTTTGTCTTTCTACGACTTTAGAGTTTTTACTGGTTTTTGTATGGGAACAGTCGAAACTCTGATATTGCTACTACCTTGAGTTAACCTTTTATTAGCATAACTAACTGACTGCCCAATGACAAAGGGCATCAATCTCCAAAATTAATCAGAATTGGAATAACCAGCATTCCTCAGAAATGAAATCATAACAAATTCAAGATTTTACAGCATTTTTAGCCAATACAGTAAGCTAAATATTTTTTAATTCTGACTGAAATTGCAAATTTATATATTTTAAGTTTTAGGATTACAAGAACTCATTTTCAATTTGCAACGTACTTGATTGTTTTCATCAAACATTTTTTTAACTCACCACTGACTGTTTCACTGAAGTGGGAATAAATTGGAGATCGAGTCACGGATTCAATCCTCTTTAGCTGCCGAGAAGCTGCGATGTAGAACCTCTACGATCAAAATTGTAAAACACATTAAATATATATAAAAAAGATTAAATAAAAATTAATGAGTTAATTAAAAAAAATATTCATAAAAAGTCTTACAACCTAAGTTCCCTTAAAGATACAAACTTAATATGAGTCTATACTAAATCAAAAACATACCTATCATAACAATTTTTATTGAAACTGAAAGAGAATTATATGTTTCACTTACTTGGATTAAAATGTACAGAATGCCAAGTGGAATGATGGCAAAAATGTAGATTGGCGTGGAATAAATTATAACAACCAAAGTTCCAGCGACCTGAAAATAATCGGAAACTTAAATATAACAGTGGTATTGCATTTTTGTTTTGTATCAGAATAAAATACACAAGTAAAATATAAAATGCATTCATGAATGCATGCAAAATGTATATATTTTGATAAGGAGAATTAGAGACATTTTTACAACGTAAACACATATCATGGTGTGTATTTTGAGACAAAGATAAGCAAAGGATAAGAGTTGAATAAATAAAATGACAGCTTTGTTACTGACTAAGATCTGCTGGTTTTTTAGCTTCGGCCATTTATTAAATCCCAATGCCAACTGCCAGGTCCAATGCTCAAGGCCAACTGGGTTAAGTTTTGATTGAACCATTAAAAATATTTTTACTGGACACGATTGAACCTACAACCAACTAATTGGGCAAGTGTATAATGTGTACTGAGTAATTTAAGGTAGGAATGACTTTCAAAGAACAACTTACGGAAACGAAGCAGTTGATGGAAGAGTTGAGGTTTCCAGGCAATGTGTTGTCCACAATGTCAATATCTTTGCTGAATCTGTTGACTATGCGGCCCAGAGGGGTCGTATCAAAGAAGCTCATAGGAGCTCGGAGCACTCTGGCCAGCATGGACAGATGGAGATATTTGGAGGCCAGGACTGATCCAAAGGCAAGGAGGAATGCACTTGCCCAGGTGGACAACACTAAAGGAAAAATATAAAGGTAGGGTAAAACTTATGGTGACCCTAAGAAGATGGGACGTTTAACGCCTGTGTGTAATTTATTAGCATTTATGCAAGTACACTGGCATGACAGTGGATCAATGACATTGTTTTTAGAAAATAGTTAGGATTATGTTAAATTTTATGAGCTTATGCAAAACATTGGGGTCTGTTGCTAGCCTAATGAAGCTCCAGCACATCCAACCTTGGGAAAAGAGGGGCCTTTTTGATTCCCAGGGTATTCACAACATTTTAATGGGTTTGCACTGCTTTCCCCTAAAAGTGTACCTTTACTTAAACTTATTTTCAATATACTCAAGCCAGCAAAATGTGTTTTTAATAGAAACTGTAAACCCTACTAACATACTACTAAGCTATTGTTGTGTCCTTATTGTGATAACCATAAAGGTCATGTTGATAAAATTTCCCTGACTTGAAGATTTTTTTACCAAGATCGCTGTTCAAAGTTAGGTCAAACATTAGCTGAAGTCAGGTAGGAATCATAAAATCATTAGGATCGAATGAAGAATAACTCACACTGTCCGAGGCCAAAGGACATGTATATCTCCAAGTAGTAATCCCGTTTGGACGTGTCCTGGACACCGTTGACCACTGCAGCGTTGTCATTAGTCCACACAGAGAGCCAGGCGTTGGCCCCGACGCTGAATGCTTGGAACAGCACCATGCAGAGCATAAAGCCTAGGGCTAGCAAAGTGCCGAAGGAGCGAATGTAGCTGCCGTACACACCAATTTTTACCTGAAAGAACAAACATGAGCGTTAAGTGGCGAAACAGAACAATTTGTTACAACAACAATTTCTAAATTTGTTGGGACAATGAATTTTGTCAAATTCGTAAGACAACACTAATTATGCATGAATATAAATTACTTGTAACAATTCAAACAACCTATAATCTAGCATTTCATTGAATCTTGAGATCATTAGAAACAAAAATGATTGGAAGTTTGTTGCAGTCATACATTTTTTTAAATTATGGGCAGAAAACTGACGTTAGAACTTAGGTTAGAAATTATAATGATTGCCTAATAATCAGAAAGTCTTCGATCTTGAAAAAAACCAGTAGCTTGTCAAAGTACTAGTTGTTACTGGACCAAGTTTTCCTTGCCTGAAGGATTTTTGCCAAACGGTTTTAACTATATCTCCAACTGATATTCGTTAGTGGCGAGGCTTTAATCTCATTCATTTGACAATCACCCTCATATTTGCCTGAAAATATGCATTCTGGTTTTCCGCCTCATCTAAATGTAATTTAAAATCTATAGTTTTACTCACACTTCCAGTTTCAGCCTTTTCAATCTGAATAAGTTGGTTGGCAGGTTCAGGAGACTTGATACTTTCCCTTCTATCACTGTTGACCGAGCTCAATCTGCTCTTTCTGCAAAATAATATTATATTCAAGTTTCTAAATAATCTAAATCCTTCAACTGGTTGTTCACTAATGCAAACAGGTATATAACTTGTGGCCCAAGGCAGCGATGTTGTGGGTTCGGATCCATGGTACCTGTCCCTACTTTTTATTAGTACAGTTCACCATTGTACTGTACCAGCTCACCGCTTGCTTTGCTGGATAAGTATCGCGCACGGTCCACTGTGGCCCATATGAAAAGGCAAATACAAGGGAAAAGAGGCTACCCCTTGAAATCATATTAAGGTGGGGAAGGGGGTTTTGGTGTCAAGGAAAATGCCTAATTCTTACCCGTTCAAGATTTTGGAGCTATGGAAAGTAAATCAAGGCATAGGCATCTAACAACATTTAAAACACAGTAGAGAATTGATTATCCAAAACACTTGTGGACTGGGGTTGTTTGGATAACTGAATTTTTTGGATAGTCGGTCATGGTTCGTTAAAATGAGATACAGTATTCAAGATATGTAATACAGGATTATAACTTGTTGTGGCGCCACCAACTGACTTCCTAATTTGTAAGCAATGAATAACAGCATAGTCACATTACCGAAACTAATTGGTGAAGTATAAAATTGAAATCCAACCCTTCAAGATTGTTTTCCATAGTTTAATTAAATAATATATAGAATTTACTACTAGTACCTAAATTTATTTAAAAAAACTATTTCCTGTAATTCAGCAAACTAAAAACTGTACCAACCTTCTTCCAGACGAAGCTACAGATCTAACAGAGCGTACAGACTCAACACTGCTCGTCTGTTTCTGCAGTTTTGCTCTCAAAAGCGGATTTTCTTCTACCATTTCTTCAATTTCTATTGTATGTAAGACAAACATTAATTATTGTTTTGGCCTAAAATATTTCATAAGTAGACATAGACAAATTGTATTTACACAAAACATCCTTTAAAATGTAAAATTCATACATAGGAACAAGTGTTTTGCCATAGTAATATATTGCTAAATAAAATTAATGGTTAGTATTGATATTTGATGGTATAATTTATTTTACATTTATGATAGTTATACATTTATTTGGGTTGTTGACATTTTTTTGTTATCAAAATTAATATTTCAAACGAGTCACACATGATTAAGATCAACTTGCAAGAAAAAAAACTCCAACAATAGGCCTACACTAGAACTCTCTATGGTGGGGGGGTGGTCAATAAAACTACATCAATTTTTCTCCTATCCCTAAAAATACATAATTAATTAATTAATTAACAATCGTATCTCACCAGATTCCAGTTCTGAATCCTCAGTTTCTGTGATGTGCTGTACTAGGAACTCTGCAAATTCACCTCTTTCGTTCAACAACTCTTTGAAAGTACCAATTTCTGAGATCATTCCATCTTTCAGCACAACAATAACATCTACTTTGGGAAGAAACGTGACTCCATGAGTGACCAAAAGTCTTGTCTGAAAATAAAAATTGACTTGTTGTATAAACATGTAGATGTTTATAAACATGTAGAGATGCTAAGAAATATGTCATCAAGATAGCTTTTCCTCAGAAATCCTTTCCACAGTGATTACATACAAGCCTACCTCATATTGCACACATGTTGGTTTATTTTATACACTTTATTAATATTTTTAAATAGATTAAAAAAGGTAATTATCTGTTTACTACAACTTCATCAACAGATACAGTCATGTAACTAGTAAAATCACTTTATTATACGATGATTATCTTATCTTACAGCTACATGTATGAAGATATGCTCTGCCTCCATATAAATGCCAAATCTAAACTAGAATAGATATCTTAAGTGCTACATGACTTATAAAAATATATATTAAACAACAACAGTCAATAATTAATGAAATAATGGTTTGTCCTGGTCTTTGGGTAACGACTCTGTGGATGAAGACAACAATGTAGTTTCACACGTTTCGAAAACGTTGTTGCAGTCCATTTTAAAGGCACTACAACATTCCACATTGTCTGGCGAGTCCTCTGTCGTAGTTATATAGGCCCAAGGGTGGAGGCGGGTTGTTCAAGTTTTCAATTTATTCTTTGTGAAGCTGACATGGGTTTTTCCAGAAACTCGGAAAACTCAGGTTTTTCTAAGGAAAGAATGACAATTTTTTCTAACAAACTGGCTTCTTGCCCCTACGCCTATAACCTACAACAGAGGAGTGGTTATGCAGTGAAGGAGTGTTAGTGCCATGAAAATATACTACTGTGTCACGTCAGAACGTAATCAACTACCATCGTCTTCTTCTGTGTGGTCTTCACCTAAAGACCAGGATTTACCAATTTTAGATATCAACCGTGAAAGCCAGTCAAGGAAATTACGAAAATAATTATAAACAAAAAACAAAAAAAAAACAGATGTATTAAAAAACGTAAGCTCTTCTGAGTTTTAAGAAAATCTGTCTAGCCCCTCAATTTAAATGGTATGAAAACTTCATTGATGATATCAGAAATCAGAGTGCCTTATGTGAATCATAACAGAACCAAAAATAACCATGACTTTGTCTACATTTATTCAGTCAAGACAGAATATAACCAGAGATATATTCAACACACCTTTTTGCTGAGCACTCCCTTAGGTCCGATGACGTTCTCAAAGATGTGTTTCCCCACATGTGAGTCTACAGCACTGAGTGGATCATCTAGCAGATAAGTGTCAGCATCATTGTATACTGCCCTGGCTAGACTGACTCTCTGCTTCTGGCCACCACTCAGGTTTATGCCCTGGAATACCAGTGTATACATGACTAATAGTCCAGGCAACAAAGAGAAAAAATACCGAATAGAGGAAAAAATTCACAATTCAGTACAATTATAGGGGAAGGGTCCCTAAACAACATACTAAAAGTATCGACCGATGGGAGTGGATCTAAGGGGGCTAGGGGGCTCTAAAGCCCTCCTTTCTTTCTCCTTTTTTCTTCCTTTCCTCCTTTTTAGGTGTTTTCCTAAATAACTCGAAATCTATCAACTTTTTCTATACAATACTAAATTAGCAAATTAAAGAAGATTAAATTTCCTGCAAGAAAAGTATATGATGTAACTATTTCGGTACAAACATTTGCAAGATTTGCAAAAATTTAATAAATATCTTATTAAAATACTTCTTCCATAAGAAATACATGTAAATTTGTATGAAAAATAAATGCTAAACGTGGCAAAGTCTGTCCACCCGAGGCTATAACCAATATTCTTGAAATCTTGACGAGATTTCCAGCAATTTGACACTTTTATCATACAAATTGGTCCAAAATTAAGGCGTCACAAAAACAACAGGTTTAGGAGCTCACAAAAACCGTATTAATTGTAATATTTTCTTAAATTATAACTTTAATTTAAGACAATAATACGGTTTTTTTAGCTCGTCACCCAATCTCACCTTTTCCCCTATTTCAGTTGCATCTCCCCCAGGGAGCATTTCAAGGTCTTGCGCAAGGGCACAGGACTCTATGGTGTTTCGGTAGCGCTTGGAATCATGTCTGAGACCAAACAAGATGTTGTCCTTCACTGTGGCGTTTTGGATCCAAGCCTGTTGAGGGACGTATGCGATGCGGCCCTGAAAACAGAATAGCCAATCACTTTTTGTATGTTCCACAATACTAGAAGTAGATGTAAGAATTCATCTTGAACAATCTATAGTAAACTGTGGAACGTAGTTTACATACTGTTGTATTGATGTATCCAGAGATCTTGTCCATTTCTCCCAGAAAAGCGTTGATGAGAGAGCTCTTGCCAGCTCCCACGGCTCCTACCACTGCCACCAACGACCCCTTCTTGACCCTCAGGTCGATGTTGCGAAGGATCGGTTGGTCGGAGGATTCTGTCCCCCATGAGAGAGTCGCACTGTCCATGATCAGGGGTTCTCCTGGCAAATCACAGAGAGAGTTTTATGGGGGGTTTAACCAACCAGTAATACCACTCAAAAACCCAATTTCGCATCTTAAAATCCTAAACCTTCGTCATTGATTTTTAAATTATCGTTCAGCGATGATATAAAAGGAGACTGAACACAAAATGATCTATCATAAAATATAACAGCAACAGCTGTTTGTAACTTGTATTTAATGCTAAGGAAATTCTTTAACTCTGAATCAATTTCATATGTAAACATTTTATGTGTTCTATGTTGTTGCAATGACTTCAATACACACATATAACTTACTGTAATTTAAACTTCTACATCAAACAAGTGCATAAAAAAAATAGTAGGCTAACTATAGAGAAACTTTTTTTTATAGTTACAAAGCTTTGTTAAAAACTTACTCTCATTTATGTCGTGTGAAACAGAATGAACATCCAATTCCTCAGCGTTTAAGAATTTGTTTATTCTCTTCGTGGACACCAGAGTCTGAAAACAGAATTGACTGTAAGGCATGATGATGGGAAAAACAAGGTTTGTCAAATGTTCTACTACATAGACAGGAATGAAAACAAACGTGACACAGAAACAAAAGCAATTGACACAGACGAATTCTGGTGATAAAGCTAGATAGAATACATAAAGGAAACTGCCAAGAACAATTTGTTGCATGTACATGTACAGGCTGCCAAACCATTTCTGACTAAATCGTACACAGCATCCAACTACAAAGTCTAAGTCCTTCTGTTTCCTTTATTGCCCAAACTCCTTGAGCTAAAAGCTAGTTCACAAAGCATTTTTAGCGTCATCTATTCATTACCATTAAAGAATGTTAAACCGTTAAAGATTTTGAGCATAACCTACCGACACAAATGGAATGGAAAATAAAAACTGACCTGCACTAAAACCTGGACAGCTTGAGGGAACATGTTGATCGGGTTTTTCATGAGGTTGAATAGAGAAGCCGCAACAAACGCCACCTCGGCTGTCAGGACGTGAGAGTCGTCACTCATCACGTACACTCCAAAAGTGGCCAGCGACACCTTGAAAAATAATTCCATTACCGTCAACCAGTCTAGACCCGGACACTATTTTACCTATTTTTTTATATTCTTAGGTTTTAGGTTATGTTATGTAAATAAAACCTTTACTATATTGTTGTGTGTGTTTTAATGGTTATGTACCCATATAACTCTATCCATATTATTTATATTATCCATAGGAAAAAAAAGTTTTTTTACTGTCCGGCTCAACCACGTAAAACGTTCTTGACCCGGACACTAACTTAAATATCATTAAAACTCAACATCTAACCTTTACAGTCCGCTTACGGACATGAGAACGTCTCGTTTTATGTGTTGACTGAGTTACAGACGGGTTAAAATTAGTTTCAAGTTATTTGAAGAGAGGTTGGGGGAGATTGCATAGAGTAAGACGCAACATTACAAGTGAGCCTACAGTGGCCTACATTTATTTAATGGTCAAGTTAATAAAAGAACGATATTGAACATGAAATAAACATTACACTGTACATTTATTGGATGGTGAAGCCATCAAATGAACAAGAGAACTTAAAACTAACCAGTCTATCGTTCTTGTAGTTAAAACTAGGCACACCAATGTTAACAACGCACAATGTTTAACAATGTAAATATGGAAAACTGTTCCTTTAATTTAGTTGAAGCTCATAAATTCTTAGGGGTTTACGTAGATGACGCAGTTAAATGGGATTCACATTTGAATTATTTACGTAACAAAATTAGGTCGATATCATCTTTATTTATACATTTAAGGGACTGTGTTTCTATTGAGACACTTAAAGTAGTTTATCATGCTTATGTGGAGTCAGTGTTAAGATATGGCATAATTTTATGGGGTCAAGCTACTGGTATTAAAACTTTATTCAGGTTACAAAAACGTATTATTCGTATTATTACCAACTCTCATCCACGCAGTTCTTGTAAGAAACATTTTCAAAATTTAAGAATTCATACATTAACGGGGTTGTATATTCTAGAATTATTAAATTACATACATTCAGTTAAAAATGAGCTACCAGAAACAATACATTTTAATCACAGGTATGAAACCCGAAATGAAAATATATTTAGACTCCCCAGACACCGTTTGACCCTATATGAAAAATCTCCATTGTACGCTGGGCTGAGATTGTACAATGTGCTTCCGCCATGCTATAAGTCATTAAGCAAAACCAAATTTAAAGATACAATAGATAATTTTCTTATTGACAAGGCTTTTTACTTAATTGAAGATTTTTACAGAACTACAATTTAGAATTTTTTTTTTTTTAAGTGTTTAATTTTAAGTTAAAAGTTTTAATGTTAAATATTTTATGTATGGATTTAATTTTGACAATGCACCTATTCTAAATGTTATGACATGTATGGAATGTTTTGTGCAAATAAAGTCTATGTCTATGTTTCTCTCTACTTGATCGTAGTCGACGATGCACTTGTCTGCCGGTTCTGGCCACTTGAACAAAGATGTTTTGTCAATGTTGCGTGCAAACTTGATCCCCAAACCTTCTGGAACAACTTCCTCGACGACTCCCACGTAATATTTTATTTCTCGCTTGCCAGGGAACTTGACCAGCAACCAATCCCCGACAGCCGGGTCCTTGAAAACTCCATCAATACCGGCCCCAAGCGGCTGAGGTTCGTCTGGGTCGGAACAGTGCAAATCGTCCGAAAAGTCCTTCACGGAAAAATGGTCGTCACTTGAACTGGATGAGTCTACTCTAAGTCTTTTTTTTGCGACTTTCTTCTTGACTGGTTCTCCCGCACTGGTCGAAGGTTTTGAATTCTGATTCTGTATATCGGTGGCAGATAAACCTCCCAGATTGGCTCCAGGAGAAACATTCAATTTTTTCTTCCTCATTGGCTTGGTTTGCCCTGGACTGTGACGCAAGTCAGACAAAAATTGAATTACAGCTTCGCCGACAAGCTTCCTTGGTTGCTTGGAAGGTGATTCCATCACATGGTTTTCCATTCGCTGGGCAAACTTGTCCAGATCATGTTTTGGATCAAGCGGATAAATGCCACATGCCCGGAAGCCAGCTTGCAAATTTTTTGCTTGATTCGCACTGATGGTCTCGCAAAGCTTTGCGAGCAAAGAAGGGAACTGGTTCTTTGGGAGGTTGCTCAGCCTCCTGTCTGCTGTCACTTTCCAATCACAAAGGATCTGACGCCAAGCTCCTTTTAGAGGCCTAAAAAAGGCGACGTCTAGCGGCTGAAGTAAGTGTGTCGCATTGGGTGGCAAGCACACAAAGCGTATGTCGTGTTGCTCACACATCTTTAATACATCAGCGGAAAAATGAGTCGAAAGGTTGTCCCCGATCACTACCTTTTTCCCCTCCAAGGATTTAGCCCATGGTAAGGCTACAGTCTTGAACCAATCGGCGAATGTCTCTTCGTCAATCCAACCGGATTTTGATCGATTGTAACGGGCTCCGGGTGGGCCACCAGCTACCCAAGCATCATATAGCCTCTCGGCCTTGTAACAGACATAAGGTGGCAATAGATTTCCACTCGCCGTGCCAGCAAACATCATAGAGATGCAGCTCTTTGAGCTGTTGAGGATTCGTTCAGGGTACTTTGTCCCCCTTTTAAATATGCACTTCGTAGATCCCGGGTCATCACTAAGGTTTGTTTCGTCATAATTTAGGATGTTGGTTGAAGGGATGTTCTCCAAGCTTTCTTTTAGGTTTTCGAAATATTGTGAAACCTCTTCATGGCCAACTTTGGCTCGCCTATGAGTTATATTGCGGCTCATTCGCAAGCGGAGGTCGGGATTTCTGTTGAAAAAGCCATTTACCCATTCCTCTCCAGGAAGATTGTTCTTAAAAATAGGTACATTACGCCCTTGTTTGTCGAGATAAATTTTTACAACTAGACGCAGATCAAGGCGGGTGAATGGAAACCCCCATTCTGCCACTTTGCCAGCGTGATCACTAAATATTTGTTCTTCCAACTCAGAAAACACTGGCTGTTTGCCGTGCGGTCCTTTGTATTTCCCAGTTAAGTGGTCGCTCAGAGTTGATTTTGGGATTGAGTATTTTTTAGCCGCAGCTCGAACACTAATTTTCTTGTCCTTTATCTCTTCAATCACCTTATTGATAAGCTGGTATCGCTCACTCATTTTGCATCACTAATAACTACCTAATAATTTATAATAACTAACTAATAATAACTAATAATTGTCAATAAGTCACAATGAAAATCAGTCTATAACCTCACAATAACGAAATAGCAAGTAGAGTAGAAGTGAGGTGCAATATTTAGCGGGAAAATTGATAGCTGCCAACGCAAATAACACAAAGAGTAAAATAAACAAAGAGTAAGTAGCGGTCGCACAACATCGAATGCCGCTCTGCCGAAGCTCCCGTGGCACCGAATCTCGCGTCGCCGAAGTGTCCGGGTCAAAACTGGATTAACATTTTATAAGTTTTTTTGGAAAGTGTTAACGGAATGAGCTAGGAACTAATATATTATTGTTCGCGACAATATAGAGAATAGAATTATAGCAATAATAATCTTGTTGGCTATGTGTATAAAATTATATATGTCTTAGTCGGACAAAAAATTTTTTTTTCCAAAAGGGAGAGGTTGGTATTACTGCAGATGACATCATGATAGCTGATGTAAAGTCATAAATGAATGTTCAGCTGTTTAGCTAGTGTTATTACGTTGCTTTAGAAGAAAAAATCATCGTGATATGTGTTAAGGTAAGGTTATAGTTAGGATTTTAGTAATCTTTTACACTCTGTCCGGGTCAACCACCCCTGTCCGGGTCTAGACGGTTTTACGGTATGTTAACATATTAGGGATCCAATAATTGATTGAACAAACCTAAAACTTATAACATGTTTATCCTACCTTGATTCTATCAGGTGACTAATCCTATCGTACCTGTGGCTACTCCTGTTGTTGCATGATTAATGTGAAATGTATGTAAAAATGTGCTTGTTTTGTTTGGCTACCTCAAAAGAGCAACGCTTGATAATCTTGACAAGAATTCACACATGAAATTTTTGACAAAATAAACAACTCTTTACATAAATAAATCTGGCTAACTATGATGTATGATGTCCTTTACAGGATACACATTTTGATTTCCTAAAATAAAAGCTTGAAAGTAAGTGCAAGTTTTACTCAATAAAAAAGAGCAAATCATAATACAATTCAGTGGAAGATTAGAGGAAATTTTGGTAAAAATAATTTTTAAGGCTAGAGGTATGGCTTTGTGTGATGTGACCAAATTACCAGAAGAAAGTTTATTGAATCCGTTAGCTTACCAAAAATGGTGAACAGCTCCAAAGGAAAGAAATGGATGCATTGAGTAGAGCAGCTTTTCTCAACATTGAAACTTCTTTTTCTCTTATCTTGCAGATTTGTTGTTCAAAACTTGGTTCCCAAGCATACAGTTTCAGTACCTGAAAGTAAAATAAAAGTTAATAAGGAACACTGTGAACAAAATGGTCACTACTTTATGCTCTTAGTCAATTATAATGAAAAATATTTCATGAATCTAAATTCATAAGTAAGTCATGAATTCTGTTGTAAACAAACAGATAAACCGTGAGAGCATGCGAGTTGTTGAGGTTAGTGCATGCAACTAGGCATCTATGAGCCATGGTAAATACATTTAGAAAGGCCTGATTGGCTTCTGAGAAGTGGTCCAAATAATCCGAGGACCAGTAAAACAGAGGCCAGGTATCTGGCTTATACTGTCATGCCATAGCTTAATGAAATAAACTATGAAAAATTGAAAAGGGAAATATTCAGGATACAAAAGGCACTGCCAGTAAATGAAGATGGCAGTTATAAAAATAATTAAATATCTTTATGAACGTAACAAATTTCTAAAAATTATATTATATTTTAAAAATAGTATTTTTGGGTTGTACCTTAACCCCAGAGAGGACTTCATTCATCAGTTTGACTCTGTCGTCTTTATATTTCATCTGCTTCATCTGAAAAGATTTGACTCTGTTGGCTATAGCGATGTTGATCGGGACAAGAATCACCATGATTGCCAACCCTGCAAACGCTGAGGGCCCTGAAACAATTTAGTGATATTTTAAACAACGAAGATCAATTGTAGTGCGGGATATTCACCTTGGTTAAGGGCCGGGGATTAGTACAGATTTGTATATATAGACTTTTCTGTCCTAGGACGTTAGGCACAAGCCTGTGATTGTTTTCCACTTTTCTCTCGAGGCTAGACCTAGGGGTTGCGGGATTATCACTTAGATAAAATTCATTGGTGATATCGCGGGATTTGAACCCAGGATCTCTGGGACCGAAGTCCCGTGCTCTAACCACTACAACACCTCTCTCCCCAAATTTGTGACAGACTACAGTAGTTGTACGTAACAAGCGTTTTCCATCAAAGAATTAGAATTTAGGTTTTGTGTTTGATTTAGGTACTCCATAAGACCTGCAATTTGGCAAGTGTCCTACTCCTAAATATTTCTACAGAATGGTCGTCAAACTTATGAAATGTTGATCAAAATTGATACCATACCATGAATTAAAATGTTCAGAGAAAACTATTGTAGAACAGGAACGGTTACCTTATTTCGTCATTGTCAATCCAATAATTATTACAGATGGCTAATATTGGAGCTTTGTTGCTCCATTTTCAAACCTGATATCAAAAACTATAACAGATGTTCTTGTTCTCAGAATGAAATAACATATAAAACACACTTCACATTGATGTGTAAGCTTGCAAGGTACAGCATGAGTTACAGTTTTTACAATCATATTTGAAAAAGGAGCAATGAAGTTTTGGAAATAGTAATCTGCAATTTAAACAGTGGGACGACAATGTAATTAATCTATTTGATCGTAGTCAATTTAATCAATACTAGAGGTGAAAAAATATATACTCAAGTAAAAAAAATTGTTGATTGTTTAAAAAACATGGGAATAGAAAACATTTCTCAATTAAAAGCTACTTGTTTTACCGTACTTATTTAATACTTTATTCAGTTTGGGCTTAGAAACGTCAGGATGTTTGCAAAAGAAAATATCAAATTTACACGTTACCTAATAAATCCCACAAAAAGTACATGGCAATGATGATTATAATCGGTGCGGCGTAGATGAGATTGAAGTAAGCGGAGAAGTCGATGAATCTCTGAGCATCAACAGCCATCAGGTTGACAACTTCTCCGACCGGAGATTCTCGGCGGGCAGCACTGGAGATGCGAAGAGACTGAGGAACAAATAATCAATTGTAAAACGATAGGAGAAAGGAATTCAAAAGAATTGTTTAATAAATTAAAATTGTTCCAACCAGAATAAAAACAATGCAGATGGTTTGAATATAGGTGTACAAGATAGTGTTAATGAGTTTGCGATTTTCTCTATCCTAAAATGCTGACAAATATTTGAGCTATGAAAAGCCAATGAAAACACATCTACAAATAAGTAAGTCTCTTACAGTATACCCTACCTTACTCTAGTTTGTGTGTTTTAACAAAAGTATTATGTCAATATAAATAAAAATAAAATATATTCTAGAAGGGAAATTGTGATACACGAGACTAGGTTCATAGTATGCAGGCAGGTTACATGCCTGTAGTGTATTTCAAGTTAACTGAGGCATGTAACCTACTCGCCAACTGACTTTTTGTAAACACAGCTATAGGGGTACAACGTGCAGGGATAGAAATAAAAAACACAGAGATACTTCCTATTAAATAGTTTTAAACTTGCGAAGTGAACAAATATAGCCCCATGGATAGCAACTTATTAATTAGTATGGCAAGTAGCTAAATCGCTTTTAACAGCCTTTTAGTCTGGAGGACACGTTTCACATTAGTTTACCCCATAGTTTCCAGGATTCTTGAAGAATGTTTGGAGCCCAATGCACATTTCCACTTATTGGCATTATCAGAATCAATAGTTTTAAGTCTCATTTCCATGCTTGGTCATCCAGACAGGTCAAAAAGCTGAACAAATCTAGAGCAATTTTATATTTCCTATAAACCTTTGAGCTGATTAACAGCGATCTAATAAAATATGTCTTTGTCTTGGAAAAAAGGACCATAGTTTCAGCAATTTCAATAAAAAACCTTGAAAAAAACACTATTGTTAATTTTTTATGCTTCACATTAGTTGTAAGGTTTTGAAACAAAAATGTACCTTTCTGTAAATCGCAGAGATAACGGCCGTCCTGATGTTGAGTCCGAGGACTGACATGGTCATCAGGTTATGGTGGTAGAAGAAAGTTTGCATTTCCGAGGCAAGAAACAATCCGATAGCGTAAACTACACCTCTCCACAAATACTCATCACTGGCGACAAACTTCATCATCAAGCTGAAATAAAATTGAACTTTCATAAGAATTTTGAGATGGAACTTTATTTTGATGCTTGATGGCATGTGGCATGCGAGAAGAGGGGGCCAGTAAAATCAACAAATCCTAAATACTTAATACTACAAGGGTTTTTGCTGTTACATCTCTTTTTCAGCTGTCTTACTTAACTGATTTTTACGATTGAGGTGTCGTTTTAAAGTTTATCATATAGCAGAGAGACAAATGGTAACTAAAACGGTATAATGGTATTTTTTGCCCACCTAGTGCTTGATTTATTTGTAGAGTCGACTTTCAAAGATTCGGTGGTTCTAACCAACTTTTTATTATAATGTTTTTAATCAAATAAATGCGAGCTGAAGTTTAACAGCGTATCCTTCAATTGAATGTTTTACATCAGATTTTGTAAACAAGGTACAAAATATAACAAAACGTACAAAACGAGAGAAGGTGTTTATCAAACCGGATTTTTAAGTAGGCTACTTTTCTGATAATTGTAACCTGAATGAGGTAAGTAAATCACTCTTTGTGGTGTAGGTGTAGTAGATGTACAATCAACCAATTTAATTTATTGTGGATCAGTAGTTTCATTTACCTAATAACAAAAAATACTTAACCTAATATGGTTGCATTACAGTAAACAAGCATAATCTCTGAAAATTAAAACGGTAGGCTGTTACGTTATTTTTTTACCTCAAAAACGGACTGTGAACCCAATTACAACGTGCCCAATTAAATTTGTTCTCTCATGTAGGCCTATCATATTCAAGACTTCAAAAAATTAACTCTTACTTCTCTCTTAGACTATTTCTTCATTTACCTTCTTATAAATAATAGTTTTGATTTGGCCGAGTAGATTTACCTCAAAATTTGAGGGCTGGCAAATGAGAAAAGATCTCCAACCACCCTACATGTTCCTCCTGCAGCAAAAAGTCTCCAAAATGTTCTGAAGATCGGACGAAGAACATTCACTTGCTTTTTTATTCTTGTTCTGGCCATTGTCCCGTACGTCTTTGAAACTCCATTTTCTGCAGGGTGTGTTTTGCTATAAAATGAGACAATTTCACTTCAGTTTTTTTATGTTAATTAATCTGTAGGCCTTATGACTAAAATGTTAAAACGTTTGTTAAACTCCCTTGAAAGCTCAATTTTATATCTATGGAAAACCCCTTAAAAAGTTATAAACAATTTTGAACAAGAGTGAATAATGGGTTATAATCATAGGAAGAGCCGAGCTAGCCTTAAACACAATATTCCAGTAATGCAATATCAATAGCACTGATGTAAATTTCTTCTACAACGTTGTTAAGAAAATGAAAGTGTTATAGGATGATGTTATAAAGTAAAAGAAGTGTTCATATTATTTTATGTGTCAAGAAGTAAAAGTTTTATTTCATTAATAATATAGTATATACGGTAGGCCTAGTGATTGTTAAACCAAAAGCCACAACAAGACGTTACGATTTAAATAGAGGTCAAAGAGGTCAAAGGAGAGACCAACGGAAGAAAGGAGACGATCTCAGTCTTGGAATGAATACCGGTGAGTGCAGCTTAGATGCTATAATACTCTGTCAATTATCCGCTGTTCCGTTCTGTGTTCATTCTCCCCATATAAATCTTGGTTACTTTAATGGCGACGAGGCCAAAGTGTTTTGTACAGACTTGAAAAGTTTTGTTGAAATTTGTGCGTTTAGCGAAGTTTTTAGGGTTTTCAGCTCGGAAATTCAAGGAATTGATTTAATTAAACCAAGAACTTTATATTTTGGAAGATATTTTTGGAAATATCTGGAAGTTTAGGGTTAAACTGAGAGTTAACCTGAGATAGGCCTTGGCTACGACAGGAAAGTATGCAACACCACGTTGTCGCACAACTTCGAAAATTGTAAGTTTTAGCATAATAGCTATTCTGAACTGCAATTTTGGGGAATATTATCGAAAATGTCGAAGCAAATAATTGGTAAAATCCAAGAATTTAATAAAGAAGTGGAAACTTTTGAGAATTACGTTGAAAGGCTAGGGCATTTTTTCAAAGTCAATGAAGTTAAGGATGAGGCTAAAGTATCCCTATTTATCTCTCTCATGGGTCCTGAGTTGTATGCAACACTGAAAAATTTGCTTTTACCTTCCAAACCTAGTGAGAAAACTTATAATGAAATTGTAAAGGCTTTGTCTGAGTACTTTCTACCTAAGAAGAATACAGCCTATGAGAGGTTCGTTTTTAATAAGAGGGTGCAGAAGGAGGGGGAAAATGTAAATGAATTTGCAATTCAACTTAAAAAGCTAGCCTCCTCCTGTGATTATGGCGAGTTCTTAAACTCAGCCTTGAGAGATAGGTTTCTTTGTGGATTGAGGTCCAGTGACATTCAAAGTCGCTTGTTGGCCGAGGGGGATTCTCTCACCTTTGATAAGGCTTTGAGTCTAGCTTTAGTACTAGAAAATGCTTGTAGTAATGTGAGAGCGCTACATCCTGAGAGTTTTTCAGGCATTAATTATGTTAAGAATTCTAAACCTAGGCCTAGCAGTAGTGGGGTTAGGTCTAGTTATAGGGCCTCTCAATGGTCAAGACCTAGTGGTTGTTACCGTTGTGGAATGAACCATGATGAAAAACCTTGTCCGTATAAGGAGTATACCTGCAATAGTTGTGGGGTAAAGGGTCATTTAGCAAAGGTGTGTCGTAAAACTCAGCACAAACACAATTCTAAGGGTAAAGTGAATTATTGCGACCATGATGGTAGTCAAATGAATAACCAAGATGAAGTGCATGAATCTTCGGAAGATTTGGAGCTGTTTACCATAGCCTATTCTGACAGTGATAGATCTAGGCCTATATCGAACAGTTATGAAGTTGAGATGTGCATAAATGGTAAATTTGTACGTATGACGATAGATACAGGTGCTGTAGTGTCCGTGATGCCGGAAAATGCATATGTTAATAATTTTCAGGATAACCTACCAGAACTGAGGAAGAGCCAGGTCAGTCTTAAGACTTATACTGGGCAAAAGATTGATGTTTTGGGTGAGTTTCAGGCTGATGTCACAACGGAGGGGAGAAGCCATTCACTGCCGATGGTAGTTATAAAAGGATCTAGTACGCAACCCATACTGATGGGACGGAATTGGTTAGAGAAAATCAGGCTCGACTGGGAAAAGATTGCTCAGAGCCGGGAAAATCAAGAAGTATGTTCAGTCAACGGAATTGAAGGTAGGAACTTTCCAATTACTACAATAGGACTTAAGGACTTGAAGACTAAGTTTGCCGATGTTTTTCAAGCTGGTATTGGGACAGTTAAAGACATTAAAGTTGACTTAACTCTTAAGGAAAATTCTCAACCTATCTTTTGCAAGGCACGCAATGTACCATTTGCTCTTAAAGAAAAACTCGATAAAGAACTAGATAGGCTAGTTGAAAATGAAGTTATATACCCTGTGACTAAAACAAATTGGGCATCTCCCATAGTAATAGTACCTAAGAGTGACAGTACAGTTCGAGTATGTGGGGATTTCAAAACAACAATCAATCCTTGTCTGAGAACTGACCATTATCCGCTACCCTTGCCGGAAGAGATTTTTTCTAATATATCTGGAGCTAAAATGTTTTGTAAAATAGACTTGACAGCAGCGTACAACCAACTATGTGTAAATGAAACAGCACAGGAACTGTTAACTATCAACACTACAAGGGGACTTTTTCGCTACCGGAAACTGCCGTTCGGTATCACAAGCGCAGGTGCGATTTTTCAGTCCGTCATGGATAAAATTTTGCATGGTCTTAAAAATGTGTACTGTTATTTAGATGACATTTTGTTAATTGGTCAAACGTATAGTGGTTTATACAAGTGTGTAGAGGCAGTGTTGTCTAGATTTCAGCAGTATGGAGTGAGGATCAATGCTGAAAAAAGTGAGTTTTTTACAGAAAGCATAACTTTCCTAGGCCACAAGTTGAGCCCAGACAAAATAGAACCTAGTGATGAACTGACCGAGGCTATCAAAAAGGCGCCTCGACCGACCAATTTGACACAGCTGCGCTCGTATTTAGGCCTAATCAATTATTATGGCAGATTTTTACCTAACCTCTCAACTCTGCTTCACCCTTTGTACAATCTACTGAACAAAGATGTAAAGTGGGACTGGACCAACCTATGTGAAAATTCGTTTGTACAAAGTAAGGAAATGTTACTTACTAATCGAGTGTTGATGCCCTTCAACCCCGATCTTGAAATCATAGTTACAGCAGATGCTAGCCCCTATGGAATTGGTGGATTGTTGTCTCATCGATTGGCCGATGGATCAGAGCGCCCTGTTGCATTCACATCGAGAACTTTAACGGTACATGAAGTCAAGTATTCCCAAATTGAAAAAGAAGCGTTGGCTTTAGTCTTCGTGGTAAAAAAATTCCACACATTCTTATATGGCAAACACTTTCTGTTAGCAACTGATCATCGTCCATTGACATTTTTATTAGGACCTAACAAATGTATTCCAACTTTGGCAGCTGCTAGAGTACAGCGATGGGCGCTGATTTTGTCAGCTTATAGTTACGACCTAACTTATCGCAAAGGTTCGGACATGTGTCATGCCGATGCACTTAGTCGACTTCCATGTGAACATGTTAAGCCTGGCCCTGAACACTGCGTAGCGTTCTTTTCAAGTGATGATGAGTTGCCTGTAACTCATAAAGAGATTAGCCTAGCTACAGTTAATGACCCAATTTTGTCAAAAATCCTTGATTTTGCACTTCATGGTTGGCCTAGTCATATGGATGATACACTTAGACCCTATTTCCTTAGAAGGGCAGAAATTTCAGTTGAACGGAATTGTGTTTTGTGGGGGAGGAGAGTAATTATTCCAAGTCCATTCCGCAAAGAAATCTTGAACTTGCTACATCAGGAACATCCTGGGGAATCTAGAATGAAGAGCTTAGCTCGTAGTTATGTTTGGTGGCCCAAGTTAGACCAAAACATAGAAGAAACTGTCAAGGAATGTAAGATCTGTCAATCTACCCGTAACACAACTCCACTAGTCCCTTTACAGCATTGGGCGTGGCCTAAGCATTGTTGGCAACGTATTCATATAGACTTCGCCTCATTCAAAGGACAAGAGTTTCTTATAGTAGTAGACAGCTACTCAAAATGGTTAGAAGTTTTTCATATGCAGACCACGACTTCAGCTAAAACCATTGAAAAACTTCGATCATGTTTTGCCACGCTAGGCTTACCTAGCACCTTGGTAAGCGATGGAGGTCCACAGCTTACTTCCAGGGAATTTAATGATTTTCTTAAAAGTAATGGGATCCTACATGTAGTCACACCCCCATACCACCCTGCATCAAATGGTTTGGCGGAGAGGGCAGTGCAAACTACTAAAGGTGCATTTTTGAGACAGTTGCTACAGGACGAAAATCAACAATCAAAGCGCACTTTGCAACATCGTATTGATAGCTTCCTATTTGCTTACCGCAATACCCCTCATACGGCAACTGGGTTGACTCCAGCAGAACTTATCTTTAATTTCAAGCCCAGAACTCGGCTTAGTCTTTTGAAGCCACACTTGGCAACGGATTGTGAGGCGAAACAAGTGAAGATTGAAACTGCTGCCAATAAACATAGAGGATCTGAGAGATCATTTCAAGTAGGCCAAAAGGTGTTTGTTAAAAGTGTACGGCAAGAAGAACTAAACTGGCTACCTGGAGTAGTGACCAAAATTATCAGTAATGTGACTTATCTGGTAAAAACGGAAGGTCGTAGTAGGTTTGTCCATGCGGATCACCTGCGGGCAAATTACTGTAACTCAGAAGAGGATATTGTTGTCTTACCTGCTAATGAGTATGAAAAAGCGACACTGAGAAACACCCCAGAAAAATTGATCAGTACCCCTCAAGAGGAGTTAAGAAGAAGTAAGAATAATTCTCCCATCAAGGACACCACTCCAGTGGTAACACAAGAAACACCTCAAAGTTCACCCATCAAGACTCAGGAGTTAGGCCTACCGAATAGTCCAAAAGTTTTACCGGTCCGTCGTTCGCAAAGAGAGCGGCGAGAGCCAAAAAAACTAGATTTATAATTTGAAGATTTGATACCCTCCCAGGAAGATTTTTTATTTTAGTTTGTTATTTAAGTTGGGAGGGAATGTTATAAAGTAAAAGAAGTGTTCATATTATTTTATGTGTCAAGAAGTAAAAGTTTTATTTCATTAATAATATAGTATATACGGTAGGCCTAGTGATTGTTAAACCAAAAGCCACAACAAGACGTTACGATTTAAATAGAGGTCAAAGAGGTCAAAGGAGAGACCAACGGAAGAAAGGAGACGATCTCAGTCTTGGAATGAATACCGGTGAGTGCAGTTTAGATGCTATAATACTCTGTCAATTATCCGCTGTTCCGTTCTGTGTTCATTCTCCCCATATAAATCTCGGTTACTTTAGATGACAATACCAAATTTAGACATTTAAATTTGCTTTGCTTTGTGGCTACCTGTTGTTTTGATGATTGAATTATGGATCAAGCGATAAAACTCATTTAGCAGCAACCATACTAACCACAGAGAAGGGTTGCTTTACAATTGAATTCAAAATCCAGTGTTGCGACTGGTTGATTTTTGCTGCACTAGTTACATGTGCATTTGGACTAGGTATCCTTTTTCTGTACATGCCTACCAACTCATAAACCTTCAGCACCCACTACTATCTGTTTAAAAAAAAACACCCTCCAGATAACTAATTGAACACTCAATCATCCAAAGCAGATAAATTGAAGAGCTTGCTCGTCTTTAGCATACTCTGTCCACAATTATTTATTGTTTTCTGTTTAACAGCACCACTACAGTTGGAAACTAAGTACGAACACTTACTTTTGAGATTGTTTGTCCCAGCATTTTTGGAACTGAGGAGTGATCTGGGAGGATTTATCCTGATGCCTCAAGTCCCACAAGTCCTCGATTGTCAGCGGCCTTCGATAACCCTTCCAAACCAACGGGTCGAGCCAGCGGAAAATGAGTTTGGATACAAAGGATGATTCTATTTCCGGGCATAACTTCTGCAGAAAAAACCATGTGGGCAAATTAATGAATTGTAAAAATTACAAAGCAGCATAAGAAGCAACATACAAAATCATATACACTATTTACTAAACAACAAACAACTAGTTTAATACTAACCCTTTTGACTGCTGATAAAATATGTAAATCTTTTAGGTGGACTTGAAGTTTTTGTTATAACATTTAAATTTAATATCAATACAGAATACCTAATCAGAAACAAATATACCTATATAAACTTATAAACACTTAAAACACTATAAAACTTATAAACATAAACTTTGCAGGTAGCGACGTCGTCAAAATTATGAATCACCTGCCACCCATAAGCAAAGAGAGGATTTTTCTGCCATCGCTGGTGTTCCATAAGCACTTTTCAAGTTGTTCACTAACTCACCCACTAATCACTAATTCAAATCAATCTAAAATATAGCATATTTAACTAATAAATGAAAAAAATAATTAAGTAAATTAACCACTGTAGTACAAGAAAAAACTTGACTGTTTTTAAACTTGAGCTTTAAACTGTCTGAAAAGTTTATCATAGGCCTACTTATTAGTCAACAATTATACAGTGGAGTCCTGATAATCCGAACTTCGGTAATCCGAAAGTCCGCTTAATCCGAAACCATAAAAATATATTTTTAAAATTTTTAAAATTAGTATTAGTAAATATTTTAGTAAATATTTCACCATGTTTGTTATCAACATTTTTTATTTTCGTCCGCCAATTCACAAATCGATTTTATTACTGCAAGTGATAATGCTGCAGCTACTAGGTCTAGCCTTAAGTAATGTGAAAAACAATCCCAGGCTCGTGCCTGCGTCCTAAGACAAAAAAAATTCAAAAAATAGAAAAAATTTAATCCGAAATGGGCCTGGTCCCAACCATTTCGGACTAACGGGACTCTACTGTAGTAAAACATTATGCTTTACCTTATTTGATCGTGGATAGTTTGTTTCCCGTGGTCGTTTATCCGGGAAGAAGTTAAACAGGAACATAAGCACCACTATGGGATAGTATATCATGTAAATGATGAAACCAAACATGTTGTCTCCTAGCTCCTAAGAAAACATACATACATTTCAGTTTAGAAAACGTAAACCAACAAATTCTATAGTGATCGATAAATGGCTAAAATGGTGACAGAAAGTCGGTATTCTCAATAATGTCAAAAAGACAAAAGCCTTATTAACATGAAAACGTAATTAGAATTTCTACCGGGTACAAATTTTTATAATTTAGTTTTGATCTCATTTCCATGTGAAACAGAAAAAAGGTCCATGATTCAGTCTGGGCCTTTTTTTATTTTATTTTCCTAAAATTGGTACATTTATGAATTGGTTTAATACAAAAATGTGCTACTTTTGGACGTAACTTTTTTTAAGTAAGTAACTCACCCCTTTGATCTCCCGTCTGATTTCCGTGCGGAACTGTGAGATCCCTCCTATTGATAGCAGCAACCAGAACACAAAAAGAACTCCTGAAGTTTGAATCCCTCGAATTTTGTTCCACAGAAGAAATACTATCGCTAGAACCTAAAATAATGTGAAAATTTAATAGGCTTGTAAAATGTTACACTTTTTTGGTATCACGTGCTAAAATGTAGATTTTAAACTATTATATATATATTTTTTATAGTTTATCTTCTTTAAGGATTTTTTGTCTCACCTAATTAATTTGCCTACAGTAACTAAAAATCTAAGGAAATGCCAATTATTGAAAAATTATTTTAATTATATTTAAAATATCAAATAACTCCTGTTCAGCAACGGGAAAAATTGTTTTTACAGTTAGCGCAATATTTCCATTGATACAAAAAATGCCTTTTAAAATTTGTGCTACCAACAAATATGTCTGAATTTTACTTCAATGGATAGCAACTTTGAGTATATTCTGGCAAATGTGAATGTAAATTCAACCATGGGACAAATCACTCCCATGTACCAATTCCCAAGATTAATTTGAACAGAAGACTTTAATTCATTGACTCCAAAATATTAGTTTATTTTACAAGTTTGCCGAGTAGCCTACACTTTTTATTTCTACACTGCTTGTGCTTAACCAAATAAATTGCACACTCTATAGGAGCATTTATCCACACTCTTTATTTATCCATAAAATATTGAAACACTTACAAAAGTAGCCATTTGTACAACAGGTGTCCATATGTCTACGGGAAACACTTGACCACCAGAGAAGTAGACTGCGATTGACTTGAATAAACTGGCTGAACACAGCCCAAACAGCACCAGGTTCATAAACTGTGTAGATAAAAAATACATTTTATTATGTTGACTACTGCTAAAAAAAAACATTATAAATGCTGATTCTGATATGATAAGTTTCAAAGCTATCAGCTTACAACTGTACAGGATGATACATAATGGATTTAAGTCTTTCCGTAGTATTCATACTTTTAACTACGGATTAAAACAACTGTAAGAGCAACGGAGTTTCGATTAACCTAGGGAAGTGTTTGGTTTGGAAACCATATGTCATAGAACAAATATCGTAGAACCGTAGGTTTTCAAGATGTTGATTTTGGCGTCTCTGTAATAATTGGTGCAATAGCTACGACACTTATCATGATTTTTGGTTCTGTAGGTCCGGGTATGAGAAGAGACACTTTCACAAGGTTCTCACAAAATACTAAAGGTAAAAATAACAATGGTGTCAGTCAGGTCAGGTAATCATTGAGGCTGTGCTAAACGATATCGGGTCCGCGGAATTGGCTAACTCTGGAACTCGCTAACACCATGTTAAAAGCCCTATCTTCAAATTTGGTCGATGAGAGGAACTCGCTAACTTGTTTGGTTTCGGAATTGGCTAACTCCGGAACCCGCTAACCCGCTCTAGAGCCGGGTTAGCGGGTTCTGTCCTCGTACGGAAGTCGCTAACTCGGTCCCTCGGCGGAACTCACTAACTCCCAATCAGAAGCCTCGCGGGCCGTCCAAAGGGAGCCAAGCACGAATATTTTCGTCCAGTGTTACAGAAAGTGTAGTACCTATATAGTATCGGTACCATAATGTCGTTTCCTACGATTAATTAGGAGTAAGAGCAACGTAGTTGATCAAATAAATATATTGAGAAGTATGTTTAACATTATTCTCATGATTTAGGGTGGAAAATGCATTATAGTCTTACCATAGACTAACCAACACAAGTAAACTTTATATCCCATTGTAAACTTTGAAGCTCGTTTTTCGCGTCTAGTTCATGTCCGGTGACACTGATCGCTAGTGTCGACAAAATTGTGTTTCTTTTATTTCTATAGTTAGCTTCATAATTTGCTCTTTACTGTTTGGTTATATAACTAGAGGACGTGTATTAGTTGTGATTAGAACGTTTTATTTGGTTAAACGAGGTTTTAAATGACTGGAAACAAGAAACAATTGTAAACAAAACACGACCTCTAAAGACAGTGCACCGGACAGAACTAACAATAAAACTGTTTTCAGCTGATCCATAAGGATTAGAAATATACTAATATAAGGGAGTATGTTTTATATTTGGGCTTCTTACTTAAATAGTAGCTTTATGGTATGCAAAAAGATAAAAATGTACATTTAATTTGGATCTTTTTCATGTTATGAAATATCTATTTTCGTAGTTCGCCATTTGTTTCTTTTATTCAAATAAATACAATTTTTTGAACTTCTGCAAATAAATTATTGAGTTCGTATTTTATATACTGGGCTTGTAGCCTTGAATCATAAATCACAATAACATTTACACGTTAAACGTCAGTCCAGAAATACAATGTAGTGGTAATGTAATTTTAAATAGAGCTATTGAATTTAAATACATATTTATCAATACAATATTATAAAGTTGTAGGCCTAATTTATTCATAGATTGCATTAAAAATTAGTCTATGCATAAATACAACTTGTAAATTTCTTTTATCGTAGGCTATTAGTGTAGAACCCGGGTCATCCTCTTAATTTTGTTTAATTAATATTAATTTTACGTCTTTCAGTAGGCCTACTTTTTAAAAGTCTGGAGTTTTTCTCCAGGCTGGTTCTAAATCGACCCAGGCGTTCTTGTTTGTTACAATTCTTATGAATGGTGGCCATACCTAAAATTACTTGATCTTATCCAAAAACAAAGCTATTGTCTATTGAGTAGCTCAGTACCGGGGAACGGTGAACCGAGCAATGGCTTGGTATAGTTTATTTCGATTGTTAAAACAATGTAAAGGAAACCCAACTAAAAAAATCCGTCAATTCGTTGATTAAGAATCGTGAATTAAAATTACCCTGTCACGTTTTATTATATGAATATTATATCTTCTCCTATTATTTACTAGTGGTGCTTAGGTGTACAATCTAAAAACTGTTTTAAAACATGTAACATTATTACTAAAAAATTCAACACATTTTAGAATTAGGCAACTATTTACTAGTAGGCCTACAATGCTTTGGCTTAAACTATTAGGCCTAGATAAAAGCTTAGTCTAATGTCATATTTTTACACGTAAGTTGGACGATTCAACTACGAACATTTAATTTTAAATTTATGAATTAGTTATGAAAGTTACGATGGTTGATGACTGATGGTTGATGTTTGATGACATTACGATTAAATTTGTTTTCCGTGTTTGAGAACTAACGTGTATTTTAGCTTAATTTCGTAGAGTTTTAATTATTTAGTACCTTTTCACTATTTTTCAACTCTGTTATTTTCTTTTATACTTATGGCATTTATATTTAAGATCGAAATCATAAACATTTAACTGGCCATTTTAAAGTTAAATAAAAAAAAACACTTTTCATGATTTTTTAATAATTGTCTTTGAATTACTTTGGGCTAGTTATCTGTTAAAAGTGAAATTGATAACAAAAACAATTACATTTACTGTATCTTCATTGACACTGATATTTTGAAATACGGTAATGTACGATTATTTTGTCGTGCAAGGTTGGCAACGCTCCATGCAGTGGGCGCGGCCGGGTTAGCGACTTCCAGAGTTAGCGAATTCCGCCGCGAGACAAAATCGAGTTAGCGGGTTCCAGAGTTAGCCAATTCCTGACTGAGACGGTTAGCCAGTTCCAGAGTTAGCCAGTTCCGACACACGACCGAGTTAGCGAGCTCCTGAGTTAGCCAATTCCTACGTCTCACAATATCTGTCGCTAAATAATATCTATTAATAATATTGTTTGTGTTTTTGAAACTACAGAGGTTTGTAAACTTATTTTACACCATAATAGCAATTAATAAAAACCCTTTCTTTGATCTCACAAATAAAGAGGAAACGAACCTAATAAGAGATCGAAATAAGAAGCTTTGTAGTTGTGAGAAATTTATTTTGGCAAAATTACTTTTGTATTTAGGGTATTTAACAATATAACAAATTTAGAATGCTGAACGAATTGGATAGTTTCATTCACACACCTTTGTATTAGGTACTCAGTGTAAATCTGTTACACAACGAATTTGATGTTCTACACCGGATATCAGTTATCTTTTTAGAGCTATTGCACAACCACAAGGCTTACTGATAGCTCAGTTGATCAATGACAATCCGTTTTCAAGTGTAATTTTAGATACACACATGATATACAATTCCAAGAAGGTGACAACACTATCCATTCATCAAATGACAAATAAATTACACAACGTGTATAAGTAAACTAGAAGCTAGAAGCCTATCTCAAAGTTACTGTAATTCTTTTTTAGTAAGTAAACAGCTTACATAAACTACGTCAACATTTATCACATAAGAGGAAAACAACTTAAGAACTATGCTACTACCCTGAAAACATCCATTACTCTTTCTTATGGCTGTGGTTTTTCTTTATGTGTTTGTTGTGCCTTAATGACATCTATAAAACCTAATTGGGCAATTCAAACAATATGGATGGTGTAGGATGTTTCCTAATATTTCATAGGTTTAGCTATCCAATAAGAAACCTTGAGTATACTTTGAATACTAAGTATATTGAGTTTCTAATGCATTTTTTATCTTTACCAGCTTGCAGGTGTTGAGGATGCCCCAAGGTATGTCTCGGCAGCGGCTCTGCGAGATGAAAAACACCTCCAGGGGAGAGAAGATCCATAGAAACAAACATGGTCCCCAAACCAGAACTGTCTTCTCAAAACACGGAGTAAACTCCGGGTCTGGACTGTCCCACAGAATCTCTGGATCCTAAAACATAATAACTTTAAATTCAAAACTGTATTCTCCGGTGAACATAAAAATTAACACTGGACTATTTCTGAGATTGTTTTGGTTCCAAAGATTCAAAAGTAAACTATTTAGACAATACAAGTAAGCTCGCGGTTTACATGTGACACGCTACGGGCGCAAAATTTTATTGCACCCCCTCCTCTTGTCCTAGTGGGGAATTTTTCTTTACCTTGCATCACAAAAAAATCTAAGCCTCTTCCGCCCCTGGGCCCGGTTGGCCTGGGCCTTGATCATAAAAGCTTCCAAAGTCAGATAATAACCTGTATTTAACATTTCCTTTTTTACCGAAGGGTATTACAAATAAAGAAATCAGATTTTGTGTTGATAATTTGATTAAAAGCTCCTGACAAACTATTTATGGCTCCCAAATTTTTGTGTGCATATGAACACCTTGTTTGACCTTCCTTATCAATTTTGGAACATAAAAACTGATAAAGGGTGATAACATGCATTGTAATAAAGCACACAGCATGAAATCAAAAGAAACTGGCTGTTATACAACTCTTTTTGTTGAACTTTATCAATCAAATGACTTCAAGGTCAATTCAACTTAATGCTTTGTTTCTAACTAGGCTCCATCAGTATGTATTTTAAACATCCAGTGGTAAAAAAAAATTGCTTGTCTTAATTCAACAAATAATTAATTAATTGGCAAACCTTATATAGCTTATTTAAAGATGGTGATAACTTTAGGTGGTGATAAATTTTGATGTTTCCCTGCTTTGTGCAACTAAATTAAATTAAATAAACAAACCAAATAATTCAGAAGGAGTAGAATAATAACTTTGCATTTAGAAAACTGTTCAAAATTAAGTATTGACCTAGCAAACACAAAGTGTCTACTTGACATTGGCTTAATATTGAACTGATTATCTAGCTCTGATAAAATCACAAGTGGTCGTAGCCTGTTAATGTTGGAAACTAACACAAAATAAAATAAGTGGAGAGTAAGAGTCCATCCTTGAGTTACATAACATAAATTTATTGACAGTCTTCTCTGTAGCACTGTTGGTATTTCAACTTTCTCACATATGCTTTGATTTTTAGTGAATGTATTTGTAGAAATAAAAGTACCATCAATTTATTCATTAATTGAGCATGGAAAAAAACAAGGCACCGACAAATATGGAGTGCAAAGAAGCAAATAAATTATAAATTAATTTTACTACAGAACAAATTATTTTATAGTATACCTATTCCTTTGAAACCATTCTTGCAGTCGCTATATAATAGAAATGTTAAACTTGAAATTTAAGTCAAATTTTGAAGTGGAAAAATTATACGTCTATATAGATAAATCCACTATAGAACATCCCAAACAGGTCTTTGACCTAGGTATGAACTGTTTCATCGTTAAATAATTCACAAGTTTGTAAGTAAGTTAATCTAAGTTATTCTTAGTTTACTCTGTGTGTAAGCTTTGTAAATCAATATGAAACAATAAAAATTTCTGATTCTGAATTCTGATTCTGATTTCTGAGATACTGATGTCCTACAGTTTAATGGAATTTCCCCCGTAACATTTCATCTTAAATAGCAACGCTTTAAAATAAAAATAATTTATTTTTTAGCTCTAAGATGGCAATAATAAAAAATTAGGCATTTCTATGATTTAAGGGTAAAAATTTGAAAAACAATTTTTGAACAAATTAAATACCGGTACCCCATAATGCTAGCAGTACACTATCGCCGAATGTTCGGCCAATTGTATTCGCCAAATGTTTTACTTGATTTGCTACGACAAATGCTGTCGAACCCAGTATACGCTCGCCTATGTTCGCCAAACATGCTTGCTGGTGGTTAGGTATATTTTAACTTCCGGCACTCGCCTTTGATTGTCTCCTTTGACTCGCCCCAAGAACCGACAAAAAAAGGGAGCACAGGCGAGCACGAATCATGGCAAATCAAAATATCCAGAGCGTACACACGCAGACTGGGTACAATATCGTGCTCGCCTATATTCGGCGATAGTGTACCAGCATTTAACACTTTGTTTCCATAATTACTCGATCTATATGGTTGGTGAAATCATTCATGATTATTCAGCCCTACACATTCAAGCCAAAATGGTAATGAATGGTGTTTTTGGCCTCTGGGGACATAGATATAAAATGGTACGAGCAAATTAGTCCTGGGTCTAGGTCTTGCCATGCCACCAGGAGACGGTGATAGCTTCCCGATAAAGAAATTTTCAATTAACTTTTTAGTCTAAAATATTTCTAGTATAAGTTAACTGTTTCTTTTTCAATTAGTAAAAATAAAGCTAGGAACAGACAGTTAACAAACAAACAGCTATTTTTAACAATTAATTTTAACATATTCTCTATTTGGATCAGGCATTACTACTTAGCTAACTAAAGTGTAAGCATAGGACAAAGACAGAAAAAAATGGTTATGAAATCGTTGATAACATATGTTTTCTCAAGGTCCACTATCAAAGGTCGGCTCAGATCTTTAGATGTGATGTACCACGAATCATCAACGACATTAAAAACTAAATTCCCTATTGTTCAGATAATGGTAGTCATTTTATAGCCGTATCTTTTATCATTCATCAATCTTTGAATTAAATTTTGTATCATATCGGTAGGTTAACTTAACACATTGAGTTTTAACTTAAAACTTTAGAGCCTTAGAAAATTTTTATTGCATAAAATCTCATTTTTTGTTGCCAGAAGTGAGGATCCAGGTCGGAAATAGTGTTTTGAGCAGTTTTTCCCAATAAAAATTACGTCAATTGCTATGACGTTTGTGGGCACCGTGACGAAAATACTCCATTTTAAACACTGTTTTTCACACTAAAAATGTTAAATAGCGTAACTTAACTAATATTTTTAAATATACAGCCTCTCCCTCCCTCCCAACCATTGTTTATTTCAATAATAGTGAATCATGAAACTGCTGATAACAATTTGGTATTGGGGAGTCCATCTTTATTATAAGGCACATAAACTAAAAATAATAAACTAACTATGATATACCTATATTGTTGTGTCTTAAAAAAGCAAAATCACAAAATAAATAGGCCTACATCTATTAATGTCCAGAGTCAATAAATTGTGCAAGGGGAATTTACCGGCCTCAAGAGATAGGGAACGGCCCATGGGAACGGCAGGCGAAACACACATTTATAGGTTATGTAACGTTAGCAACGCAAACGCAATAGACCCCTTGAACTCCTTTCCACAAGCTTGCGCCACACTGAGTAATTAATTTCATCGGGACCTGGCCGGGTAAGGTGACCGGGCCAGCCTGGGCGCACGTTCAACGACCGTCACACTCAATATATTAGTATTAATTTATCAACCGTATTCAACTATTTTATGAAATTCTAGCCTTAGAGACAAAGGAATATTGTAGGTAATCCTAAATTGCTTTGCTGAGGACAAAACCTAAGAACCTGTATACAGTAAAGAGCCTAGGGCTTATTTCATTTCACATTTTGGCTTTTAAGTTACACACTATTAACTTGAAGGAAAGTAAAGAGTTTGCAGCAAAACTAGGAAGGAACCAGCAGATAACCCTTGACATTATTATCTGTAGGCATAATGATTAGGTTACAGATATTAAAATATATGTTATGTAACAATGAGCAACACTGGTTTATTGTTACCAGATAAGATTAAATGTATATATTGGATCGTAAAGTTACCACACTCCTTTAAATTGGCCTACTTTAAATAATATTCTTTAACTTTCCTTTTAAGGTTTCTTTAACAAACTTTGATTCGATAGGCCTAGTTTCATACCTAAATTAGTGATTTATTTTTTTTTACTAATATAGCCTAACTTATGGGTTAGGGGTGTGTGTAGTCCAAAAAGACAAAAAACATTTTTCATCCACACATATTTACATTCTTAACTATCAATTTATATAGGTAGGTTAAGTTAAATATCATCTTTTAAAGAGAAAAATGTTAGCATTAATGTCTGTTTCGCTTCTTTAAATGCTGAAACTTTGTTTTTAGCGAATTTCCCATATATAGGGAATATTAGCGAATTTCCCATATATAGGGAATAAGCTATTACCGTAGGTCTCATGGTAAGACCTGGACCCGGGACCGATTTAGTTTTTCGTTTTGAGGTCCCCAGAGGTCAAAAACACCATCCGTTCAAATTCATATATATATATATATTTATATATATATATATTTATATATATATATATTTATATACATATATATATATATTTATATATATATATATATATTTATATATGTGTCCGTTAGCGCGATAACTCGAGCAAAAATGATCCGATTTTGATGAAATTTGGCATAAACGTGTAAACCTACATTTATTTGAACGAGTTCGCGAACCAGCATGATCGGACTATGGGAACAGGGGTTTATGGGGGGTTTTATGGGGTAAAAATGGGTTTTTCTAATTTTTTACCCTGAAAACATAAAATTTTGCAATTTCTTTCTAAACCATTTTGTAGAGCTCAAAAAAACAAATAATTTAGTATATTGAAGCATTGTTGCATGCCTAACGGTTAGGGAAAAATCGCAAAATAATGTAAATTTAAAATTACCATGTTATTCTTATGGAGAATAAATACAGTGTTGTAGCTTGCTTGTGTATGGACATATATTAATGAAATGTTGAAATTTTGTTTACTTCATACTGAGCTATTAATATTTCAATAAAACCCCCCATTTTCTTCCCTGTAGCAGCAAACCTAAGTACTCATTAATATTAATGATGTTTAGATAGGAAATAAATCTGACAATTTTAAGGGAACAATTTAGTGGAATTCCAGCTGTGTATATGGAAATTCGCTTAGTCTGCAGGTTTGCTACGGCGGGGGTATTTATAATTATGATGAATAGAGAAATCAGACCAACTAAGGCAATTAACTTATTGGCAACTTGATCGTTAGGCGATAACTTAGTGGTGGGGAAGAGTTATAAAGTAACTTAAATGTGCAGCATGGGGTAGACTTTCATAAGTGGGGCCAAAACCCACCGAATGAAAATATTGTATTGATTATTTAATAATTTAGCCTACCTTTTACCTTCCTTTTATTTATTATTTAAATTTAGTAGGCCTAGGCCCTACCTAATTATTTAGTATAGGCTAGGTGCCTCCAAACAAGTTTTTAATTTTGATGTCTAACTTTATTGTTTTTTACCTCCTGCCAAACTTTCAGGGTTGGTACCTACTAAATTTGGTAAGTTAAAATTCCCTGACTTTTCCAGGTTTTCCAGACTGATTTTATACTTTTTCCAGGTATACTTACCATAAGTCGAGATCGACTAATCAAAATCAAGAAATATTAGAAAAAATATAGGCCTAAATCTTAAAATTTAATCACTCTCAAATACAAAACCTTTTTCAAACTAACTTAAATATCGATTCCACCCCTGTACCGATTAAAATTATCAATTTATAAAAATGTGCATCAATGCATATGTCGTTCTTTTTGCCATTAGTCATCACCCTGACAAAACCTTTTTAGAGCAAAACGTAGCATATATGTAAAAAGGTAGTCTTTCAGGAGAAATTCCAGAGTTTTTTCATAATTCCTTGACTTTTCCATGTTTTTCCTGACCCTGTTGATATATCAAATGAAATAATCGATAGCCTATAGTTATTGATTGATGCCTATATTTATTCGGTTTTTTTTTGGCGCCACTTATGAAAGTCTACCCGCAGCCTGCTCACCATGCTAACTTAAATGATTCCACCTCTAAGTCATAGCATTGACTATATCATAGTCAATGGTTATAGGCTATAAAAAGAAAAAGAGAATCAAATTGATCTAAATAAACATAAACATAAAGCTACACAAGTAAATTTAACAGGTTAAGTTATGTGCATAGGTTTTATGGTTAGGCACTAACTTATGCAATAGCCAATTTTAGGCCTAACTTAAAAATTAAAATTCAATTGTTAAGTTAAACATGTTTGAAACAAGTTAAATGATTGAATTTTTTAATGTAAACTTATAGCCTAAGTTATAATTTATGCTCCATTTTAAAAATCCAAAAAAGAACTTACCCAAAAAGTGGAATTGCAGAATGGAGCGTCTTCATCCCATACCATTCTTGAAATTATTAATAATAAAATTAGGCCAACTAAGTTAACTTCTAAAACAGTTTCGACATCTACTAAGAAACTATTCTTCTTCTTTCAACATCTAGTAGGTCTAGTTGAAATCCACAGAACTCGTGAAAAGACAATAAATTATTTAATGTTCACTGTCTCAGATGAATGGCAGATTACTATAAAGACAGTTTTAAGTTTTAATAACTACTGATGTATCTAAGTTATGACAATATAAAATCACTAAAATGACACCCAGTTTAAAACACAACCGAACACGCAAAGGCAATTTTATTAAGATTCTATAATGTTAGGACTTGTTGAAAATCACTTAATTTTGTAAATTTTCAGTTTGAATTTGATCCGTTGTGCAACAAGTGTCCCCTCTTATCTTGACATTGACAATTGACAAATGAAATCTCGCTTAGAAAATGACAACCAAGACAACCCCGTTGAGTTTTTTTGGCCTGTTTTCTGTGCTGTCTGTCTGCTTGTTACGCGACAGGTTAAATAAAACAGCTGGAGCAGAGTATATGAGCCAAACAGCCAATGAGAATGAGAATTAGTTGTCTGAGATCTGTTGATCCAATCAACAGACGTTATCGAAGGCAGGCTTGTTTTATTCGTGATGTAACCGACGCGACGACGCGCCTGTTAATTCAATAACCGTTCGAACTCATGGTGGAAGGTTCGAACTCATGGTGGAAGTCGAACTCGACGACTGCCTTCAGTCAGTGATAGCATTTTGTATAATCAAACCAAAATTTTGTATTGATAACTCCCTACTACAAATCAATTAATACTGGTTAGACAAATTATATATATACAACAATAAAATTAAGGCTCAATAGAGCAATGGGGGAATTGCGGCACCATCTTCAAACTGAATGCTTCGAATTTTGCGTCTTGTTCCTCGAAGCCTAAACGCAACTGCTCTAATGACGGAGAGCTGGCTTTATGGATCCTTAACCATCCAATAATTTGGGAGTATGGTTTTCTCCATTTTACAGCCAGCGCCTCGCTTGTTATCCTCTCAAACGCTTCATATTCTTTGTGGGGGACTCCTTTCCGTGGAACATATTAATGGTGTGAAGCTTAATCTGATTTCTTCCGTGGGGTCCCAACCGATTTAACTTCGGCTGCTTTGTCATATTTATTATGTTTCTGAACGGCATGGTTTCGAGATATTGTACCCCATTCTTGGTTAACGTAAGAGGGAGCGTCAGCATTAACAATGCGATTATCAAAGAAACGGTACTCTCTCAGCCTCCCAAATACCATTAACTTTTAAGTCAGCTTTTAAAGCAGGGAAATTAATTGTTTTCAGGATCAGCTTCTCTCATAATAGGCTCGATTTCAACCCCATTCCAGGCCATATTTGCTATAGCAGCACAGTGGTCTTGATTTTGATCATGCCCATGTTTGATCAATCCTCCTTTTTTTACAATTTAAAGCATGGGTAAGATTCATAGGTAGATCACAACCATCACATCGTACTGGTAAATTTCTTAGTGTAAGGCCATGGCGAATTTACAAAGCATCTCTGAATTGATCCGGGGACAAATCCGTATGATCAGGATGCACATTGTGTCACAGTTAACCATTGGCTGGTATTCCCAGCTACAATTCTAATTATTGGCTTCTTTTGAGTTTCAGGAAGTAATAATTGCATCGTTCATTATTTGCTTTAGGCAAAGTGTCTTTTTATAGTTTTCTCTTTTTTTTTACAGCTTGTAGAGATGGATACATGATCATTAATTTTTAATGGTTGTCCTTTTTTTAATGGCCAATATTAGTTTTCCTGTACATTAATTGTTTTGATGTTTCAAATGAAATACCATCGTTCTTGGTCGGGTCCTGTTGGTCCTGAATATTTAGGCCTCCAAGACGAGTAGGGAGTGAGAACAAGTCATGTTCAAGTTCAGAAATCTCTTGTTCGAAAAGAATGGGAGTTAAATTAATGGCGATGTGTATGGCAGTTTTAAAATCTCCGTATTCTTCACTAAATCCCTCTGGTACTCTTTGAAGAAACGCTCATTAATTTTGTAATGACTTTGTAAAGGGAGCAAACTTGTTAAAAAGGGTGACTTGTTATCGAAGGTCTTGATATCAAGGTTCCACTGTTTGCTCATTGTTTCTAAGCTACGTGAATCAATTTGAAAACACATAACTGTAACTAATCTTGATTTAATCTGTACTTTTATTTCTTCTCCCATTTAGATTTAATATGCAAAATAGTTGCATATGGAGTTTTGACTATCTGGGACCTGATGACATTGACTATACATACATCTATTGAAAATTTTTAATCAATGTAAGGAATTATCAGGGTAAGGGATTAAGCTATATTGTATAATATATTTATTCCTCTTTGACTCTGCCCTGCCATAATCAATCGGTTTCAATTCTTTGGTGGATTCTCGTTTCCATATGGGTTTGTTATGAATTATCTAATATATAAAATTCTCGTGTCACAGTGTTTGTCTGCAAACTCCTCCGGAACGACTTCACCGATCGTTATGAAATTTGGTGTGTAAATTCTGTAGGTATGCGAATCGGACGTAAACTATTTCCCGTTTCGAAATTCTTAAAAGGGCTCCGCCCCAGTGGCTCTGGAGTTTCCCATGTTAACCTTATGAGAAATGGAATTAATGAATCTTAACAGCTGTTTCAATTAAACAAGTTGGTTCTGTTCTATGATGTTCAATAGCATTAAAGTTACAAGGATTACCAACAGGGTGCAGCACTATTATTTCTTTTACATTTATGACAACAGCTAATTTGGGGGTAGCGGATTTCTACCCCCGGATATTTACCCCCATGAAAAAACGCCTACGTCATTTTGACGTCACGAGGGGCGGGGCCTATACACGATCGAGAAACAGCCCGCGACTGGAAATCTACCCCCGGACATCTACCCCCGGACATCTACCCCCGTGGTCAGCTACGCTACGTATCGGCCAAGATGCATTGTTGTAATTGATTTTATTAATTGGTTTATGTAAATAAACGGCTCTTCGGTTATTCATTAGCTTCTAATTTCCAGTACTAGCTGTTGTACCCGTGCTTTGCAACGGGAAGAGGACACAAAATAGAAACATTTTAATCTTTACATCTGTTGCATATAATAGTTACACATCCGCCAACGCTTTTAGAATCAAAATTCAACTTTTATGGCCTTAATAGAAACGTTCAAGTTATAACTTTTAAATCTGGTAAGTAGTGGACCACCATTTTGGTTTTGATTAATTTTAAATCTTGTGTAGGCTGATATAAGAAAAACTGACCAAATCTTCGAATAAAACTTACACATACAATTTATCTTCATCTCCCTTAATTACATATCTTTTTATATATGACATTATATATTTCAATTTTGAAGTTGCAAAAATACAAATTATTAAATTTAAATGGACATTTTTTTTTAGTTTCACTTTTCTTCATATTAAATCACAAATCCTTCCATCTTCAGTTTCTTCACTCACAATAAATCATTAGCAAAACTAAGTCACCTGTTATAAACTTTAGAAATATTTTGTGCCTTGTCAATACAGTATTTTGAAATATTAAAGAAAATATAAAGGTATTTTATATCCATACTATAAAAATTTTTAAACAAATCATTTAGCATTAAACACCGCAGACAGAACTAATACAGTATGATTATCAAAGCATCGAGGACTAAAAAATGTAATAGCAAATACAGTATGTTTCATTGCATCTCTGATTCTAATCTACAAACATATCAACAAACAACTTAATGCACAAACCAGTTCTTTTAATCAGTTCCATCGTCCTTTGCCTTTAAATCTTCACACTTACCATTAAGTAAACATAGTAACAGATATTTAATTGATTTTAGAAACAAAAGAACACTGTGTACTGCTTAGTTTTATGATATTTTCCTTGGTTTATTTTAATCAGTGGTGTGGCAAAACACAATAAATTTATCAAATAAAGTAAATGTGAACTGAAAGCTATGTTAAGATAAAATAAGAGTATTTTGTATTACCATTTGATAATTAAACATAGTTACACATATACAACAGATTTTAGAACACAAATATCAATGATGTACAATTTGGTTATTGATGATATTCTTTAGTTTTTAAGCATAGGTTTAGCAAAACACAATTCCTAAATTTACCTAAATATATATATTCAAAACAATGTGATATGCAAGTTATGTTAAGTTAATCTAACACATGTTAAGCAGTTCAAATTTATTTAAAGTAGCCTCCAAATTCATACAAAACATCTATACATTGTAATTTTCATACTGTTTCTATGAAAACATATCAATAACATTATTTTCATAACTTAGACGCTTAGAAAAATCCAAAGCAGAGCCGGAGTTGATACAGCAACGGTTATAGAATCTTTTTTTTACAATCATTGACAGTTTTAAATAATCCATGATGAAACGTTAGATTAAAATAAACCTACCTCATAGTTATGGGAAAACTAGCTGACCCGGCGAACTTCGTATCGCCTAAGTTATAGGTTTCCCCTAAGACAGACCGATGGAAAGAAAGTACCGTTACGTTTAATTTTCAAGATGATCTCGTTCGCATCGCTCAATCACGTCCTGGTTGAAGTTCGTTCGCTACGCTCACTCACCTTTGGGTTGGAGCTCGTTCGCTACGCTCACTCACCTTTAGGTTGGAGCTCGTTCGCTGCGCTCACTTGCCTTCAGGTTAGCTCGTTCGCTACGCTCACTCGCCTCCAGGTTGAAGTTCGTTCGCTACGCTCACTCACCTTTTGGTTGCAGTGCTGCACCCTGTTGGTAATCCTTGTAACTTTAATGCTATTGAACATCATAGAACAGAACCAACTTGTTTAATTGAAACAGCTGTTAAGATTCATTAATTCCATTTCTCATAAGGTTAACATGGGAAACTCCAGAGCCACTGGGGCGGAGCCCTTTTAAGAATTTCGAAACGGGAAATAGTTTACGTCCGATTCGCATACCTACAGAATTTACACACCAAATTTCATTACGATCGGTGAAGTCGTTCCGGAGGAGTTTGCAGACAAACACTGTGACACGAGAATTTTATATATTAGATATTATATTTAACCTCTTTGTATCAGCTGTCTGCAATTGTAAAATATGCAAGTTAGCTACTAGCGGCTAGTGCCTGACCACCAAATCTGTTCGGGAGCGAAACTTCTATCCACTCGACGTTCTGTACCCACGAGCACCTCAGCTTCCACATGCACAGAAGGCCTTGGAACAGTTCCTGGGATAACAGCTATTTGTGTAATAAGCTTCACTGTATATCTTTATTGCACCTGTTTAGATAGTTGTTTCTTTCAGCAGTTGCAGTTGCGAACTGTGCATTATGATTTTGTAATTTGTAAAGGTAAAGGTGTTTATTCTTTACTGTTTGTTTACTTTTGACTTGAGCTGCTTGAAAATGTGTTTTATGATTATGAAAATTAAAGTGTTGTGAGTGTGCTGAAGCTGATTTGATATTAGGTATATTGACAATTAAATGTTTTGCGTGCATGCATTATTTATGAAGTGTTAAATGTTCACTTAAACTGTATTTTTCGGATTCCTCAAGAAGAGAGGTTAGGTTGGGTTTGTGTGTGAATTTGTTAGATTACAGTTTTGGTGTTGGTAGTGGTGGGTCTAAGTTAAGGCATTGAGTATGGTTAAGGTAAACTTAGGCCTACCTACTCTTATAAATAGATAAGTTATTAATTTAACTTTTTCAAAGGCAATAACTTCTAAGACCTAAACTCAACTGAAAGGCCCAAAACTAACTTAATTAACCTAGACCTACCACTACCAAAACTGCAATCCAACAAATTCACTCACAAACACAACTCAACCTAGCCTATTAACAATCACTCTTGAGGAATCCGAAAAATATATGTTAAGTGAACATTTAAAACTTCATAAATAATTCATGCACGCAAAACATTTAATTGTCAATACCCGATAACAAATCAGCTTCAGCACACTAACAACACTTTAATTTTCATAATCATAAAACACATTTTCAAGCAGCTCAAGTCAAAAGTAAACAAACAGTAAAGAATGAACACCTTTACCTTTACAAAATCATAATGCACAGTTCGCAACTGCAACTGCTGAAAGAAACAACTATCTAAACAGGTGCAATAAAGATATACAGTGAAGCTTATTACACAAATAGCTGTTATCCCAGGAACTGTTCCAAGGCCTTCTGTGCATGTGGAAGCTGAGGTGCTCGTGGGTACAGAACGTCGAGTGGATAGAAGTTTCGCTCCCGAACAGATTTGGTGGTCAGGCACTAGCCGCTAGTAATTTAGCTCAGTTCTCCTTGTTTACATTGAAATGTCAAAGCAAATGTAAAAACTCATTAATAGTGTTCTAATCGCAGCCATGGAGACCAATCAATATTTACTTTTAAAATCCTCACCTCAGAACTTTTAAAGCCAAAGGGGCAAAGCCTACGGTCATTATCGAAATGTGAATAGTCCTATAATGGTCCTTGGTATGGTAGCTATATTTATGTAAAATTTAAGCCCAGTTGGTTCAGTAGTTTTTGCACCTATTAGTAATACACATACAGACAGACACCATTAGATTTTTATATAATAGTATAGATAAAGCATGCGATATGTCGTTGTCATGTTTAACATGTACATCGAATAGGTACAGTATTTTACATATTTGATTTACGTAGCTAAATAAGGTTATAACAAATAACATTTATCTTATGTTATTGGAATTAAAACAACTACAAGATTATGCAGTTTTTAAAAAAACTAGGTATTCTGAAATCAATATGTTTTTTTTTATATGCTATTATGAATATGCTTTCTTATTATTTACTTTAGAGTATTTTTGATGATATCATCGTTTTGGTGACACACCTGGGGCCCTATTTTTGAAATGGTTGACTGTTGAGTTGAGTGTCGAGTCATTCTATTTCCAATCGTTTCGTATTTTTGAAACGGTTGACGGTGGACTTATACAACCAAAACTACTCAACACCTATCGAGCTGTTGAGTGGAGGTTGACTGCACTTTCTTCTTCCTCTCTTTCGGCAAAAAATTACTCTTTTTGAGACGACGCCATATTGTTTTGTTATTGCTTTAATTTACTAATTGCGATTTAGAGGTTATGTATTTGTTGTCAATGTATTAGCACCCAATTATGCGATTGTTTTCTGTAGAATAATCGCATTTTAATTTTATTTACTGTGTCAATACTAGACTATTTAATCAAGGGTTTATTCTTGTTGGAATGTTTGAAATAGACTAGGCATACTAATTGAACTTATTATAAGATAATTATTGTTATTAGACCTATGATTTAAGGTATTAAAGATTGTGGTAGAGAGAAACAATATCATAGTTTGTTTCAATACCATTCACCTAATAAAGGGATCGAATTAATTTAAGTTACGATATGCTTCCAGTGCAATGGCAAATAGCCGCTTTAACCTAAATAAAAAACAATTAAAAATAACATAAAACAAACCGACGAAGGAAACTAAAATAAGGTGATGTGTTCCGAAATAGAGACGAAGAAAGCAAATAATAATGTATTTAGGATGAGTGTAGGACCTAAAGTAAAGTGCAGCCTATGCCTAAACTTATAATTAGCTACACCCTAAAACAAACATCCATAGTAAATTTTATTTTTTATACTTAAGTTTATTAGGCTACTTTATTTAGTTTACTTTAGTTTATTACTTAAGTTAAGGTACTTTGCAATCACTAAGATTAAGCAAGACATAACCTCAATCTCAATTCAATCTCTCTTTTAGAGTAAGAAGAGGTTAAATCGAAGTCCGCAAGAACTCTGCATTGTGATTGGTTCAAAATGACGTCATCTGAATTTTTGACGGTCGTATGCTCTACATTTCCACCACGAGTCTCTCAACTAGTGATTCCCAACTCGCTTCCCAACTGTTGGGTTTCAAAAATACCAAATCATGTTGTTGGTTGAGTTGAGTGCTGACGATTGACTCAACTGTCAACCATTTCAAAAATAGGGCCCCTGTTGCGTTGACTGTTGTGTTGGCAACGACTTGGGGTATATTATTGCCCAAGAAGAATAAAGTATTTTTTTGAGTTTTCGCTTCACAAGAAAAAAAATAATTTGCATAATAAGCTAATGAATAACCGAAGAGCCGTTGACTTACATAAACCAATTAATGAAATCAATTACAACAATGCATCTTGGCCGATACGTAGCGTAGCTGACCATGGGGGTAGATTTCCGGGGGTAGATGTGCGGGGGTAGATGTCCGGGGGTAGATGTCTGGGGGTAGATGTCCGGGGGTAGATGTCCGGGGGTAGATTTCCAGTCGCGGGCTGTTTCTCGACCGTGTATAGGCACCGCCCCTCGTGACGTCAAAATGACGTAGGCGTTTTTTCATGGGGGTAAATATCCGGGGGTAGAATTCCGGCGACCCCTAATTTGCAACCAAAAGGTGAGTGAGCGTAGCGAACGAATTTCAACCTGGAGGCGAGTGAGCGTAGCGAACGAGCTAACCTGAAGGCAAGTGAGCGCAGCGAACGAGCTCCAACCTAAAGGTGAGTGAGCGTAGCGAACGAGCTCCAACCCAAAGGTGAGTGAGCGTAGCGAACGAACTTCAACCTGGGGCCCATTTCATAATAAAGTACAAACTAATATTATTAGTAAATCAGCTGATCGCCCAATGCAAATCTAATGGAAATTACAAGTTACAAGTTGTAACTTGTAACTTGTAGTTTATTATGAAATGGGCCCCAGGACGTGATTGAGCGATGCGAACGAGATCATCTTGAAAATTAAACGTAACGGTACTTTCTTTCCATCGGTCTGTCTTAGGGGAAACCTATAACTTAGGCGATACGAAGTTCGCCGGGTCAGCTAGTATTTAAATATAAACATCATAACCCAAGTTCAAGTTGTATTCTGTTCTAATAAATAATAATTGTTTATTTTTAAAATCTTAAGACTAACTTATTGTTGTTATGCATTTTTGTGTTGGTTTGACATAATTAAAAATGGGAAACCATATAAAGAGTAAATTTTTATGCTATGTTACTAAGGGGTAAGGTAGGGCTTCTTCTAAAAATATTGTATAAGAAATCTTTTTGTTAACGCAATAGGCCAGAGCCCACAGCCCAGCCTACTGCCTACTAGTTGATAATAGAAAAATGGGCTAGATAAGAATAGATAATGAGTACATTAATCTTGTATTGGCCAATTAATTACTTATCCTAGTGAGTTATAAGTTAATACTTAATGTAACAAAAACTTTACCCTCCTAGAGAAAAAAGTAGTTATGTTTTGCAAAGGAAACTGTAAAGTATGATTGGCATTGGCACAGGCCTAACTTAATTTAATTTAAGAAAATTAAGCGGTCTTAATTCTATGGGCTGCTCAGAGTTTAGGCATAAGTTACCTATTTTGCAGTTTGTGTTCATAAGTTAACTTACATAACTTATTGTAGAGATTAGCAAATAAGCTATTCAAAATACCAGAAACATTATGGGAGCATGGTAATTCTATCAATTGATTCTTTATATTTAACTGAACAGAAGGTTTCTGTAAATTAGCAAAGTTTTTACCATAGGTTGTTAAATAAACTTAGGTTTTTACATGTTTTCAGATTATGCTAGGCTACATACCTAGATATAAACACGCATCCTAAGTTTACTTTGGGTAAGTTACAGTTCCGCAGAGATCCTGCGATACGGTATATTAAGTTACAGTTCCGCAGAGATCCTACGATACGGTATATTATCGGATGAATAACAATATAAGTTAACTTAGGCTATACTGAAATATGTCTATTTTAATCCAGTTCGTTAATAATATCATAACTTAACATAATTATTTTAATTACCAAACCCCTAACTTATGATGAGTAGGCCTAAATAAAAACAACAATAACATTGAAACATTTTTTTTTCTTCATTTTATCCCTTGTTTCCACTTTCTCTTTTTATTTTTCACGTTAATTTACTTTTTGGTTGGTGTTTTTTGTAAATTTTCATGTAATAACTTAAGTTAAATTGAGTTTTGTTTTTAGTTAGGCCTATACCGGTATTTATTAAATATAGGCCTATTAATAAAAGCGTAAGATAAACATACCAATTTTGAAATAAATAAGTTAGGCCTATTTTCTACAATTAAAAATAATTATATAATTGATATATTGAACCAAACAAGTTTCAATATATATTGTTATTCTTATTCAGTGATAATATATCGTGGAGGTTCTCTGCAATACTGTACCATAGACCCCTTATTTTCCACTATTATTTTTGTCCAAACAAGATCAGTTGTCAATTTGTAATTTAAATGCGTTTGAAGATATTAAAAAAGAAGAAATATGGATCATAAAGGAATATTAAAATATTAATATATAAAAAAAGCCATCGATATTAATGAATGTTCCCTTCAACAGGAAAGTACATTTTTTATTAGTTCACAAGTAATTTAACTAAAGTAAGCTTAACTTAATGTAAAATAATCTTATTTCAGCAAATTCTAAACAAAAAAAGAAACCAAAACAAAAGTAGTAAGTTATATTAGAATTTACTGCAACTGGCATCAGACGGTTTAATATTTGTTGATACTAATCAAGTTTCTTTGATCTCGCTGTGTTGTTTCAACTAATTGCTCTGAAGTAATAGTCCACTCAATCATACTGTTACACATAATATGAGATTTTTATCAAGATCAGCCTTAAGACGTATTGTTATTTTATTGAGTGAACGAAAGTTGTTAAAGCTGGCATGGGATACCCGATCTGCATAATTTTGCTCTGGCAAGTGTAAACAATAAAAAAAATACTCTTTTTGAAATACATAGGCTAGGTACCTAGTACTTTTTTAATAAATATTTTGTTATCATACCGTGACCAGTGCTCGATTTGTAAAAAATGAAGTGCCGGAACTGTAACCTATTTCATGAGATATGTACCTATTTATGACAATATTTTTATCTTTCCAAAAGAGAGGTACGGTACTGGAACTCCGTTCTGTCGCGTTTCCCCTCAAATCAAGCACTGACTGTAACTATACTTTTACATGACAGAAAACTTTTTAATGGTAGGCCTAGGGTATTGTGTGTAGTCTTAAACACAAAGGCCAAGGTTGTCTCTGACGCCCAAAGTTATACAACCATACCTTTTTGTTTTGGTATGTGTTTTGGAATTTTTAAACAATTGGGAATCAAGCAAAGTTAATGTACAGTAACCAGACAAGTTATTCCTAAAGAAAATAACTGTTGCAATCTTGCATTAAAAGAAATAATTCCAGTAAATAGAGATTACCGTACTTAAAAATAAAAATAAGCTTATCATAGTATGCATTTAACAATCATAAAAAATGAGTGAAAAATTGTACCTGATTCATTTTTAAAGAATAAAAAAATTAAATATTTATTTAACTTGGCAATAAATATTCCTTCCATCCACTGTAATTTGAATTTTCTAATAATTGTAATTTTTCAGGTTTAGTTCATATTTTCGGTCGTTGTCAACAAGAGAAGTACAAAGTAAGTTTATAGTCTTAGACAATGCATTAAGTTTGGCATATTTATATTTTGGTTAAGTTAATAGGGCCTACAGTAATACAATGTTTATACAAATAACAAGACAGCCACAACATTATGGATAAATCTTCCTACTGCTTATCATAAGTTACATTAATTAAAACAATACATTTTCACTAAAGCTACATTTAGGAAGCCAGTCGGAAGGCAGTGTATTTCACATACTTCTAGTGAATTTCAAGTTAACTGAGGCAACTGGCTTCGTGTAAACGGGGCTTAAAACTTACAAACCCATCCAATATTCAGAAACGTGTTTATAGTAAACAATTTCTGAAATGTTTTGTTTCAATATTTTTATCCCTATGTATGGTAGTAGTCGTACCGTAGTCAAAAGAAATTAATGCTTTTCATAATTTTGGAAAAGATAAAACCAAATATTCAGGCAGTTACATTAGAATACAGGTAGGTATTCTACCACAGGTAGGGTTATTTTTAGAGCACATTGATCCATAAAACATTCACCTAAATCTCTGTCAGTGGTGACAATAAAACTCTTTGCAAATCTGTTATATTTAAAATACCCCCGCCGCAGCAAACCTGCAGACTTAGCGAATTTCCATCTGCCTGATTGGATTTAAACTAAAATGTCTCCTTAAATCACATTTATTCCCTATTTAAACAGAATTAGTTTAATGAGTACTTTGCTGCAACAGGGAGGGTAAAAAAGTTTTTTTAATGTAAAATATTAAAAGGTACTGTGGTTTAGTAAGAAATAAATGTATTTTCCAAATTTGATCAAAATATGTTCATAAACAAGCAAACTACAACAGTTGACTTATTCTCCATAAGAATAACATGGGAATTTTAAAATTACAATTTTTTTGAATTTTCTCCGTAACAATTAGGCACATAATAACGCTTCAATAAACTAAATTATTTGTTTTTTTAAGCTCTACAAAATGGTTTAAAAAGAAATTGTGAAATTTTGTGTTTTTAGGGCCAAAAATGGGAAAAACCTATTTTTACCCCATAAAACCCTCGTTCCCATAGTCTGATCATGCTAGTTCGCGAACTCATTCAAGTTTATCCCGCCTTACACCTTCAAACCAAGTTTTATCAAAATCGGACAAAAATTACTTAAGTTAGGCCTATTGTGCGGATGGACACACATATATATATACCTATATATATATATATCTATATATATATCTCTATATATAGATATATAAAAATTTGAACGAATGGTGTTTTTGGCCTCTGGGGACATCAAAATGAAAAAGTAAATCGGTCCCGGGCTTAGGTCTTACCATGAGACCTACGGTAATAGCTACTTCCCTATAGGGAAATTTGCTAAAAAACCATTGCAATCTATTTATGCAGGTTTTTCTGTGGTTTATATTGATTGTGGACTATTTTTCTGTTTAAGGAAAGTATGATCTCCAAGGGAAACAGAAGGTACGTTATGAAGAGTTTACTCCTCTAGGCAAATCCTTGGAGGAGGGTAAGTAATCTTGACAAAATATAGAGTATATAATTGGTCAGGAAACATTTTGCTGTCTATAAGTCTTACAGAAATATATATTTAATGTTCATGTAAGTTTTATTTCCGAGAAACTTTTCTTAAGCTTTAACGGGTGACAGATTTTAAAACGAGATGACTCACAAAGTTTTAATCTCGGTAGTGAACCCATCGACAAACAGTGTAAATATATCATGTAGGTACAAACAGATACAGTTCAATTAGTGAAATACACACACAAGTTAAACACTGAAAAGTATGCAAATAACAACAGAAAGCAAAGCACAGATAATGAGACTTTAAGAACTCCTGGAACTTAAGCAGCGCGGAGGTGAAACAGGGTGGTAGCATCCATGTTACGCGACCTTTAACATTTAAACTGAGTGCAAGAAATAGTGCTGGAGGAGTTTTGACAGTGAAATTGGGCCAAATCAGTTCCTAGAAATACGTAACTTATGTGAGTTACTTTGACTTCTAAAACTGACAAACAGCAAAAACACATTTTTTCTAGATAAAAAACTCTGTTAAGTCATGTGTTAGAGCTGACAGATAAGTTTTATATGGGTATGGTCCTTTATTTGTTAATATCTGTCTATGTTGACACCTTTCCTATCAAATCAACCATTCTTTGACACAATTATAATTATTTTCCCTTATGTTTAAATTCACTTTACAGACTTGTAAGAATGTTGAGAACAGTTTATTTGTATTCTGGAATTGTAATTTGTTCCAGTGTATATTTTAAGGCCAACGATGGTTTTAGCATACTGTAGCCCTAATAATCAAAATTAGCTAATTACCATACATTAAACTTTTTTTTTTGTATTTTATCTGATTGATCTGTGTTGTTTTAGGAAAGGCCAATTTGTCAACACCTTTTATCACATTTAAGCTTATGAATTATAACGTACTGGCTCAAACACACATGATGACACACATTCGTAATTATAAGAACTGTCCTCGAGAATGTCTGAATTGGAGTTTTCGAAAAGGGATTTTGAGCCAGGAACTCGAACTGGAGAAACCTGATGTACGTATAGTGTCTACCTTGACTTCTAATTTTTAGTTGGCTAGCTGTCACACTCGTAAGACCTATTTTTGCATAGCCTATGACAATATTATGTATAATGGCATAGGCTATGCAAAAATAGGTCTATACACATGCTTTAAAATTTGTACTAGCAGATTCATTAGTTTTTCTTTTATTTCAGATTTTCTGCCTTCAAGAAGTGGAAGGCAGCCACAGAAAAGAATTACTGGAACCACTCTCAAAAATGGGTCAGTATTAGATCCTAAAGACTGGAAAATGCCTGATTTAAAAATTGTGAGTATGAAATGAATTCAGTTAGAGGCAGAGATAATACAATAATGATTAAAATGGGACTCAGTTGGTCTTAATTTCTTTAACATTTAAAATCAGTGGGAATCTTGTTTTAAATTTATTATTGGTTTAAAAAAAGTAGCATATTCATATTGAACAACTAACAAATACAGTTTTAGAATAATCAGAATTTCTTTTAAAATTTACTTAAAAAATATTTACAACTTGCAGGATACGATGCTTTGTATGTTCCACGAGGAGAGGGTAAGCCAGACGGATGTGCTCTCCTTTACAACGCTTCAAAATTTCAAATCACAGACTTTGCTCCAGTGCTGTACTTCCGGCCAGAGATGCCCCTCCTAGATCGACCTAATGTTGGAATGGTGGCAACACTGGAGCTGCGTGAGCACCCGGGTAACTGCATCACTGTTGCCAACACACATTTTCTCTACAACCAGCGCCGTCTGGATATCAAGTTGAGTCAGCTGCAGATACTGCTTGCGGAAACTGAGAGACTGGCTTTCGCTGGATTGCCTGACAAGTCAGTGGTTACAACTTTTATAATTTTGTTGTACAGTTGAACTAAGCTAAACTTAGGGTGCCATCCTATATTTTTTAATCTTCTTTATTCCTATTTCTATCAGCAAGTGCACAAGTTAGATTATCTTCCTATGAACTCTCAACTTTGGGTGTATTGCTGAAGTAAAAACATTACTCTCGCATTATTTACCCATAACAACTTAATAAGAATTTCGATAGAAACCCAAAATATAATTTTACAGGTATCATCCCGTGATACTTACAGGTGATCTGAACGTGAACCCGGATACTTGCCTGATCAGCTTGTTGCGTAATCGGTACGTGAACTGCAGAAACTTCAACGGACAGTGGCGGCCCGTCAGAGACTCTGAGGGGCGACAACTGTCTGTGCCTGACGAACTACTGCGTGACTACCTCAACATATCACCAGACTGTCAATACACGGACGTGGTGGAGGGGAGAAGAAGAGGGATAAAGGATGTGAAGAAAACTGAGGTAAACATACTGTTTGGGCAAATGTTGAATGAATATACTTTCACTGATTAAAAATTTAACATTTATGTGTCCACCATCAGTTTTTCTACAATGAATCCAAAAATGCAATAAGTTTTTGTTGGAATTAATTTTAATGTCCGAAAAACGAAATTGAGGATTACGGATTTAAGGCTCATTTAAGGGTTTGGATGGGAACATGGCGGTGAGAAAGGTATGTGGAGATCGAACAGCTGTTTATATGTGATGCGAAACTAAGAAACCCAGTCCAACTATTCTGTGCACGATGGAAACAATTCATTTGTAAACAAACAGTTCTGAATAAATTGTATTGATGAGAAAGATTCATTAAATCAGTTTATGCACAGATCACAAGGATGTACAGATTACCAACGTCAAAGGACTCTAGATATTCTTAACCCTTCCAGGGCTATGGACGGATATATCCGTCAATCTTTGTTTACTTTCCGGGCTGAAAACGGATATATCCGTCCTGAGAAATTTCTTCTTTTCTGGGATAAAGACGGATATATCCGTCCAAATACGAATTGATACACAATGTTGTTTATAATACGGTAATTAACATTATACTGCATTATAAATGGGTTATTTTGTTTTTGTGGTTGGCAATAATAATTGCCGCAGCTGTTTCGGCTATTTTGCACCATAGAGTGTGCATAAGTAAATATTGCTGTCACTTCACACATGGTTGTTAGCGAGTGATGTTTACATTTTGTGTTTTGTACTTTATTTTTATGTTATTGAGCTAAAGATACTAATGCAAACGATCTGAAATTTGAAGATGTTATTGAGATGCTTAATCAAAGTATGTCTGAGAGTGGTTTTATACTTGGAAGTGAAAAATAATAGTATGGAATGTGATGGATATGATGAACTTGAAGAACAGTTTTTACGTAGTGGAAGTCTTGGCGGGGAATGGGATTGAGGACATGGGAGTGGAACTGAGTGGTTTAGATTTACTTCAGAATGATAGATACATTTTTATGGATAAAAAATAAAACAAGAGAAGGAATAGCCTAAGGTTGACGGATATATCCGTCTGCCGCCCACAAGATACTCAAGATTATTGGTAGTGTTCATATTTTGTGATTATCACTGAGGGCGGCAGACGGATATATCCGTCCACCTTGTGTTTTTTGTGGGCCAAAGACGGATATATCCGTCAAATCAAATTTTATTTTATTCATAACTTTTGTACAAAAATTAGTTCAGCCCTAAGGAAAATCTTTTTACGATCCATGAATTATTTCAAGTGAAATAAATACAAAACACAACCACTTTAGTTTTTAATTTTTTTTCAAAAAATAATTAAGCTCCAGCCCTTCATTTAACTTAGCCCTGGAAGGGTTAACTTATTGTTGATCATTGTAGACTAATCAGTTCTTATTTAGGCATGGCCGGAAGATAAATCAGGCTTTATGCGGGATTTGTGACTGTATTAAGTGTTTTGAAATTAAGTTAGATTAGGAACGTAAAGTTTAGGTTTTAATGAACCGACATATTAATTTATGTTACCTCAAGACCGTTTTTGCACGATTGAAATAGTCAGTGAAACACAACAAAATAATAGTCTCTAAAATGCTTGCATTAAATTTCAATAAATTTACATTAAACTTAAATAGCGTACTTTTTATAATTTTACAGAACCTTCAAGAAACACTGGATAGTCACAGAGTTTTTCCTGAAAAGAAATTTGGCAACATTGTTGGGAAGGAAAAAATAATTGAGATTCAAGAAGTTGCAAACTCTAAATTTGGAAAGGTAAGAAAAATACAAGTTAATTTATTTTACGCCACACTACACTGTTTTGACGAACTTCCCACGCAAGGCTTTAGTCCAGAAAACAGCTGTTTGCCGTCAGCTTAATCAAATGGGGTTTCATTACGTACTACTGTACTGTAATGAGTTTTACCGGACACCAACCAGTATACACTAAGATATATATTGTATATGTATTTGGCAATGAGTGAGAGTGGTTAGTTTATAAACAAAAACATAACCTCTCTTAGAGAGGTTATGATTAATGATTTTTAGTCCTTTAGTCGGTGGTAATACGTGATTGATATAAGTGTGCCAGCCGTTTTATTCGAAAACCATAAGAGATATCAAAAAAAGTTAAAAGGTAAGTGCCTTGGACTTTTTATTTTAAAAATTGTAGTCAAGTCGAAAAAATTATTTTAGCCGCCATTTTTCCAATATGGCCGCCAACTTTGATTTTTCTTATGGAACACCCTGTATTTTATGATGTATTCTGGTAGAAAAAGTAATTTTAAGACGATTTTATTCTTGTGATTTTTTTCATAAACCCAACCGTTTCAAAGATAATAATGGTTTAAGTTGTGAAATTTTGAATGGTTTTCGAATAAAACAGCTGGCATGCTTGCTTAGGCCTTTATCAAAACTCTTTCTGCATGAGAAAATTCATCCACAATAAGAATTGCCCTTACTTTCAATTAAAAACCACTGGTTAAAATAGAAGGCTAGCTGTATTATCTGCAGCTAACGTAAATCCTACAGCTTGTGTAGTCGCACTCATCTCTCCCAACTAGAGCGCTCCCACGGGTATGAGGGGTTCTACTGTATTGTGACAATTTTATTTCTGATCTAAATTATCAATAAGTCGGAGAACTAACATGATATTTACTGTTTCAGTGGAGACTTGCAGTTGAAGCACCGGACTGCTCCGTTCAAACCAATCAAAGGACTACAACTTCTTTCCCGCCTGCAAATGCCTTCTGTGCCAGAATACAAGTCTCACTTCAGAAACCTGCCTAACTTCGCTTGCGGTTCCGACCACTTACCTCTCATCGCCTCGTTCCTGCTTCCCATTCATTGAGTTTAACTCGAAGTTCTAGTAAAAAATTTTGTTGAGATATTTAGCAGTTTGTAAAGACTACAATAATCGTCACTTATGATTCTGCCTGAGTTGTCGACCTGTAGAATACTTGTCAATAGAATTATAGAGGTGAAGTGTACTAGGTAACGTTGAACTGGATTTAGTAGGCTATAGGCTAGGTACTAGACCAGATAAATGGGTGCTTTTTACGGTACTTTATTTTTTGAATGTTTAAGAATAAACAGAGAACATTGAAAATCATTTTGAAATTGATTTTTGTTTAAATATAATTTTGAGTTAAGCTTAACTAACTTAATCCTACCACAAGCTATCACCCGTCCACTCCATTCCTTGGAGTTTTAAGGGATTTTTTTTTTTCAAGCTAACAACTCATTCAATGTCAAACCAGACTTTAAGGGAAAATCAAGAGTTCTTGCTCAACATCAGCTACATTATGTGTACATTCTACCATTATTTAATTAAATGGGTATATTTTATAAGTAATCTTTGTATGAAAATCAAAGCACAATAAATCTATTTTCCAGCTCCAAGTTTTATTTCTCTCCTTTCATTTACACAAATGCTACTTTAAATAGCTTAACTTTTTTAAAAGTTTAAATACACTTAGGCCTACTTATGAAGTCATAATTTAACTCAAAGATACTATTCTTTCAGATCAAAGTTAGTCACTGCCAGTGGTGTAGTGGAGCGGGGACAGCGTTCCCAAGCTACTTTTTCCAAAGAACAGATTTATCGAAAGGCGACCTTATTTTTTCTACAATGGGGACCGTTCCTGCACCAGCACTGGACATTTTTCAACTGAACTGGCCATTGCTAATTAGGCCTACTATCAAAGAAAACCAGTTAAACTGTTTTTTTTCATCAGGCCTATAGCCCATATTATCATGGCTTATTTTACAAATTAATTATTTTAGGTTCTGATCGTTGTTCAAAGTCAAGACTTTCAGTTTCTGAACAGTAACTTCAAGCTTTTTAGTAAACTTGTGAAGGAAAAATGTAAGTTACATTTGAATAAAATTGATAGGTAGGTACCCATTTAAACTTCAAAAACTTCAATTTATTAAGTAATGAGTGGTAAAGTTATACATTATTTGATGACAGTCAAATGATATACCTATGGGTAGTAAAGCTTGACAAATAAACTGGTAATAATACAAGTTTAATTTGAAAAATTTATTGTTCAAAACAAAATGTTCACTACACAGTCAAATAACACAATACAAATGAGTATGCCAAAAGTTACAAACAAGTACTAAGTATTAATCACAAGTTTTCCTTTTATTTAACACAATGCAAATAGATAAAATTACTATCTAACTTCCTTGAAATTCTGTCAATACACATTGCAATGAAGTTAAACATGTATAATTTAAATAGTTAAGACGTACCAGAATTAATCCTCAGTAATACTTAGAAAACTTAATATGAAGACACAAACTTGTAAGTATCAGTAGGGCCTATTCATTTAAATATAAAATTATGAAGTTTGTAAAAACTTGTACAGTAGTAGTTGGTGAGAGTATTAAGTTAAAATTATGGAAGTAAGAAATATTGAAAATACCGATAAAACTTAGTTTTAATAAAACATGACTTTTCCCATTGAGAACCTATGGTACCTATGTTAGTAAAAATATTGTCTTATCTGAAATAGAATTAAAAATATGACTACAAGAGTAGAGCGTTTAAACTTTAAACCTAGAGTCTTTGCCTTTAAACTGATGGCCTATTGTACGCATAATGTAGCCTACATGTCGCAAAATGTACCTATCCTAGCAGTTAAAAAAGTAATTACACAATAAGTTAGTTTCCAATAAAATCACATCTAATTTATGGTAATGTTTACAAGTGTTAAAGACATTATTGACGAGTTTAACAAATAGAAAAAAAATCTCTGTACTCAACAGTATGTGGATGTGGTTTGTCATTGAAGAAATCTTGGATTTGTCAGCACATTTTTTAAAGGTTATGTTAAGGCATTTAGGATTAGGCTACACAATTAGAGATGGTAACTATTATAGTATTCATAAACGGGGAAGTATTTAACATCTACAATGGTTTGAAAAACACAACTTAATAATTTAATACTTTAACTTAAATAGTTTTAACACAACTTAAGCACCATATTTCAAAGACCAGCTTAGGCCAAGCACACACAATTAATTATTTTAAATGAACTATTTCCGAGGCCAATCCTTACAAATTAAACAAATGAGAAAGGAGTACCCTACACTAAGGATAAAATAACACAATTCTACAATAAACATAAAATAGAGAATGTGTGACGAGGGCAGCTTTAGTTAAGATCCGTGGACCCAGGGGCACAAGAGGTTTTAAATTAGTTTGGGCGTAAGGAGGAGAAAAGATTTAAAATTCAAGCTGCAAATGGAATTGAATCCTCCTGATTCTCAGTTCTTAGGCTACTCATCATTCATCACTGCTACCACCTACAGTTGCTACTTGATCGCCCCTTTATCTTACTTAGACAGTTTTGTTGTTGTTTAATTGCGGGACACATAGTGACGTTAAGTTGGCCTGCACACACGTATTTATGTGTTTTTTTACACTTTTAATATGAATGAATTTATTGGGGATAAAAAAGGTCCTGAAATTTTTGGAAACTTATAGGGAAAAATATAACCTATGTTAAGCACCATAAAAAACCTGCGGGCCTGGTTGTGACTAGAACAATATTTCTTTCAAACTTAAGTAAGTTAGGTCTAATCTCCAACAAAAATAATGAACAAGTAAGTTAGCCTACTTTAACAAACAAAATAGCGATTTCCAAGTTTTAAGCCAAACTAGTATTATAAATCCCTCATGGCGATTGCTAAACCGTTGCATGACACAGTTTAAATTGCAACTAAACTTGTTTGGACAAATTAAAAAAAAAAAATCATGTGTGCTAGGCCTTAACTTATGGCATGTTCCTGGTCATAGGGTGATCATCAGTTTAAAGTAAAAGTACTTAGGTTTAGATTACAAAACCAATCTTTAAAACCTCCTAATGAAGTTCCGGTTCTTAGATACCGGTAATATCTTGCTTGTTAACTACTTCTTCCACAGATTTAATTTTATACCGTACTAATAAAAATTGTTAATAGGTAAACTATCCCTCATTTAAATTATTTGTAGAAGATACAATTTTATCTACGGTACCTACGTATATTCCACTAGACTTCTAGGGATTCTTTTGAAAAAACTCTAAAGAATTAAAAACAGTTACAGTATACACATTTAACAACTGAGAAGTTAACAAAGACTGTGATTCAGTAAAAGAATCTATTACCAGCAAACTAAAGGATTTAGCATCAGGATAGTCTCTAAGTTCAACTTTCAATCAAGAGATGCAACCATAAGCCTAAAATTGAGACACAAACACACCCTGCTTTTAAAAAGTACACAACTTCTAGCAATTTTATACTTTTAAATTAAATCACAAACTTTGGTAAAAAAATAAACCACTTCTAGGACAAAAAGAACAAAACCATTCAAAGGATGTTTCCAAAATCATTTCTAAAATTGGTGACACTGCTATGGTCTAATTTAGAATTTAAGACTATCTACGATAACAGCTTGACAAAACTGAGGTATAGGCCTATGGCAAAAAGTCGAGGAAGAAAACAATCAGGCCTATTTGTCAAGAAGAAATGTTTTCTATAAGTGAACCTAAAATTAATTAACATAAAACTTTTGCACCTTAAAGGCATTTAACTTAATACATTGGTTCACATAAATTAAATAACATCCTAAATTTATTAAATAGGCAATTTATATCTTTTTATAACAATTACTTTATTTTGAGCAGGCCTAGCTAAAAAACCTTTTAGTTTTACAAGGACTTTTACATAGTAAAAAATTAAACAACAGCCTAACTTAGGCCTATGCCGTTTAGATTTAAACAGTAACTTACTCAGTATACCTGAAAATCTCAGCCAAATATGTACAAGTAGAGAGAACTACTAGACTAAGCTGAATTACTCTCTTGCGGCTCTCCTGGTTGAAAAGGTAGGTTAAAGGGGCTTAGTGTATTGGGCTAAAAGATTTTCAGGACACTAAGTCATTGCAGTAAGTTAACTTTAGCTGGAACCATTTATAAAGGGATGCTGCAGTGCTTTTTCTGCCGTGATTCGAGTTTCTGGGTTCAAATCCAATAACTTGCAAAGCAAATCGAAAGCTGATCTAGGAAATAGTGTATTGGATAAGTCTAATTTACACTTACTTTCACACAAGCAGCCATACTTTTCATTGATTGCATTCTTGCACTCTTCGCACAAAGGCTGTCCTGGTTGTGGCTTTTCCCCATCAATCTTTCGACGACGAAGAAATTCACAAAGAATCATAGGGTTCACTGGCTTACGGTTTTCACTACAAATTACATTCCTGCCTAATTTCCTGGCCAGGTTTACGATTGCTGACGACCCGAAGATTGTTATGAGCTCGGATAGTGCCGTAATATCATCAGGGGAACGGAAAAAAGGGTAACAACCACTCAAGATACACAACATCATGACTCCAGCTGCCCAAATGTCAACAGCAGTCGTTTGGTAAGGATATTTCAAAAGAACTTCTGGGGGACGAAAACCTGGTGTTCCAGCTCTTGGAGCATTTAATGCTTTACGAGTTATACATGTATTGCATATTCGTGCTCTTCTATAGCAATCACAAACGTCATTACGAGGTACAGGAGCTGTAGGGCGAGGAAAGAGTGATTTTTGACCTGTTTGGACTTGAGAATTTTGAACTCTCACAAAACTTGTTCCTTTATCTACAGATATGTTTTTGATTTGTGTTGCTAAGCTTTGAAATGTTTGATTACTATCACTTGTATTATTAAGGACATTTGAAGGGTTGGATGACAACGGTTTTCGATGTAGGCCTATTGGCTTGTTATGGTCTACTAGTGGTCTTGAACTATACAAGGCTGCATTTGCTGACTGACATTTCTGTTGCTGAATTGATAACGGTTGTTTGGAAAACTTTAGTATGTTTGCCGATGAATGGATTTCTTGTCTATTCACATCCAACGGCAAGGTTTGCAATGCACTTCGTTTTACAACAGGCCTCTCCATATTCTCTGAATCATCGTCTTCACGTTTTCTTTTTCCACAAGCTGTTTGGTTGTTCTCTTCAAGTGCAGTGCTAGATCTGTCAATGGATTTCTGGGCTAGGCCGAAATCAACTAAAAGAAACTTCTTATTCTCTCGGTTGTACAAGAAATTACCTGGTTTAACATCGCGATGTATGATGTTAAATGAATGTACCCTCTTCAAAGCTATAAGCAGATTTTTCATATATAATCTTGTTTCTTCTACAGTCATATCAAAAACATAATCAGCAAATTTCTGATGCTGGAGATAAGGCATAATGAAAACTATGCAGTCATCTTGTCTTATAGTTGCTTCACAGGAAACTACATTGTCTTTTCCTCCCATACGAATCATGCAGTCTAACTCATACTTTACTCTTCTAGGATGGGTTGTAGGAATAAGATGTTTGATGGCAAATTTTCTTTTATCCTTTCTACCTTTTAAAGTGGCCAGGTAGACATTGCTGAATGTGCCTTCCCCTACCTTTCGAATGAGATCAAACGAATTATCTAACTCTGGCAATCTGTTTAGCAATCCTTTGATAAAGCCATTATCATTGTCATTATGCTTAGGCCTAGGCCTACTCTTAAATGATTCCGAACAGTCAGCTTTACTTCCTACGTTAGCTGGATCACTAACCTTACTGGCTATTGGCGAGTAATTACAAGAATCGTCCATTTTATATTACTTTCACTTGCTAGGCCTGGGTATGTTATTCACTAAATAGGGTAGGTATTTACGCAAAAAGAGGAATATTTTAATTTAAGTTCCTGGCAACACAAAACTAACCGAACTGCACGAAGATGATCTTCTGTTTGTAAACAAAGCCCCACGCCATAACTTCCATGAGTAAAAATCATCTATAATTGATGCAATTGTTTAGTACTTTCTATATGTATCACAACCAACAATTTGCTACGTTTAACATAAATAAAATAATTTAATTATATACCCCTAGAACGTTAAGTGTAGGGTCGGTAAAACCTTTACGCGCCATAACAACTTAGTCATCATTCTTCAATCACAAAAATATTTGTTTGTTTGGTTGGCCACTTTTTTTTGTGAGAGGCTGGCCTTTTTCTTTTCTGCTTCAGTGTGCAGGCAATTGACTGTTTACCCTGTAAACATGCTACTAAATTATTATTTTACATACTCGTTAAAACCATAATGTGACCCAAATATGAATAGAAAATTTGGAGATATTTCATTAGAGTAAACTAACAGGTCAAAAATGTAACAACATTGACCAATAAAAGTGCTTGTAAATGACCATAATAATAATTTAGACACAGAGAAACTGCCTTCTGGCTCTTTTTCTATAATTCCTTAAAAGGTTGCCAAAACTGAAAGTGCGCAATTAAAATTCACAGCATTCTTAAAGCAAAATCACAATAATGTGGTAGTTAAATCGACCATCCTCCTACGGTTGAATAATGTTTAAAGTATAGTATTGCTTTCAGGGAAGGAAGCTTCACACAGAGAGTTTTCCCCGCCTTAGAGAAATATTGTATTTTATTTTTTTCATATATATATTTCCACAGCTTTGTGTCGGTGTCACAGAGCATTGAGCACTGAGCTTAAGATTTAACTGATGGACGGGAGTAACACTGAATGAAAGAATTGCGAGACGTTGGCCGTCATTTGTAATTTGGGTAAAGTGCACTGTACTTAGTACAGTAAATTAGAACTAGTTGATCAGGGAATTGTGGAATTGTATGCGCTGGTCAATTCCCCTAGTTGGCACCACCACAACGTAAATGTAGCCTACAGTGTCTTGATGTTTGATCAGAAGTTGCCGTGCCAGTGCTACCTCCCGGGTTGTATTTTTCGCTCAGTGGCTCTGAGCTAACCCAGAAATGACATAGCTAAAATAAATAGTTTCTGATTGGCGGATCCGAATAAAAATCCTTAGAAGTTGGACATGTGTACGTAGGAGCTGGAGAACTATATAAACGATGTCAAGTTATGTTGCTATAGAAGTCATCTAACAGGATTAAAAACCATTCAGATGTTCTTTTCAAGTGTATACAAACAAGAAGTTGGTAGTAGTAGGTAGTAAGTTGGTAATCAAAGAAACATAAACCATGGAAAAGAAAATATGTGGAAAATAAATTTAAAACAAAACTGGAACAAACTGAATGAACTCTACTTTCTCAAAAATGTTACTTTTCTTATAAACGTAATTCTGTTTCCTGGTGGAGATATCGAATTTAAGAATATTAGATGGAAAAAATCCAAAGTGAAAGATTTAAGAGCAATATAAAGTTAGATATTTCCAGATTTTCCAGTGAATTTCTTAATTGAGCAGTTTTTAGATCAAAGCAAATATCTTTTTCGATGGTATTCAGACGCAAAAAGAACTGAAAATAATTATCAGAAAACCTCCTTCCACGTTTGAGCAAGACTCAAGAGTGACTTGAGGTATTTTAAGTTTTTAACTCTTTCATACATTTGTCAATAAATACAAATAAATTTCTTGGCCAATAATCAAACTAAAGGGATTAATATACTTACTTCTACTACTACCTATACAAGTTTAATTGTTATGTAGCTACCTTTACCTTGACAAATTATAGGATTATGCTTCAACCAATGCTGGATTTGATGTGCTGCAAAATCTGTATGGTTTCAAAGGGGTGTAAGTGAATACCAGTCACATAGTAATCTTGGGATATTGCACAAACTGCGGAACATTGCAATATCATTTTATGGTTTAGACATTTGTAACAGCGCTTTACTTCCATTTACAACATGTTACTGGCGGTTTTATCTAGTTTTGCCGTTTTGGTATTACCGTTTTACTTACTTCAATACTTCTATACTTCTATTTCAATCTTACTATTATTTAAAACGTCTTCAGAGACAAAGTACAGTTTTTATGTTGGAATCTGGTACTAACTGTTTAGATCTTCAAGGTTTGAAATCAACATTGTTTTAACTAAACAAAAATTTTGGTTGTTCCATGTATACTGAACTGTTGATTTGATTTATCGTACTATACTAAGGAAATACACAGCGAAGTATATTTTAAAACTTGTTTTATATCGTTGGGAGTCGCTTGTAAAACTTAAATTTACTATTCACACACATATCTGAGGTTTACGTACCACGCTGTGGTTAAGTAGGTCCTAAACCAGGACTGACAGCTGGTGAAGGTTTACGGGTTTTCCAATACTGCACAGTAGGCATTGTAAAGTCACTGACCTCATTCACCTTGGACGAGACCAACTTGATGACACTGACTGCAGCACATATCTGAGGTTTACACCACACTGTGGTTAAGTAGGTCCTAAACCAGGACTGACAAAGAGACAGCTGGTGAAGGTTTACGGGTTTCCCAATACTGCACAGTAGGCATTGTAAAGTCACTGACCTCATTCACCTTGGACGAGACCAACTTGATGACACTGACTGCAGCACATATCTGAGGTTTACACCACACTGTGGTTAAGTAGGTCCTAAACCAGGACTGACAAAGAGACAGCTGGTGAAGGTTTACGGGTTTCCCAATACTGCACAGTAGGCATTGTAAAGTCACTGACCTCATTCACCTTGGACGAGACCAACTTGATGACACAGACTTCTAAAGTTAGTAAACTTGTACTTATGTTCTAAAAGATCAGGAAACCCAGGTGGATTACATTATTTACTATATGAACGATAGTTAAATAACAAACCATACTTTGTATATGCACACTAAACATATTGCACAAACAACAATCTAAAGTTTTCTCTGTTACACCCTTTTTTCACGCATCCTATAAAATCGACTTTTACGATTTAAGTGTATTTTTAATGATCTAGCTGATGAGCTAATGGCAAAAAAAAGGTTATCCGCATGGTGTTAACATCTTTTCGTTTAGTTTCAAAATATGTATTTAAATTCAAGAAAGTTATATAGAAGCGTCACCGATTATAAGTAAATATTAAGTAAAAATATATATTAACTTAAGGAGCATTTATTTTACCTGTAACTTATGGATTAGTAAACTCATTGTCATCAGCGACTCATTGGCATAAAATACTAATATCGTATCGTATCACTGCGGTAGCTGCAACATTTGGTATAATAAGGCAATTTCCACTCTGCACTAGAATGCATTAGGATTCACTGACAAAGGCAACTTGTTTCAACATCAAACAATATTCATCGTAGAATCATGTAGTTATGTGGTAAAGAAATTATTATTTAAAAAAAATTTCATAAATGATCACAACGTTGAAATCAAAATATATAAACATGTAATTAATACTATGTCTTAGCACAATCAAACTTAATAAATCATTGTACATAAATTTTAGGTATTGATCTATTTGACATGTTTCATTTTCACGTTATGGGTAGAAAATTTAAAACTAGTTTAAAAATTCCTAAAGCATACATTAAAAAACAAATTCAAGAAATGAAAGACATTTTGTAGTTATATTAAACGTGAAATATGTTTATAAAGTGAAAAAAAACATTTCTCCTTGCATTTCTAAATAAAGTACCTCTTTAAAATATACTACACTTTTAACAAAAATACATCAGTATAATCAACCAAATTTGTTTTCATAAGTTCTCTGGAAGTATTTACTTTTAATATTTCGGAAATATCAACAGCTACTGGTTCTTTGCCGTATTTTTAAAGTGGAAACGTAACTTCATTTCAATGTTTACTAGGTAAAGGTTTTCTAATTAAAATCTTGATTAGTATTAAATTAAACTAGTAGTTTCACAAATAATACGCACATTTTCATATTGGTGACCACAATAATTATTGTGTCCTCTTTAATAACTAGCTAGAACCCACCTAAGTAAATAAATAATGTGTTATTTCAAAAAGTTATTTCATTTTACTGATAGTCACAGCTAAACTGTTACTGATCATTATTTTGATTATTTAAAATATAATTAGCGTTCATATTTGTTAAGAAAATAATAAAAGTTTCCAATTGAAATATATTTTCTGCTAGAAACTTTCTACTGTAATAAATGCTAAGTAGCTCATTGTCAAGACATCAAAGTTCCGCAAGTCCTGAGGCAACCCAAAACGTCCGTAATTTGATAGTATAATGCAATAACGTAGTCTAGTTCTCTTCTTGTATCAACGCGAACGCTTGAATAGTACGGTATAAGCTAATCATGTTCAAAGTTAGTGTACAAAGGTTTTGTAAGTACCCAGCCTAAGAGACCATGCAAATGTATTTTTGATGCATTTTTAAATTACCGAAATAGTGCTGGATAAAGGTAGAGAACTATGGATTTGTCGATAATTTTAGCCTAAAATACCCTGTTTTGGATTCTTGGGCTAAATTCTTATACTAACCAAAAAGTGTACTGTTACACTATCTAAAGGTGTACAAAATTTGATTTTCCTGGGTTACTCAGCTGGAAAGCTTAGAGGGGTATCCACACTTTTGCAAAACCGTGTATGTTATGGTGATCCTGGTAAAATAAACAGCTGATCTTAGTCACTAAAGCTCAACTGATAATCTCATTTTACACCCGTCTTGAATTCATATTCAACTTAAATTAACCACATAAGTGCATGTTTTTTCCTTCCACCATGACATAAGTGACTATTAAAGTACTGTAGTAGTAATTAATAATAAGTTATACAATGTTTTTGCAAGATTACAGAATATTAGTAAAATCATTACTGCTGAAAAATAAATATATATTTTCAGAGACGTGGAACATTTCAATCAATAAGATCCCACCTGTCACAGTCTCGACATGTTTGATCTTGCTCACTCTTGTTGATTGATGTACCTTGTCACTCTATTGTCATCTGTAAGAATACACTGTGTTTTGGTTGTAAACCAAAATGTTTTGTTTTTATTTGTTACATTTTAGAATTTGTATATTTTATAGGGAAATTAACAATTTGTAAAGTAAGGTTGGATGACGATTTTTGGGTGTGAAAAAGGGTTCTCTAATAGGTAGACAATTGTAGAATCCATGTTTAGTAAATCTTACTTATTTAAAAATACGCTTGTAACGTTTTGACTGTATTTTATA